GTAAATAACCATACAAGCAGTCATGGTGGCAGCACCCCATAACAAACAAGTTCTTCTACCATATCTACCAACTAAGTAAATACCAACGAAAGTAGAAGCAAAGTTAACAATACCAATGACAATAGAAGTTTCGAAAGAATCCTTCAAACCAACAGCCTTGAAAATAGTAGTACCATAGTAGAAGAAGTAGTTATCACCAGTCAATTGTTGTAGAGATTGAATCATACAACCCATAATTAATCTTTGGAAAATCTTTTCTTTAACAGAGAATAATTCACCCCAGGAGGCAGTACCAGCTTCTCTTTCAGCTTCAATACCAGCTTGAATCAATTCGATTTCGGCAAGAACAGATGGATCATCAACAGAGACCTTGTTAGAAATGGCAATAGAGCGCTTGGCTTCTTCAACTCTACCTTTTTCACATAAATAACGTGGAGACTCTGGAACAAAAGTCATACCACCGATCATGAACAAGGCCCAGGCGAAACATAAACCTAATGGAACTCTCCATTGGACTGAGTTAGAGTAGTTCTTGGTACCATAGTTAGTACAGTAACCTAAGAAAATACCTAAGGTAATCATCAATTGGAAACAAGCGACTAAACTACCTCTTAAATGCTTTGGAGAGACTTCAGCGATTAACATTGGGGATAAAACAGAAATACCACCAATACCCAGACCGGAGATAATTCTACCAATGAAGTATTGGAACCACTTGTTGATAGTAGCAATTTGAATAACAATACCAACAATGTAAATAACAACGACAATAATCAAACCCATTCTACGACCGTACATATCACCGGCTTTAGATAAGATGATACCACCGATAGCACAACCAATGTTAAGAATAGAGACAATTAAACCAGTTCTGACAGTAGATAGATAGTGTTCACCACTGTGGTTGACTTGACCCAATCTTCTGACGAAATCTGTTTGGTTAATGAAACCAGAAATGGTACCGGTATCCCAACCGAACACGAAACCACCGAAGGCAACCATAACACACATAATAGAAATGGTAACATATGCGGAAGTAGGTTTCACCGGCATGTCTGTAGCTTGGACCATTTGATCATCAGCATCATCCTTGTATACATCTCCTTCAGCCTTGTTGGAAGGAGAGGATATAATAGAGTTGGAGTCTTGAGCAGCTCCTGATAGTTGTTCTTCTTCTGACATATTATATATTTTGGGTTTTTATTCTTTTTATTTTTGGTTTTTTGGTATGTTTATTCAGAAGAGAGAAAACTTTAAGGAAAGACTCGAGGAAATGATAGATGCATTGGTCCTTTATATATGTTTTACGAGAAGACACTCAACTCGACAGTTTCTTTTATTTCTCTTTGTTTTTTTTACCCCAGCTCAATTAAAACAAGAAAGAAAACAAAAAAGAAATACTTTTAATAATAGCACTATTGTAACTTTCTTTTCATCAAACATAGTAAATGGTCGTTACTTCTCCAGTTCACAAGATTACCTTTCTTTTTTTTTCTACCCCATATAGATTAGATAATAGTTTTTTTGGCTAAATACAATAGCATCTATTGTTCCGTACTTCAAAACACGGAAAAACTTTTTTCCCATACTTTCCCATATTTTCCCGTGGGGCCCCGGATATTTCTCCATTACAATTGAATTATCGTTTCTCCTAAACGGCAAAACTAAGAGGAATAAAAAAAAACGCAGTATAAAATGAAAAAAATAAACACATATAGGATGGAACGGAAAAAAGAAACAATATAATTCCTTTTTTTTTTTCCTATATGGAAAAATTTTTTTTCCTTTACCCCCCCGCAGACGCACAACTACAATTGACAATTAAAAAGGAAAATAAATTGCGGAGAAAATTTTTTAAAAGGTTTTTTTTGTTCTATAGCCCAATGGAAGAACAATACCTTACAAAGCCTTTAGGGTTTTATTACTTTTTCCCGACTTACACAGACAAATTGAGAAGTAACTACCTCAGTACTTTTTATTTTATTGTAATCGGTCACTTTCCTTCCAATATTAAAGATTTTAAGAAAAAAAGAAAATTCAATAAATGTGTTATAAGCTTATCAAACAAAACCTTACTATTGCTCTGGAGTTATATTGAAAACTAGTATGATTAAGTATAATACTGTTTAATACTACCAAGATATGCATATCAATCTTGACTATTAGTTAGATTCTTAAACATCATTCGAGACAATTAACTTACTGGTCAGAAGAGAGAAATTTGGATAGATATAGTTTGATTTTCATTTAATACCTGTAAATGAACTAATAGTTTGACTTATATTTTAAAAAGATACCAAGTATTTTATAGAATTCCTCACATATAATAAAGATCATGGTTTAATACTATACAAAATTTCCAAAGAGTAATTAGGTTTAAGAAAGTTTTTTTTTTTTTTTGAAAAAATAATTGAGTGTTTTTTCTAGGTTATTCAAAGGAATGTATATAGATATGACTATTATCCTTTTTGGTTTGAAAGGGCTCATAATTATTCCAGAGAACAATAGTGTGTTTCTAGTATATGATATTAATCCGATAAATGTGCATTTTTCTGTACCCCACGGTTTCCCCATACATTCACAAGGGGGAGAGGGGTTATTTTCATTTTCATTTTCATTTTCATTTTATTTATTTATTTTTTTTTTTCAAATAAAAATACATATTGTTATTTCCTCGCTCTTTTTCTTCCGAATAACAATTATCTACACAAATATAATATTTCTAATTAACTTTATTGTCTTAGGAAGATAAATTACTATAATATACTGCTAATAAATGCAAAACTATATCAAGTGTAATTAGCAATTTATGTACGAACTGAAACTGAAGATTAAAAAAATTGTTTTTAACCACAATTGACAAGATAAATAAGTCTATTTTGTTATTTTGAAAAGAAATAAACACAGAGTCTATCGAGATCTTTAGCTTCTAACTGTAGTTCTAAATTAATTACAATTACATATAAAATAAAATAATAAAAAAAAATGGTACCTATTGTTTTTTGTATGGCACTCAAAATACCTCCACTAAAAGTAAAACACAAATATATACTATACTAGCTACTACTTGATATACTCATGTAAATTTCTTTTTTAATCTCTTTAGACCTATTTCTTTCTAATCTTTTTGTGGATGGGTTTGTAATACTGAAATCTATCGAACATATGTATGTTGTTTTAGTAAGAATACTTGTATAAAAACCAACAGGATTCTTCTCTTTACTTCATAGCAATAGCACATTCTTGTGTATTGCTATATAAAGCCTTCAATATCACTCTAATGATTCTTTTTTTTTGTTATTTTTTTATCTTTTTTTTACATTATGTGTTTTTTTAAAAAAAACGAAACTACTATTGTTATCTTTCTGAGCTGATCATGGAAAAATTAATTCGGAATCGGAAAAACTCTGACAAGACGGCCGGAATAACTTTCTTACTTTTTTTTTTTCTTTTTTATTGCCTTTTTTTCCCGATCATAATAAAATACAAGTAAATATATTCAAAAACTAATATCAATCAAAAAATTTTTACAATTCAATTAAAAACACCTCGGTTCGTTTTCCTACTTTGGAAAACTTACCAACCGGTTAAAAAAGAGGAAATAACGAATTACCATATACCTTTATGAGAGAGTCTGAATTGTCCTGCTACTAAAGAAAGCCCATAATTAAAATTAGTTGCCCCTCTCTTCCCCCTTCTTACTTTTTTTGATCTCATAATTACTCCTTCAATAACTTAGTTTTATCTTCCCTCCTATAACCTCCTCACATCTAATTATATACCCCCATAAAAGCGTTATTTTTATGTATGTAAATCTAAATATTTATAGCAATTTTTTTTAGAAACCAACTCATAAAATGTATATCCCTTACGTATATGACGTTTTGTTATAATAGTGTGAATAGACTATTAACAAGTATTTTACGTATTTCCCCACAGTATATTTTGAATAGCAAAAATTCACGCTCATAACAATTAAAAAATATATATCCACTTTCATTCCTTTCTTGCGTTATATTGTTCCATAAACACTTGAAATCAAAATACATATTCTTTGTTTATACCAAGAATAATATCTCTAGAATTTCCTTAATTACATTCATCTTTCTTGACTGATTCAGGTTAAAACTATATATAGGTTCTTTTTTATAGTAGATATTTTAGCACTTACCTATGACGTGGACGTTTTGAGAACATATAAAGTAATTCCCCCTTATGTCTTCGCAACATTCTCCTTTTTTGTAACTTCAAAGACTTGTATTTTTTTTGTCTCTAAATATAAATACATTTTGACCATAAACTGACCTAAGAATGTTATTTTCTGTTCAGTGTTCTTCCAGTTATTATAGGTTTTTTTTAACATATAGCAGTACCTTGCTTTCTTTCACTCTTTTGCAAATTTTTTCAGTTTATAATATAACATTTTGAATTTTCTTAAGAAAACTGTCCTCTCTGTTACTAATAGACTAATAATGAATTTTTAAATAGAAGTGTTCCAACTAATATTTTTAATGTCGGTATAATGTCTGTTAATAAATACACTTGTCTAATCATTTCTGAATAGACAAAGTGAACATTCTTGAAGAAAAGTAAAAGTTCAAAAAAGTATTGGACTATATCTATTATACACAAATTATATAGAATAAATATAATTACAATAAATTAATAATTAAAGGGGAGTTTCTAGTATTGGATTATATTATTTTTTTTTGTTATATTATTTAATAAGAACAACATGTAGTTAGTAAATGATAATAATTGTATTAAAATATAATGTAATGCAGATACGTTAAGGAAACTATTATAAAACAAGTCTAAGTAGAAAGATAAAAAAAAGTACAGGAAGAAAAAAAATAAGATCAGATAAAAAGTAAATGATTATTCCCAACTTAGAACTTTTGGTATCACTTTATAATAGAAAGAGAAAGAAGAGGCAGTGTTGATAATAACTAATTATAGCAGAACTTTGAAAAAAAAACAATAACTATATTTATTTTGTTCTAGTTTTCGTTGTATGATTCTTCTGTTACTGTATCAGATTTAGAGATAAAAGTAACTTCAGCCCAACCAAAACATTTTTTCTTTTCATTATCACCGATTTGTAATGTAAAGTTTTGGTCGGCGTACTGATAAATAAAAGGCTTAGTACCAGCCACACCAGAAACAATATTCTTAACAAAACCTGGAATTTCACCCATAACATCAACTCTTTCTACTAAATTAGTTAATGGACCTTCAAGGACTGCAATTAGTTTATCTTTTTCAGCTAATGAATTCTCATCTGTAATTTGGTCATCTGTTAATCTAGAAGAAAACCCATTGAATGTTACCTTGATATTTTTTGGAACATTCCAACCAACTTCATCAATTTCAGAATTTAAATGTTGATAATCGTTATTAATAGTTACAGAAAGAATGGAGTCTTTATCTGTGATAATACCGATAGATACTTTTGTGTTTCCATATGACTTAGGAGTAATAAATTCCATTAAGACAACTGAGTTCTCATCAGAATGTGTAACTGCAAAGTTCCAAGCTTTGGCGGCATGATGTGGTTTCATACCTTGAAATGCCATTACAAACATACCATAACATGGTGTATCTTCCGAAAATTCAATAGCTTCATCTCTGTACACTTTTTCAATTTCTTCAAAATCACTATCGTAATCATAGTCGCTAGAATCTTCATCCTCAGAATCATCTTCCTCTTCTTCTTCTTCCTCTTCCTCCTCTTCCTCCTCTTCCCCTTCTTCTTCCCTTTCTTCTTCTCCTTCTTCTTCACCTTCTTCTTCTCCTTCTTCTTCACCATCTTCATTTTCATCACTATTACTTTTCTCCTCATCCTCTTCATCTTGTGGTACTTCTATTTTCAAATTGATGGTACCATGAACCAGATTTCTTGGCCAGAAATGATGACTCATTGTACCCCATGGTTCATCTATATTCTCACCATAATATGTGGTTGGATCATCACCAGCTTTCACACCAGGTGTACATCTAGTAAAATATAAATCAACTTTAGACAATTCACAGACATTAGACACAAAATGGTAAGTATTATCATCGTCTGATAACTCAATAGATAAATCATCAGCGTAAAAATTTGGGCCATCGATTCTAAAATTTTCTAATTTTGTAGATGTCCAAATATTCAAACTCTCTGGATCCAACGCATTGAATATTCTGAAAGTAAATTGTGCAGCAGTACGCATACCAAGCACATTTGAATGAATAATTTGTGCAAACCCTGTGATGCCACTCTTTGAATCGCTAAAATAAAATGTAGCAGTTTCCACGTTAGTGAAATCTGGAGCCTTCCAACAAAAATCCTTTCTAGTAGCTTCTCTATAAGGCTGTTTCCCCTCCAATCTTTCTGTCACAGAATGTATATATTCTTTTCCGTATTCTGGTTCTGCAATACCAGTTACAGCAGAAATACCACCTTGAATCCACTTTAACATTATCTTGGTTTATTATTATTATTCTTATTTTTATCTACTGCTTTATATTTTTTTAATATTTGTTTCAAAGCTTATATACACACAAACCAAGCTTCCACCAGGATTAGAAATATGACTATGATATCTGTTATAGCTGAATGTACTTTGAGATCTAGGGTAGCCACCTCATGAAAATTTTTACTACAATAGGTAGACTTAACTATTTATCACTTAGCCAATCAACATATTAATCATCTCAACTCTTCTGTTTAGTAATTAGTAAAAAATAAACAAACAAAAGAAAAAAAAAATTTACGGCTTTTGTCACCACCAAAAAAAAAAGAAAAAATGGCTTTGAATTTAAGTATGGTGTCTTGATCTTCAACAACTTGACAAAAACAGGAAAAATAGAGAGAAAATCCTATATAGCCCTAATTTATATTTTTGCAATTAAAAATTTTTTGCTAGTAATATTTTCAATACCCTCCTTTTACTTTTTATAATTTCAGGAATGCTTTTATTAAATATTATGTCACGGCACTAGTATGTCATATATATTCATATCTATATCTATATAAATACATGTACTTGTATAACCAATATAGACCATCAATATATCTGATACATGTATACTTTATTACATACTATTCAGTTTACTAATAGACTTTATTCAATACACTTCTTTAGGGATAGTATAATAGATTATAAATGGGACATATCCGTGTCACGTGATATTTTACTATTTTATCAATGGAGATCTGCAAATAAAAAAAGATCAGGAAAAAAGAAACTACCAAATGAAAGGGAAATGAGAGAATGGAGAGGATTAGAGGGATATACAGGGCTACAAGTAAATAGGTTGGAGTAAATCATTATGCGCATGCTTTTATATAACTTTTTACCACTCGATACGTGCAGTTAAGCTTTAAAATATATTATTGTTTAATTAGCCCAAGAGAACGAATATATTAGGAGAGAAGAATCATTTTACGGATATAGCATACAGTGATATGTTTAGGTCATCATTAAAAAGCTTGACTAATAGAATAATATCCAGATCAGTCACAACTAGATCCTTGGAACGATTGTTTAATAAAAAACCAATCCCTGGGTTAGTATCCGTAGAAGGTTGGCAACGTGGATGTATTGACCGTATTAACTATTACTCAAAGATGCTCAATGAATCCATTAAAGGGAATGAACTTTTAGAAAACAAAAGTGTCGAAGAATTAATAACTGAATGTGGTATGTCTCCTTCAAAAAGAAATATTGCAAATTATGCCTCCTTATTATATAATCTCGAGTTTTCTATATCTTCTCTAAAAGATACTAATAACGACAGTAGTACTAGTAATGGAGACGCCCCTCTATTAAAGGAAAAACCAACAAAATTTTCTCTATTAGAAACACCTGATTTATCTTTAGATTTTAATAACGAACCTAGATTTACTGCGCATACCCTATTACAAAACGCTATTGAATCCTCGTTTAGTTCCATGGTTCAATTTAGAACTTTATTACTTAACTCTAATATGGCCATCTCCGGTGATGGTTTTACATGGCTAGTAGCGAGAATATATAAACCAAAGATCCAAACAATGAATAATCAGATGGTTGATGACATTAAATACGATAAGCTGTTTGTGTTTAACACCTATAACGCAGGATCACCATTTATTATGAATAAATCTAATCTAATTAATAATTTGGAGAAAGAGTATAAAAGATTGGAAAAAGAGAAAACACAAAATAACGATTCAAATTCACAATCAAATGTCTCAAAGTCTGCATCTTCTTATTATAACGAAATTTTATCATCGGAGGAAATTAAAAAAATCGCTTTTAATGATACCACTTATGCTCCATTGTTAGCAATTGACGCATCTCCAAAGTTTTGGTTATATGATTATGGTGTGTTTGGTAAAAAAGAATATTTAAACAGAATATGGGATTCAATTGATTGGAGTATTGTAGAGAGTAGACTTCCTCAAAAATATGAACTAAAATATGATTGAAGAGCAATAAGAAAAAAAAATATATAATGAACATACACACACATCTATATATAAATCAAAATTTATCATGTACATAATAACAAAATATATATTAAAAATAAGTTAATTCTAAAAAACAAGTTAGCCCATCAAATATACCTCTGAATAAATTATAAAAAGAATGACTTATATCTTTTTTTTTCAATTTCTTATTTTAGGTTTTTATATTATATAATATGTGTGTACATATTTATATTTACCTTACCATATGGATAGACGTAGATCTAATCAATATTTTCTACTACTAACCTTCAAACTCTTTACCCTTTTCAATAATTTGCTACCAGCTGATGCCTTCTTAGTGGCAGTTCTAGATACATCATTAAAACCAACACTACCTTTTTCACCATTTCCACTACCAACACTTAAATATATATCATCTTCATCTTCTTCTTGGCCTTTCTTTCTATCAAAATCTCCCCTAAATTCTACTTGACTCGAACCAGCACTACGTGTTACCATTGGATTTCTTACGTCAACTTTGCTTAATTGTCTATCATCACTATTAAAACTATTATATCTATTTACCACTGGACGACTATTGGTGCTCAAATTTCTCCGGATATTATTAGTATTGTTTACAAACCCATTATTGTCAATATTATCATAATTATTTCTTAGACTAGAAGAATTAGAAGATCTATAAGATATTGTCTTACCCCTTTGTACGCCCAAATTATGAGAAACAGTACCTACAGCTGGTGCACCATCCAAAAATGTGCTTGAACCTAAACCGTAAGTTTCCACCCCATGAACTTGTTGGGTCCTGTTTTTAGTGTCCATATTCTGTATATACTTTGAAGCAGAACTTCTTAAAGCATCTTTTGACGACGAATTTTTTGAGGAATATAAAAACGAATCATCATCAATATCATCTACGCCAAATACTTCACTCATAGCAGATTTCTTTGTAATAGCACCACCAATAGTACTATTTGGACCATCTACAGGAAACGCAAGTACTGGTGCAGATTTATTATTTTTATTTCTATGTGGAGCACATGCATCAAATGGACCATCGTGATGGAACGATCCACCAAATAGTCCAGTAACATCCAATTTATCTATTGTGTCCACATTTTTAGATACAATAGCCACACTTTTCCTTTTATCCTTTTTATTTCTAGAACTTGTCGAACTTCCATGGCTCCTGCTTGAATTATGATGTTGATGTCTTTGCGTTCTTTCAATGGTGCTGTGATGACGTTGTGGAAGCATTTCAGATGGTCGATTACCTCCATAATGATTATTATTATTATATGAATGCTGTATGGATGGAATAGAATTAGAATGATTTCTACTAGCCTGACCTAGTGCTTGTTTTTCTCTTGGATATTTATTATTAGAATTAAAATCTGTACTCTCCTCATAGGATGGCGGTGGTGGCTGTGAATTGATCTCTATACGATCTACATTTGCAAAACTATTTTTTAATTCTGATCCGTCACTTTGCTCCATATACCTTCTTCTTAGCTGTTCTTTTTCCTCCTTAGCAGTAATATGCTGTGGTCGGTCCTTATACTGTGGTGGAGAAAATTGTGCTCTACTATCTGATTCATACTGTTGTGGTGAAAATAACCCAGAATGTTCTGGGGTAATAGCTGCATCGTCAAGGAATGGGTTAGTAGAATTTCGTTTGGTCATAACAGGACGAGCTGCATATGTATCCGAACCATTAGAGTTATTGTACATTGAAGTTGTTTCCACCTTATTTTGACCTATCTGTGGAGTATCATATGGGTTCCGATTACTATTATTCGGATAGCCTGGTTGAACATTTGAAGTAACTTCATCAGTCCTAAAAGGATTTGTGGAAGAAAATGGCCTTGCTGATCCGGGTGTTTGTTGATATTCCATTCTTAATCAGGCCTTAATGTCTATACCTATCTATATATAAATATATGTATTTGACTAAATTAAATCCGAATAACCTGTATTCACAGTTGTATCTTTATATTAATATTTAAATAAGAAAAACACGCCTTCTTCTTCCTTTTCCTTTTACTCTTGGTTTTTACAGTCAAGTTGGGACAATACAGCCTTCTGATCACTCAACTCTCCTCAGCAAAATTTTGCTTACTTTTCTCTATTTTTCATTTCTTCACATCTTTTCTTCCAGAAGTTTTGAGGAGAGAAAGCTTAAAGCGATTATATAACAGTTTTTTTAGTCACGAGAGACGACTAGTGTATATATAACCATGCCAGTATAACAGTTATAATAATTATTGTACTAGTAATAACAGAACTACAGTGTGTGTCTTAGTTGTAAGTGTATTATGTTGGAGTAGTTCAGTAGTATTCAAGCTTGAAAAAGAGGGAGAGGGAAAAGTGGATGAAAGGAATGTTGTTTATTATTACTGATTCATGAGATTATAAAGATGTTCCATGCACTCGATAAGCTTTAATACAATAATAAAAGCTTTATACATACTAGAATAGATGTAAACAAATAATTGTACATGATTATATATATATATATGTATATGTATATATGTTCTTATTCATCTATAACCATAACGTCAACATAAATATTGTTGATGTGGCTATGATACTGAACCATGTTGATAGATCCATATTTGACCATACTGATTTATTGTTTTGTGGATCAATGAGTATCGGTAGGGCCCTTCTTTGACCATAATTAACAAATGCTGTACCAGTGGCATTGATCAGTGATTCCAAACCAGATCCATCTAGAGAGAAAAAACTGTAGGGAGAGGTGCTCTTCTTGGTTGTTGAAGTTCTAGATGTATCATAAAAGGATCTACCCGCACCTGATATCAAACCATTGGAATTAACAATGCCAGTAAACTGAGCTGGAACATCAGCTGCTGTAGTAGTCACATGTATGGACAAATGCGTTCTAGTTATTGCACTACGACAAGTAGCATATGGAATGCAGTCAGAAGTAATTGCTTGAATCGATAAGTTTTTAGCAGCACTAGATTTAGATACCAATGCAGAAGCAGAATTTGTCGCCACTCCTTGACTTGTTGAAATAGTTGTATCCAAAATGATATTTTTTAAAGTTTTTGCCTTTGCAATAGCCACGGAATAATTTTCCATATCAACAGCAATATATGAATTTCTGATAAATGATCTACCTAAGATACTAAATCCAATATCAATATCAGAAAATAGCTTTAATGAACATGCTGTACTGCCATCTGAAAAATGCATTTTCATAGATGTTTCAGGATCGATAGTTGTTGATAATAGATCTAGAAGTGGTACTTCAACTACTAATCCATCAAAGGTAAAATCTAAATGAGCATCTGTTTTAGAAATAGAACATGGAACTAACCATCTACCTAAAGATTTCACATAAGTAGCTTCTAACTGAATGGCAATTTGAATAATAGCTGAAGGGGGAAGATATAAACCACTAGTTGTAGAATCTAAAAGGACTGGACTCAAATACTGCTCTGATGTCACATTTACTTTACGTCCATTACGATCACTCATATATATAGGTCCCATTGGCAAGATTGGCAACCCAACAGTAGAAGTATTTGAATATGAACCAACATAAGGTATCATATTAAATTGATAAAATGAACCTTCGTATAAGGAGGCATCAACACCACCCAATAATAAAACACCTTCATAATCATTAGGTAAAGGCACCAAATGACCACTGGAATAATTATAAGTTCTATTCCCTAACCATAACGAATATGATTGAGTAGGAATAATACCATCAGATGTAAATTTTTCTAAAAACATTAAAGAATTATTTAAGGCTGAATTCCGTGATTGTATACGCTGTAAATGTACATTACCACCTAAACCCAAGGCCCCAATATCATCATCTGTATCCTCAATACAGGCTAATGAGGAATTCTTTAATTCTATAAAATTATTTGTCAAAACTACGTTTGAACTAATTGGTGTCATACCTTTTGATTTATTGATATTTTCAATATAAACCATCTCTATATCAGTAAAATTCCAATTATCTTTGAATATTGTTCCATTGAAATTTTGTCCACCATCCTGATTATCATCGAACTCCAGAGATGTAAATTCATCTATCTTGATTGAAGATGTGGATCCTCCTGGATAATATAATCCATCATTAAGACAGCCACTATTTAACTTGTTACATTGTGCATCCAATACTCCTGACAAGAACCAAGTGTATGGACTGGATGTATCTATCAACAATCGTTGTTTTTGAGGTGGTGTGCCAAGTGTAACGTTTATATAATAATCACCAGTATGCATATATCCAACTGTGAGTTGTGGAAGGCCATACTTTTTTATAGATGTAGAATTATTATTGCTTATTGAGGTTGACGTTGCAAAAACAATTCTCCAATGGAGACCATAGATAAGTTGAAGTATCAGAATCCAAGGAGAGACCATCTCGAGCTGTTACTTTATATTTGTATATAAAAAAAACAGAAAATGATATGCTAATGTCTCTAATACCTTAGTGTCCTAACGTAACATTCGATTGTTGTTATACCACGTTCAACTAAAAGTTAACTGATGAGTTTACTTGTTATCATCCTCCCTCCCACAACAAATATCTGCTTCTACTTATTATATAAGATTGTGAGGCTCGAGATTATTTCAGCCATTTTTTGTGTATTTTTATTTTTAGATTTCTTTTAATTTTTTTCTCTTTAAGGTCCGAAAGTCAAATAAAAAAAAAGGCTTAAAGAATATTTTGACAACTCTTTGGGCTTTATTTGGGTTCTCCTTGGACAATATGCATAAACAAAAAGACATATGTTATTACAGAGATTGATTGTATGATGAGATAGTTATTGATATAACTACTAAAATATAGCTAGGCCATAACAAAAGCTTGTTTCTAGGTTTTTCACTGTTGATAAGAATATCTGAATGATTGTGTATAAATGACGATAAGGATCTGATTAAAATACTTGGAGAAGAAACATTACCAATCAGAATAGGCAGAAATTATACCATTGATATTCCAAAATATTACTCTTCTAAATGAAATGCAACTATTTTTTTGGCGGAGAAATTATATCGAGAAATAGATACTATCTTGGGAAAAAAATATAAATCATTAATGAACAAAGAATATGATGTTAACACAAAGTAGGTTCTAAACCTGTGCAGATAAAGCTTTTATGAATGTATGAAAGTACACATACAACAACAACGTGAGTAAATTATCACTAATGAATATATCTGATCGTAAGGTGGAAATTATATTAAAATCTTTTTATATCATTTGATATTTCAGCTACGATTTAGGATTGTAAATACAGTAACGTAAAAGTTCCAGGTAAATGAGCCATAAGACTTTCCATGGATATGAAAGAATTTAACTAGTATTTTTTTATGATGACGGAAGGACAAATAATGTACACTACTTATTTCATATTACTTGATTCCACAATAAGTGACAGTTTAAATGAAAAAAAAATGGACGAGATATTATCAGTGCATATGTAACTAGGGTCCAAACCAAGGTTGGGGACGTACAACTGGAAGATTTACAACAAGAAGAAGAAAAGAATTAAAAAAATATTTACTTAGTGTTATACGAGAAGACGTTAAACATATAATATTAGTTATTGAACTAAGAACTATAGAAAAATACACACTTAAAGGAGTTCTTTAAAGACAAAACAAACTCCATAAAAATTACTAAAAGATAAAATACCAGAAACAAAGTTGATTTTACAGTTAGAAAACACAGTGCCTATGTAGTCAAAATTGTCTATAGAAGTAATCAGCAGTCATAAAAATATTGAAACATACGTTTCAAGTCTTAATTTGTTACGATTTCTTTTAATTAAAACTAACAACAAGAAAATGAAATTGGAGATATTAAATATTAGACTCTCATTTCGTAATAAGAATGAAAGTCTTATTGCTATTCTCTTCTCAGGGAAACTATTTTTTTAATGGAAGAATATTTTATTTTTTTTTTCAACGAATGGATCTTCCGAAGATTTGAAGAAATGAAAAAAAATTTTAAAAGAGTTAAAAAAATAAGTGGTAAAGTACATATAAGTGTATACATTTACTTGATACAAAAAAAAAACAGGCCTCCGTGACTTAATGACGTTTACTATTACAATGAGCACTAAGTGCTTTAAATTTCATTACATTTCCGTATGTGACTGTTGCAAATAAACGCCTGTATTCATTTGATATGTATTAAACAGCTTCAATTATATTGTCATTGTCATTATCATTATTATTTTTATGCTATAAAAATTGTATTAAAATTCGTTGATCTTCTTCTATATTTACAATAGAAAGATGCTGATATATTCAAAACCCACAAGGATAGAAACATGATATGAAAAAATTATTGACTTTAGATATATATTCATATCTAGCAGATCTCTTCTACCGATAAGAAATATTTATCAAATTGTTTTGTGTACATTCACTGATACATAAACAGTTTATATGTTACATTTTGATGTGGATTTGTATTTGCTAAAATCTGATTGATCTATCTATTTAATCTTAAGAAGAAGGAATGAAATCTAAAAAGGTTTTATAAATTGACTAATTCAATGTAATATTATTTACTTACCTGACATATTTGTTTCTAAAGATAACCGTACTATAATTGCAATATATGTTGACAACAATTACCTCTAACCTGGCTCTGCTTTTTTGGTTTGAAAATATATATAAATTCTTTAGTGATCCTTTCTGGTTCAGTATGGAACTCAGCAACAACCAATTATCTTCACATTCTGTCCTTAACGCTTCTGGGAAATTTTTCACTTAGTAATTGTTTGATAAACAAAATAGTTTCAATACGCGATTTTTCATCAAATTCATAATTTTCCATATCACCGGCCATAGAATTAATCACAATGTTTTTGATCATTTCCTCTTCATCTTTATCTATTTTAATAACACCTATTACTTGTGTTACATTATCAAAATTCCATGCTTTGATATAGCTAGACAATGGTTTGAATCACATAGGAATTTCTTCAACTTTAGATAATTTCATGTTAAATTTGTGGTTGTAATTTTCAGAGCAATACTTAACAGCATATCTATTTAAGTTTCTAAAGGTGTAATAAAAACCATATTCATATTATCTAGACAAAGGTATATGGCTTTCATAAGTGTTTGTTTCTTGATTCGTTGGAATAAGATCTACCTTTTGTTCAACATCTATCTTCTTTTCTCTGTGAACATTATCTGTGTCTTTTCCAGTATTTGAAATCTTCTGTAGGGCTTCGACCAATTCCCCTAACTTTTTAGTCTTTTGTGTCTCTTCATTTACAGTCAAATCTATATTCAATATGACTTGTACAACTTCCTTTTTCAAATCTTTCGTTTGATCGTTGATGATTTTGTTGTTCCCAATATCTTTATCATCAATAACGGCGACACTACCATGTTGGAAGTTAGGGCACTTAGTGTCTATGGTAATAGTAGAAGTAATTAAGTTATGAAGATTGTTGGAAAATGAGAGTTTATTATTGTCATTTCCATAAGAATTATTTTTAATTAGTTTTTCTATATATTATGTGGTGTACAGATGTACCATACTATCAGAAAGACATTATACACTATATAATAAGTATATACATGTATTTAGTACAAAACACAATAAGCATCTATATCTTAATGATGGATATTATTACCATGGACTCTGAAGGCTCCAAATTCCAACAAAGATTTATTTTATCTTTATGTTTAAATACATATATACCGATCATATATTATTTTTCATAAAAAACTTCTTTTACTTCTTCAAGCAAGTCTTTTAAAAATTTTTCAATATTTTTGAATCTTTGAAAAAAACATTCGATGCAAAAAACTAAAATTTTATACTTATATTTATGGTACATTCATACGTCACACAATATACAAAAAACCTAAATTAAAAATAATTTTTAAGAAGATGACCATAATGGACTCTCATTTTCCAACAAAAATAAATCTTCAACCATCTAGATAAGAATGTGCTATATTTGAGTTATCTGATCACATCAATCTGCACGTCCCTGTATTCAATAATAAAGAAGCCAACGTCACCGAGATTACCTAAGATTCTAGCTGAATCTAGAATTACCTATTATGCTTTAAGTGCAACATGTTCACATACCTCTACTACTGCACCACCATAAACTATTATTCCAAATGTTCTATGAAGTTCCATTATATTATTATAACTAACAATAAAGATATGAGCTACCAATCCATTAATATATCATGTTGAGTAATTGATACATTAATAGACTTAGTGATCCAAACCCTAATATTTATTATAATAAGTGTACGACATATTAAAACAATAGATAGTTCTAAATTCATTCAGAATCGTTTATAAACTTAGTGGTAATAACTATTCTATTCCACAACAGCTAATGTTATAGTTTGGACTTAGGACTAATTCTTTAACAGGACTATTGAACGAATAGTAAGGGCAATAGCAAATATATAAGAACGTTATATATTGGAGAATTAAGGATTATTGCTTGTTTTTTCTATTTATGTTTTTATACAATATATAGATTATTTACAAAAAACGGTCATGGAAGATGATTTTTTATCTCCAGAAAACGTTGTCCTTTTATGTATTTTCTGGAGCTCGATCGATTATTCAGATTAGTACATTAATGACTTGACTGATTCAAACCCTAAAATTTATTACATTAATTTAGGTGCACTAGTGGATTAGAACTGCACCTCAATTCTCTAATTATGGTAATTATTATTCTATTCTACAATAGCTAGTGTTGTGAAATAAAATAGTTATAACCATCAAGATTACATAAGATCCTGAATGAATCTAGAACCAATTAGTGTATTAGTAAGCCATACATGTGCTACAACATTAGATGCTGCATAATAAAAAGATTGGATTACATAAGATCTTGGCAAATCTAGAATTTACCTATTGTTTTATTAAGTCCCACGTGTATTACTAATCACCATGATTAGAGAATTGGGATGCAGTTCTAATCCAGTAGTGCACCTAAATTAATATAATAAATTTTAGGGTTGAATCAGTCAAGTCATTAATGTAGTAACCTGAATAATCGATCGAGCTCCAGAAAACATATAAAAGGACAACGTTTTCTGGAGATAAAAGATCATCTTCCATAACCGTTTCTTGTAAATAATTTATATATTATATATGAAAAAAAGAGAACAACAAGCAAGTAACAAGTCAAGTAACTTCGAATAAGTACATTAGCTCGATATAAGCCGCTTAATATATAAGACCGTTTTAGTAATTATACTATCGACTATAGTTGATTACTGTCTCGATTATTTGAATTACTATTAATATTATTTGCGCTTCCCTGGAATACACAAAGAACTTCACCATACCATACTACAACAGCTAGCATGTTGTACGCTTTGGTAGCTCAGTAGGAAGAGCGTCAGTCTCATAATCTGAAGGTCGAGAGTTCGAACCTCCCCCAGAGCATCTATTTTTGCATGCATTATATAACGTAAAGTGTACATTATGATCTACTTTTTTTATGTGACATTATAGCAGAAGAAGCCCTATTACGAGAGCTGTAATAGATGACAACCCGATTACGAGGGATATACTCTTCTAGACATTAAAATAGACAGATATAGCTTGATTTTGTTGTCTATATATGACATATAGACTATACTCTACATAAAGAGTAAACTACTATATACAGATATACAGAAAAACATAGTTATATAAACAAGATAAACAAGAAAACAAGAGCGTCATCGTCGACCGAGGAGTTCACATGATCGTTTATAGTGACCTCCAGATTTCATATGTTACAAGAGCTGTACACTTTTAGAATATAAAATATAATAAATGATTCATAGTCATTATTCTCTAGTATATGCTAGATAAACTATATCGTACCCAAAGAGTGGTATAAGCAAATAAAAACAAAGGTAGATACGTAGTTTATCCATATAAGAGAAAACGAGAACGTAATTGTCAACTTAAAAGTTTGTTGAAGGTATATTAATGGAATATACCCATGATTCATATTTTGTTTCATGAACTATGTTAAAAATTCAAAATGTTGATTGATATAGACTGCAACAACATTTAGATATTACTATCTCACCTTATTTCCAAATATAGATGTATTAATATTTAAATAATATTTTAAAATCTATCATCCTATTGAAAAAAAAAGTTTGATTAAGACTGCTACCACATTTAATCCGTAACAATGTCAGGTATATTCACACACACATACACATATATATATATATATCAAATACACTTAAAAGAGGATAATAGCGAACATATATGAAATAATAACACGACCTAATTTACAATGCAACTACTATTTATTGTGGACACAAATACAGCATTTGTTAAACATATTTCCCTTGTTTTTCCATATATATAACTGTAATCTCTTTTATTAATGCTATTATATACTCATAAATATACATAAATTATATATACATATATATATATATATATATATAATGTCTTTTGTTAATGTCACAATACTGCAAATAATGATAATATCTCATCAAAGAAATCATTATGTAATTTTTCATTTTACTCTTTGTTTTATTGCTTCTCTTCAACCATAAGACACAGTTTCCTAATTAGGAACTTTGGCACGTGACCTCCTTACTTTCATAGTCAATCCTGTTTTTTGTCTTTAGTTTTTTTTTTGACATGGCAAATGAAATATTTCTTCTTTTCCTCATTTCTTTTACAATATAGTAAAAAGAACTGTATTTAACAGTGTTAAAGTCTGTCTATATTGACATTCAACGACCAATTGTAACACTACAATATAACCAATTATAAGATAGTCGATCAACTAAACAAAATTTTATTAAAGGTGTGCAAGTTTTGCCCTTTATCACTGTTATTTATTTATTTATTTATTTATTTTTCTTTTCCATAAGAAAACTATAAGGTTGAGTTAACCAGATTATATTTTCTTCATAACTTGAAATATTCATTTAGTATATTACAATCATATTTGCTATTTAGTTGTCAGAAAAAACAAAGAAAACACATACTTCTTCTAGAAAAGTATATAGGAATTTCCCATGTCATTTGTTGAGCAACTAGACAATCTGGTAACCAAGTTTGGCGACAAATCCACACTCCTCACAGACAAATTTACTATTCTTTCTGAAATTCAAGATTTATTGGATGGAAAATTCGGCAATGATTTCGAATTGTGTATAAACAAAATAGTCCCCTCCCTCGTTTCTGGTCTTAATGAAATCACAATTTCCTTTGATGAAAATTCTAACGAACATAAACTGAGACACAATATTCTAGAATTATTAAACTCATGTTTTAGTAATCAATTATCAGAGGAACTAGTTAATAATGTTTTGGATTGCTTATTAAATATATTACCCAAGGAAAATGAAGAGAATGGTATTATTTGTATGAGGATCTTAACTCTTCTATTCAAATCATTTAAAAATATATTACAAGAAAAAGTTGAACAATTTATATGCATAATTATCCAATGTTATAAAAATTCTCGTGAGTTAGTTAATAAGGAATTCGATCAAAATAACGATCTTCTTTCCAATGACATTGTTCCATTAAAAGATCCCTTGTCACAAAATTTATTAGATGAAAATATACACTCTTTTAACAGTGAGTTCTCTAATGAACTAACCACTATAAAAGATGATTTCTCTATGGCAGACAATGAAAATTTGACTGTAAAGAAAGATACTGAAACCGATAACAGTTATACAGCAAATGTTACTGCTGGTTCATTAAGAAGTACTATGCATTCTTTTAAGGTCTTATCTGAATGCCCAATTACAATGGTAACACTATATTCTTCCTATAAACAACTAACAAGGACTTCTCTACTTGAGTTTACTCCGTTAGTTTTGGAATTACTTAAACTTGAAGTTGACAAACAAAGATTGGCAAGACAAGAAGCTGAAGCTAGAGGAGAAAAGTTTACTGATGTAGCACCTGGGATCACCAATAGAGAAGTTTATTGTGAATTCATTTTAGCTCAAATTAAAGCAACATCCTTTTTAGCGTATGTATTTATTAGAGGATATGCCACTGAGTTTTTACAAGGTCATGCAGAATTTGTTCCTGATTTAATCATTAGATTATTACAGGACTGTCCATCAGAACTTGCATCTGCCAGGAAAGAACTTTTACATGCTACTAGACACATTCTCTCCACAAATTATAAAATGTTTTTCTTATCAAAACTTCATTATTTGTTTGATGAAGATGTTTTAATTGGGAAAGGTTTTACTACATATGAGATACTAAGACCATTGGCATATAGTACCGTAGCAGATTTTATCCATAATGTTAGAATGGAGCTTCGATTAGATGATATAGAAAAGACCATAAAAATGTATACCCGCTACCTGCTAGATGAATCATTAGCCTTTACTGTTCAAATCATGAGTGCAAAATTATTACTAAACCTTGTGGAAAGAATTTTAAAATTGGGAAGAGAAAATCCTCAAGATGCACCCAGAGCTAAGAAAATGCTTATGATTATTATTAATGCCTACATGACAAGATTCAAGATTCTAAATAAACAATATGATAACATAATGAAACGCCACAAAAAATACATTCAAACACGAGATGCCAATTCCAAAGAAATTAAGAGTTTGGTAGAAATAGAGGATATAGGTATAGACATTTACATGAAAAAAGTATTCAAGGTGAAAAATTCTAATGAAAATGATCTTCCTTCACACCAGTTATCCCATGTTTCAGAAGCCGACTCTGAAGGTGATATAAAAATGACAGATGACTTAAAAGTAGAAAATGACAGTCAAAATAAACAAAAAATTGATGATATATTTGATCTTCGATATTTCAATTCTATTAAAATCAGCCAAAATCCGAATACGGACCCCATCAAAGATGCATTCTATCTTTATCGTACCTTAATGTCCTTTCTCAAAACTATTATTCATGATTTGAAAGTATTTAATCCACCACCCAATGATTATACACAAAATCATACTAAACTATGGACTGCCATATCTAGAGTCTTCTCTTATGAAGAAGTAATTATGTTTAGAGAACTTTTTCATGAATGTATTATTGGGCTGAAATTTTTTGCAAACCCTAACCCACCACAACAGATCACGAAAAAACATTTTGATATCACTGTTCCAAGCCTACCTGTCACTGCGACAAAGGATGGTAAAGAATTAATGGAATACCTAGCTTTTATATTTATCCAATTAGATAGTACAACATTCAATGAAATTATAGAAACTGAAATGGAATTTATTTATGAAAGAATGCTAGAAGATTCTGCACTGTTACATGTTGCACAGTCATTCCTTACTACTGAAATTACATCAGCTAATTTCTTTAGTATATTATTAAGATTTTTAAATACCAAATTAAAAGATTTGGGAAATGTGGATTTCAATGAATCTAATGTATTAATTCGATTATTTAAATTGTCATTTATGTCAGTTAATCTATTTCCAAACACAAATGAATTGGTTTTATTGCCTTATCTAAACGACCTAATCTTAAATTCTATAAAGTATGCAACACAAACAGAGGAGCCATTAGTATACTATTATCTAATTAGAACATTGTTTAGAAGTATTGGTGGTGGAAGATTTGAGAATCTTTATAGATCTATTAAAACCATTCTTCAACTTTTACTTCAAACATTAAATGATATGATATTAACAGCAAAATTACCTCATGAACGAGAATTATATGTTGAACTTTGTATAACAGTACCTGTACGACTTAGTGTTTTGGCACCGTATCTTCCATACTTAATGAAACCATTAGTTTATGCTTTACAAGGATACCCTGAACTAATTTCACAAGGGTTAAGAACACTAGAATTATGTATTGACAACTTAACGGCAGAATACTTTGATCCTATTATTGAACCAGTCGTTGATGATGTCTTAAAATCCCTATTTAAGTTATTACAGCCTCAGCCATTTAATCATACTACAAGTCATACAGTTGTTAAAATTTTAGGGAAACTTGGCGGTAGAAATAGAAAATACCTTAAGCCCGCTAATGATTTAGAAATTAAAGATGAATTGAATTATGATCTTAATGCTTATTTCAAGGCTAAAGGAATGCCAAATGAATTCGAACTTTCTTTGACAACTGGTGTAGAGTCAGCCTTGGATATTATCATTAGTTACAAAGCAGATGTCAGTTACAAAATTAGTTCTTTTAACTATCTTTCAAAAATTTTGATGCTTTTTTTAAAATCCTCTATCGAATTTCCAAAAGATTATGCAGAATCAACCAAAAAAGTTTTTAAAGCTCAGACTTTGGATAAATATGATGTGGAGGAAAATTTTGAGTTAGGACAATCGAGACCTAAAAATGAATATTCATATCAAGAGAAACTTTTACTAAAACTATTAGAGGCGATGTTTATAGCAACTTCTATCAAAGAAATAGAAGGAGAAGCAACTCAATTGTTAAATCACATAACTGATCATTTTTGTTTATTGTATGTTAGCAATGTAGCATTAAGAAAAAGAAACTTAATGAATTTGTTTAACCTAGATATACAACAGCCTGATTTTTCATTAGATAGCACTACTTTGATTCATGCTGTTTCTTCATCATTAGCCAGTCACATTCCAGATGTGCAAAAAAGTGCAATATGCATAATCAATAGAATATACAAACAATCTGAATTAATATGTGGCAAAGAGTATGTTTTTGAATACTCACTAGTATACGAGCTAATAAAGCAATTTATGCATAATTGTTATAAAGAGGCATTCTATGATAAAAAGGCAGGTATTCTAGGTATCAAAACCCTCATCAACGACATTAAGATATCTGTTGATTTCCTTGGAAAGGCCCAACCAGATCTGGTTAATGCCTTTTTATTTGTTTTAAAAGATACACAAATTGGTGTTTCTACCCAAATAACAGAAGATGCCGAGAGACTATTAATTGAAGTTCTTAAAATTACTCTTAAAGGAGTATCAGAAACAGATTTGGATTCAAAGCTTCTTCATCATACTATAACTGATATATGTATCGGATTAAGCAACTCACAAACCAGCGTAAGAAATGCATGTCAAAAATGCCTAACAGTTATAAATGAGGTGACAAACATTCCTGTTGTAAAGTTAATAGACAGGTCAAAAAAATTTTTACTCTCACCAATATTTGCAAAGCCACTTCGTGCACTTTCTTTTACTATGCAAATTGGTAATATTGATGCTATAACTTATTGTTTAGGATTACCTGATACCTTTTTAACATTTAATGAAGAGCTTTTCAGATTGCTTCAAGAAGTTGTTGTTTTAGCAGATGCAGATGATGAATCATTGTCAACAATTCAAAGAGCAACTGAACATCAAACATCTGAACAACTTGTTCAATTAAGAATTGCATGTATAAAACTACTTACATTGGCTCTAAAAAAGCCAGAGTTTGCTATGGCTCAATCAGGTAACCTCAGAATTCGTGTGCTGGCTGTATTTTTTAAGACCATGCTAAAACCATCGACTGAAATTATTGATACTACATACGAAGCATTGAGGAGTGCTCTAGAAGAAAATTCTAAACTACCTAAGGAATTACTACAAAATGGTTTAAAGTCAATGTTAATGAATTTATCTGACCATCAAAAATTAACTGTATCTGGACTATACGCATTGTCTAAGCTACTTGAATTATTAATCGCATATTTCAAAGTCGAAATAGGTAGAAAGCTTCTTGATCATTTGGCTGCATGGTGTCGTATTGAGGTCTTAGATAGTATATTTGGCAAAGATATCAACAAACAACTCCCAACAGAAATTATTTTAGGTATTATCAACATATTCCACTTACTTCCACCTAAGGCCGACATGTTCTTAAATGATTTATTATTAAAAGTTATGCTCCTTGAAAAAAAATTAAGAATTCAATTAGATTCACCATTCCGTCTTCCTCTTGCTAAATATTTGAATAGATTCCACCATTCTGTCACAGAATACTTCAAAAAGAATATGGCGTTAAGACAGCTCGTAATATTTATGTGCAAAATCATCCAGTACCCCGAAGCAAAAGAACTTGCAGAATCGTTTGAAGCCGAAATTCCTAACTTCTATTCATATTATATGACCAATTTGTCCACTAACCAAATTAGGGCAGTTAGCTTCTTTGCTAACATAGTTGATTTATTTGACACTATGGCCAAGATAAAAGGTGAGGACTGGTTAAAGAGTCAAAGTAATATGGTGTTTCAATTAAAAGATATGTTAAATGCAACTTATCACACTATAACTTCCAACTCCTTTTTTGTTGACGAATTACAATTAGAACAGGCTATTTCAAAATTTCAACCATTATATTTAAAGACTATTTCCTATCAACATGAAGAACAAGACACCTTGCTATTGAGTTTCATTGATTTCTGTATTTTAACAAGTAATAAAGTTCCTCATTCAGTTCTTCAATTCATCTTTGACAAATACATGCTTTCAACAAAAAATAATGAATGTAATCAATTTTTAACAAAAGCCATTAGTCATATGGTAAAGTCAAAAAATAATGATATCCAGAAATATATTGCAAAAAATATTGTTAATAATATTTTAGTTTACCAGGGTGTGATGAATGGTTCCTTACGATTGCTATGTGATGATGACAAAAATTCTGTGGACTGGTTAACTATGATTCGTGATGATCTCTGGAAACCAAAAGATTCTAGCATCCTTACAATTTCCTCGGATAAATTAGATTTTTATAGATTTTTCCTACTTCAAATTACAGCTTCTTTTATAAAGTGGGCTCCTACTATTTTTACTGATCTTAGAAAAGATATTATTAAGTTTGTTTGGAACTTGTTAAAATCGGAAGATATTCTAATTAAGCAATCTGCCTATTATGTTATTTCCTTATGTATATCTAAATTCGATTTCCCTACTAATATCATTACACAAGTTCTTGTTGCCTTAATGAGAAATTCGAACAGCGAGGGTCGTTATTTAATTACACAATCTCTAAACTCTATTGCCCCTGTCATAAATAGAGAAATGAAAAAAACCAAATATCCTAAGGAATGGATTGATTGGATTAAACGTGTTCTATTTGAGAATAATTCAAGTCAAAATAATAACACATTATATCAGTTCATGGTAAATCATAGTCGTTTACTCTTTGATTCTAGACATCTATTTGTTTCCAACATTATCAATCATATGAATAAAATCACGTTTGTAAACAATGCAAATGCTGATATGCATGCACTAGCTATCGATCTGGCATCACTTATTTTAACCTGGGAAGAAATGGCCTTACAAGAAAGCAAATCAAACAAAGTCGATACAGATGGTGATATTGAAATGTCTAATGCAGAATTTAGTGAAAAAACCGCTCAAAAAGGCCAATATACTATTCCAATTCACCAAAGAGAACTTTGTATTTCATTTTTGATTCGTTATATCTGTGCGACCGACCATAGGGCAAGTGAAAGCGAGCATGGAATAAAAGCATTGAACATTCTCTCTCAGTTATTATCGCCAAAACATTGGTCAGACGTTAATATAAAATTATCATATTTTGAACGATTTTTTGCAAACGTCGACTTAGTATCTGAAAATACTGTGTATTGCTGCATCAATACCATAGATGTTTTGTATATATTTATCCATAGTCAACAGTCTCAATGGATCATGGAAAATTTGGCCATTACTGAATCTCTTTTAGAAAAATTGATCAAAATTAATCATCATGACATCCAAGAATCATTACAGAAACTATTGAACATCATCTTAAAGTCCATTAAACTTCATGAAAGTAGTATAGCCACACCAGAGGAGAAACCATTAAATACTTTTGTTAAGAACTTGATTGAGACAATAAGCACTGATCTACAAGGAACAACTTCTATCCCAGCTGGTGTCACTTTAGTATGGACTCTGTTTGTCAACTTCTCAGAATCCATTGATTCCTTATTACCTCTTATTATGAAAAGTTTTAATAAACTTTGTAAGGATCACTTGAGTACTTCTCAACCAAAGGATGCTATTGCATTAGAGGAGGCAAAAATAACTACCACTTTACTTGAAAAATTACTATGCCTTCTCTCAACCAAAATATCTGCTTTGGGAGATTCAAGACGTCCATTCTTATCGACAATCGCATTATTAATTGATCGTTCAATGGACCAAAAATTTTTAAGAAAGATAATCGACATTTCAAGAGTATGGGTGTTTAGTGACGAAATTTTTCCTACAGTGAAAGAAAAAGCAGCAATTCTTACGAAAATGTTAGCATTTGAAATAAGAGGTGAACCATCACTTTCCAAAATGTTCTATGAAATTGTTCTAGAACTATTTGATCAGAAAAAATTTACCAATACAGAGATCACGGTAAGAATGGAACAACCATTCCTAGTAGGATCCAAAACACAGGATCCTCAGATTAGAAAAAAGTTTATGTCAATTCTACAAAATAGTCTGGAGGAAAATATTAAAGAACGTTTATATTATATTATTCGCGATCAAAATTGGGAATTTATTGCTGATTATCCATGGCTTAATCAAGGCATTCAACTGTTATATGGTTCATTTGATAAAGATCATATATTAGAACCACGTCACAATAATACATTCTTCCTTTCTACCATGCTTCATGAGTACTTACCAAAAAATAGTGATATCAAAATAAATGATAATTTAGAGCCTTTGGAGAATTTCATTAATGATCACAAAAAACATATGGAGAAATTGTGCACAATTAAGGCATGGGATATTTTAGAACCATTAATCGAAATATTCTATCAAAGTCCAAAAGCTATTCAAAAGACCTGGTCTAACCTTTTTGTTCAAGTGTATCAGTGCATACCAAGAAGTGAAAAGTATGGATTTGTGCGTTCTTTGATTACTCTTTTATCAAAACCATATCATTCAAGACAGACAAATACAAGATTCAACGTTATAACTATGCTACTTGAATCAATAAGTAAAATAGATAGCTTAGAAATTCCACCACACCTCTTAAAATACTTAGCTATATCCTACAACTCATGGTACCAATCTATCAATCTCCTAGAATCTATGCAAGAGAATCCATCTATAGATAATGTCAAAATAATAGAAGCTAATGAAGATGCCTTGTTAGAATTATACCGTAACTTGCAAGAAGATGACATATTTTATGGTTTATGGAGAAGACGTGCCAAATTCAATGAAACCAATATTGCTTTATCTTATGAACAAGTTGGCTTATGGGACAAAGCTCAACAACTTTATGAAGTTGCTCAGGTAAAGGCTCGAAGCGGTGCATTGCCCTATTCTGAATCTGAATATGCTCTTTGGGAAGATAATTGGATTCTTTGTGCAGAAAAGCTTCAACAATGGGATATTTTGACAGAATTAGCCAAGCATGAAGGATTCACCGATTTATTATTGGAGTGTGGTTGGAGAGTGGCTGATTGGAATGCTGATAGAGAAGCACTAGAACAATCTGTGAAAAGTGTTATGGATGTTCCAACACCAAGAAGACAGATGTTTGAAACCTTTTTGGCTCTTCAAAACTTTGCAGACACCGGAAAAGGAGACCAAGAGATTAGAAGATTATGTGACGAAGGAATTCAATTGAGTTTGTACAAATGGGTATCCTTACCACAAAGATATACATCTGCCCACAAATGGCTTCTACATGGATTTCAACAATACTTAGAATTTCTTGAAGCTACACATGTTTTTACAAACCTCCATACTACTACTGCTCAGAACATTGATTCTAAGGCTCAAGAAGTAAAAAGAATATTTCTGGCCTGGAGAGATAGATTACCCAATGTTTGGGATGAAATTGATTTGTGGAATGATTTAGTTACATGGAGGCAACATACATTCCAAGTAATTAACAATGCCTATCTTCCATTAATTTCTACATTACAACAAAATGGTAGCAGCAATGCCATCAACACACATGCCTATAGGGGCTATCACGAACTTGCCTGGATTATCAATCGTTTTGCACATGTTGCTAGAAAACATAATATGCCAGATGTATGCATAAATCAACTTGCAAGAATATACACCCTACCAAATATTGAAATTCAGGAGGCATTTTTGAAATTACGTGAACAGGCAAAATGCCATTACGAAAATATGAATGAATTGACTACAGGTCTTGATGTTATTAGTAATACTAATCTGGTTTATTTTGGTACTAGTCAAAAAGCAGAATTTTTCACACTTAAAGGTATGTTCTTGTCAAAATTAAAAGCATATGATGAGGCGAATCAGGCTTTTGCTACTGCAGTTCAAATTGATTTGAACTTAGCTAAAGCGTGGGCTGAGTGGGGCTTCTTCAATGATCGCCGTTTATCTGAAGAGCCCAACAATATTAGCTATGCTAGTAATGCAATTAGTTGTTATCTTCAAGCTGCTGGTCTTTACAAGAATTCTAAAACAAGAATTTTATTATGCCGTATTTTATGGTTAATAAGCATGGACGACGCTGCAGGCTCTTTATCCAAGGCCTTTGATTCGTTCAGAGGTGAGATACCGGTATGGTATTGGATATCATTTATTCCACAACTACTTACATCATTATCTCACAAAGAAGCTAATATGGTTAGACAGATTCTAATCCGTATTGCAAAGACCTACCCACAAGCCTTACATTTTCAACTTAGAACTACAAGAGAAGATTTCGCAGTCATTCAACGTAGAACCATGGCTGTTCTTGCAGATAAAGGAAGTAATTTAATTACATCGCATAACGAAGACACCCGCCAACCTTGGGAATACCTTCAAGAATTGAGTAACATATTAAAAACTGCATATCCATTACTTGCTCTTTCTTTAGAATCTTTAGTTGCTCAAATAAATGAAAGATTTAAAACAACTACTGATGAAGACTTATTTAGACTAATAAATGTTTTGTTAATAGATGGGACATTCAATTATAATCGTTTACCACTTCCAAGAGAACATTCAAAGCTTCCAAGCAATACAGAAACAAATTTAATGAGACTTTCTGAAACATTATTAGATCCCCATATTAGACCCAAATTTAATGCTGATTTTATCGATAGCAAACCAGACTTTGAAGCTTATTTAAAACGATTACGTTATTGGAGAAAAAGATTGAAGTGTAAACTTGACAGAGCTCCTCAAGTTGAGTACCTTGAACGTATTTGCCCAAATTTAAGCAATTTCCACCACCAAAAGTTTGAAGAAATTGAAATTCCTGGTCAGTATTTGTTAAATCACAACAACAACCATCATTTTATCAAAATTGCTAGATTTTTACCTGACATTAAATTTATACGTGATACTCATGCGTCACACAGAGTTATTAAGATTCGTGGCCACGATGGTAGTATCCACGAATTTTCAATCCAATCTCCTGCTGCCAGACACTCAAGAAGAGAAGAAAGAATGTTCCAACTATACCGGTTATTGAATGAAATATTATCTAAGAACGTTGAAGCTAGAAGACGTAATATCCAATTTAGCATTCCAATTGCTGTACCATTATCTCCTCAAATTCGTTTAATGAATGATAGTTCATCTTTCACGACACTTCACAAGATTTATGACGAGGCTTGTTCTAAGATGAATATTGATCCTGATAATATTCAAGACTTTATTTTCAAAGAATTAAACAATGCTTACGATAAATCATTGCCAACACCCGATATAACATTAGTGAAAATTGAGATTTTTAATTCCATTCAATCTCTATACATTCCTTCCTCAATGCTGAAGAATTACTTCACTAACTTATACAATCAATTCGAGGACTTCTGGTTATTCCGTAAAAACTTCGCATCTAAATATGGCTCATTTACACTTTTGTCATATATGACAATGATTAATAATCGTACACCAAGTAAGATTCATGTCGATAAAAAATCAGGTGATGTATTTACATTGGAGATGCTACCATCGAGGTATCCATTTGAGAGAGTTAAACCATTACTGAGAAATGCTGAAATCAACCTCCCACCAGACGCTCCAATTTTCCATAATAACGAACCAGTACCATTTAGACTAACACCAAACATTCAAAAATTGATTGGTGATTCCGCATTAGAGGGCATATTCTCGATTGATCTATTTACAATAGCAAGGGCATTGCTTGAACCAGAGAACGAATTAAACACTTATCTGACTTTATTTATCAGGGATGAAATAATTTCATGGTATAGTAACTTACACCGTCCAATTATTGAAAATCCACAATTGAGGGTTATGGTACAAACTAATGTTGACTTATTAATAAAGAGAGTAGCACAACTTGGACATTTAAGCTCTACTCCGACAGTAACAACCCAAGTTGTCTTGGATCTGATTGCATTAGCCGTTAATCCAAGAAATTTGGCTGCTACAGACGTAAGTTACATGGGATGGTTTTAGATATAATTATTATGAAATAGTTTTATTAAATCTATTATACTAATCCTCTATAAATATGTTATGTATCTGATGCTATTTTGTATATTGCTGCTATTATTATTACTAAATATAACCTGCAATTTAAGTAAAGAATTAATGTGATATAAAATATCGACTTTCAACCATTAAAATTGCAACAATAATTTATAATAGTTCTTGTAATGAATATTAAAATGCAAATATACATGACATTGCGTTATATACATGGTTTCATTTATTTACTTAACTGTTGGTCTACAGCAGGTTAAAATTGCTAATTCAGTTATTCATATTTCACATTTAATTTATTCAAACAAGCTGAAATCTCATTGAAAACAGCCTCATCAGATTCTTGTCTATCCATAAATAAAATATCCGAGTCCAAACTATCATCTAAATTAGAATCCTCATTTTCGCCAACTTTTTCACTATTATGATCATTTACAATTTTATTAATATTTAAATCATGAACCCTCGAAGGAAGTCTTTGTGGGGGTAAACCTTCCTTAATTACACTGTTAATTTCCATAATTATCGATTTATTTATATTTTTAGGTATCGGCCAATCAAATCTAATAACATAGTACAACAATATGAAATGATTAAGATTAAAATTTCCTGAATATATTTTTTCATACCATAATCTTGCGTCAGAATATCTTTTTAAATGAATTAATTTTAAAACCATTGAACAACAGATGTTGAAATTCAATGGTGTTCGATTTATTTGCATGATATTTAATAATTTTGAAATCTGGCTCATTGACAAATATTTATAAGATGATTGAATCAATAATGTAGATGGACAATTATGATTAACATAGGATTGTGGGATCCTTTTATAAAAATCATCATGATGACTTGTCTTAGTTATATTTTTATTTTTACTAGTAACAATTCTAACTGTTTTAGCTAATTTTTGAGAATAAAAATCTAAAAGTATCTCATATGCTAATTGATGGTCGTTGAGCTCAAAGATAATATTTTTTAAAAATTGTATCAATACGCCAGAATCATTTTTCCAAAAATAATAACTCTTTCTAGAAGAATTCAATTTATTAATATAATTATGATATAGTTTTAAGAGGACATCTTTATTACACTCTTTTGATAATATCATACTATTCTTTTTTAATACTGTTAGATACAATTCAGTGAGTACTGGAGCCAAATCATCAATCTTAAATTTAAGGTTTGTGTTTAAAAATTGATTTAACGAATCACTCGTCAATATTTTTAATTCAAGTGGAGCCAAAGTCGATACTTCTCCATTAAAGATCCATCCAATCAGCCCCAAATCATTTAATATTTGTTCCATGTTAGGTGATCTCACAGAGGCTATTAAGAATTGGATACTTAATTTAGGGTCATGGAATGCTCGCAGAGTAGTTAATAATTCCAATAACAATCTTTTTTGGAACTGAAAACTTGTAAATAATGTATTCAACAAAGTTTTAGAACCATCATTTCCAACTTTAATCGATTTATTGTTTAAATATGATATCATTTGGAAAATTTCATCATTTTGACCATTAATTCTTAATAATTTTAGAATCTGTAATAAAGGTTTATTTAGGATTGCCAAATTTCCAATAGTAGTTGAAGCTAAAGAAACAGAGGTAGTTGATAAAGAAGAAGAGGAAGGTACTGAGAGTGTTAAATTATTCACAGATTCAATAATTAATTTAAATATTGGTAAAACTAGTTTCCAATTATTTAAATTCGATAAAACAGTCATTAATTCAACAAGAAATTTGATGAAGGACCTTTGTAAGTTCAATCTTCTTTTATTTTCAGTTAAAAAACTTTTGTTGTTATTTTTAGTTTGTAGTTGGTTTAGTTTTTCAATTAAAGCTGTTAAATAGTATGGTACAAATCTCCAGTTACCTCTTTTGATGACATTATTAGTCAATAGAATCATTGTATCCCAATCGTAGATTGATATAAATTTTTTAATAAAATCATTTTGACATAACTTATAGTGATCATTTGTTGTTTCAGCCTTATTATTATTAACATTATCATTGCTATCAGATAGTGTAAAATTATCAATTAAGTATTTTTCTAATGTGACTAATTGAATGTCTAATTCAGAGGATTGCAATAATTTATGAATTAGCCTTTTAGAATAGATAGATGAAGTCAAGTTAATGTTCCAATTAATCATGTTATTAATATGATCATATATTTGATCCTTAGATAAATTTTGATAGAACCAAAGATGAATTGCATTAGATAAATAAATAGTCTTTAAATCTCTGTTAATATTAGTATTATTATTACCAGCTTCATGTTTGGAGCATGAGTGATATTGAAGTTGGATAGTTTCATACAGTTTTATTAGTTTGGAATTAGTTTTTAGTTTATTTTTGTTTAGAATTCTCAAAAGATTTGCTTTAAAATCAATCCAATTATAATCCTCATTTGAAACTAATAAAGAATTGGTAAACTTATTACCAACTGATGATATAGAATAATATCTATGTAGAATTCCTGATCTATTATGAATACTAATAAATCTTAAAGAATTGCTAACAAGATTATTGCATCTTTTGGTGAAAGATCTAAATGAAATCCTAGTCCTAGAATCAAAAGAATATATGCATGTTGTATGAAAGCCTCTTAAACCAGATTGTATAAATCTTAACCATATTGTCATAATGTGACATTACCCGTAAATTTTCTACTTTATATAATTGGGATTCCAGATATACACTGATTTGAATGAACACTTAAAAAAAGAAAAGAAAATTTTGATAATTTTACAATCAAAACAAATCACAGTATTAGAATGTAGTGATAACGACTATTCACTACATTAATGTATACACATATATTTGTAAATTCCAACAGAGCAGTTTTTAGTTAATATAGTCATATATGTATGTGTAAGTATTGATTGTCAATATTTGTTTCCATTGATAATTCTCGAGCTCTCACCATTATAATCCATCAATCAAACAATAGCTGGACCTAAAAAGAAAAAAAAGAGAGAAAAAAAGAGAAAAACAAGAGAGAAAAAAAGAGAAAAACAAGAAAAACATATTCTTTGAGACCTACGTTTTATTTACAAAACCTTAGTAAAATACAATATAGTTACACGAAAACCCTAACTAATAAAGCAAACAAAAAAGCAAAATAATTATATAAAAAATACGCCCTTTCTTTCACGTGACTACTCCCAGCCAAAGGCCAGCCAAACGGCTCATAATGTGCAAATGCAATAGAATTAGGTCTATTTATTTTGGGGAAAATGGACACAATCCTTTTTATTTTTTGTTCATGTCAACTTATTTCCTAATTTAGCAATTTGAACCAGTAAATGGGTGATGGAGCCAGATTTAGTTGTGCAGAAACGTATTATATTATTTCATTACTAGATACTAAGAATAAGAAAGGGAAAACGTATGATGAGTATAATAAAGTAAAAAAGAGACAAATGTCCATCGATATCTTCTATAATAATAACGTACTCAAGTTACTGGCCCTGCAATAAATGAGATCTTTTTTCATGTCGAATAAATGAATAAACAAACACAAACTATATATAGACAAACGAGATTTATTAATTAAAGTTATAGTGATTATCTGATCTGTATGATCTCTTATCAACCGTGATTTTTTGTATTCTGGATAATATAATAAAACTACTTTTTCTGTATCTTCCCATATCTGTTTTTCTAATGCCAAGATCTTCCGACTAAATCTAACTTTTCTTCTTGTATAACCTTTTCAAGACCACTGAAGGCATACTGCCATTACTATTGTTATTCTTACTTGGAAAGCATAAGCAAAGAAATAAAGATACACAGGAGAGCTATTACCAACTATCAAACTGATTCAATTAATAGCATATAACTTCACAAGAAACTGTTTTTTTTTGCTGAGCTATTAAGAGTATTTTCTGTGTAAAAAAAGTACGTAACCAAGAACAAATGATCCCGGACGCAAATAAGAATATCAATCATTATTACAAGATCGATTTAGATCAAACTAAAAGACCAAGTGAAAATTTATATCATTTATTACACAAGGATTCAGTATCGAACAGCAATTGGAATCTTAAAAATAAACCTAGTTTCTGTTCGTTTGTTTCAAGTGTACCATCATTAAATTCGATCGAAGGAAATCAATCTATTCTATCGAAAGAATCTATAGCATCAAATTCTACTACAACCTCCCCTAACCTTAGCACTGCTAACACTGATACTACTACCACCAACATAATCCCCCCTGATCAATGTTGTAACCACCATTATTTAACGCCATCTCAGAGATATAGATTAAGAAAGAATCAGAATCAAAAACAATTAAGAAATTACATATATAACAAAGATTTATATTCATATGAGAACAAACATCAAAACCAAAAGGAACTAGAAGATCGATCAGAAGTGGCTCATTCGTATGCTTGCAATATCGATAATGATATAGATGATTCAATACTCTGGAATATTCCAAAGACCCACTACCCTTATTTCAACCCTTTGAATTCAAAGAATGTTTTAGCCACTGTGACAACTATACCAGGTATTAATAATGGAAATGAATATCCATGCAAGGATGAAAACAAACAAAAAATCAATCCTTCTTTTAATGAGTCGAAAATTATATCTGATATGGTCAGTACTCTATCAAATCAATATACTATTGAAGTTTCAAAAAAAACACATGATCGAGTCAAAGATAGGTATCAAAATATAAAAAATTTGCCAATTGAAATAAAAGAATTGAATTCAATGGGGTTAGAAGATATGAAATGTGTATCTTCGAATAAATTGAAATATTTGAATCAAGGTAGACCTATTTGGTTACCACCAAAAACAACTCATGAGATTGAAAAATATAAGACTGAAATGAAAAATTGTATGGATACCATATATAAAGAAGAGATGGTGAGACATAAATGGCTAAACGATTATAAATTGTTCATTGAGAAAAGTTATGGAAGATTATTCAGTTATAATAACAGCAGTAGTCATAGTAAAGTGGGTAGGACAAACTGGATTCAAAATATAAAATTTCTTAAACAAATTATAAAAAAAATCCCATTACCATATGAATTAAGGTATGATATATATATGGATCTATTAGACAAACCAGAACATTTTGAAGATTTCGATAAAATTTATAATAAATATGAAAGGATTATTCAAAATGATAGCTACCCGTATGATAAGTTGTTGGAGATAAAAGTTTTAATTCAAGATAAGATTGAAAATAAAAAAATTTTAACAATTGATGATCAAAAGATCTTATCTACAATATTTTTCTTACTAAAACTTAAATCCATATCTAATCAAGGGTTAATTAAAGGCGATGAAATAATCATCCATCATTTAATTAAAATGAATAAATTATCAATAGAACAAATATGGAATTTATTACAAATAATACAATATAATATTAACAATAACAATAATAATAGCAACAACAACAGCAACAATAATAATCTATATGAAAATGATTATGAATGGTATTGTCTAGAAACACCTAGAATCATGAAATTATGGGATACTAGGAATGACTATAAATATACGTATTGGTGGGATATAATGGAAAGAATTGATAATATTGATCTTTTCTTTTGGATTCTTGATACTATTGTTGTTATTACTAAAGATTTTACAAATAAGACTCGGTTAGCTCCAACACAAAGTTTGAAATTTATGATATCATTACCACTGTTAATTACAAGAGATTATCATTATGGATGGGACTCATTAAGTTTGATTCATGATACAAGTAAGTACAGGTTATTATTTCCTGGAGATGATTCTACAGATTTATTATACAAAAACTATCGTTTCATGTGTAAATTATGGGGATTAGCAAATACCCTTTAGTTTCTAAAAAAAGAATACATACAAACGTAACATGTATATATGAGTATATATAGAAAGAGATTAGCACAGACATCAACGAAACAAAGAAGAGAAGAGTAAATATATTCTTTTTTTCATAATCTTCTTCTTATATTAATTACACTAATAACAATGAACAGGACAATAAAAAATAAAAGAACAAATGAATCTATATACATTTTTTTCCTTTCTCTTTTCTTTCATTTCATCACTTTGAAGATTTTTTTTTTATTTTTATTTTTCTTATCAGATTGAGTAATTATATATTTAGATATATTGTGACTCAAAAATGATAAAAAAAGAAGAAGAGAGAAGAACAGATAGATTTCATATAAAAAAATACATACATACACATATATACTGGGGTTAGTAAGTATATTCTCATAGAAGAATGGAAAGTTAAAAAAAAATGATTAGTGATTCATTATGGTCAATCATATCCAATATAAATGGTAGTATATCCTTCTGTGCATCTTTTATATCATTATTCCCACAAATCATAGAAACATACCATGACAAGACAGTGGCTGGCCTGTCGCCATATTTCTTACTGTGTTGGTTACTAGGGGATATCACATCATTAATTGGTGCATTATTGACAAACCAGTTGATGTTTCAGATCCTATTGGCTGTATATTTCTTATTGAATGATTTATTTGTATGTGGACAGTACTATTATTATGGTATAATACACAAGAATAAATTAGCCACTATGGGTCATGAAGCTGTTCCTGTATTAAGTCAAGTCAGTAATAGTGGTATAAGTAATAAGAACAACAATAAAAATAATAACAGTAACGATCATAATAGTCAATTGATGCCACAAGAAAACGCTATTGATACCAGAGAGACTACCACTAACAATAACACAATAGGAAACGCGCAATTCTTAACTGGATTAATAACTGTTGCATCGAACACAGTGACTATGGCAGCTGCGATGAGATTTAAAGGTACCAATGCAATATCACCATCATCATCGTCATTATTACTATTATCCCAATTAAATCCGATGAGTGGTGATAGTAACAACAACAACAACAATCATAATAGTAATAACAATTATAATAGCAATAATAATAGCAAGCATATTATACATAAAATAATATACAACGATCCGACAAGTATAGGACTAATATTATCCTGGATAGGAGCCAGTTTCTATGTAGGAGCACGTATCCCACAGTTAATCAAGAATTATCAACGTAAGTCAACAGATGGGCTTTCGCCATTCCTTTTCGCTACTACGTTGTTGGGCAATGTGACATATGATATTAGTATCTTGACTAGTTTGAGTTTCATTCACTGTGATGATAAGATTGAATTCCTTAAAAGAGCGGCACCGTTTATATTCGGGAGTGCTGGTACAATTATATTTGATTTGATATACTTTTATCAATATTATATTTTGTATGCAGAGGACGTGAAATTAAGAACATTGGAAAGAGAACTATTGTCACCAAGAGTCAGTGAAGAGACGCCATTATTATCCTAACGTGACGGTCTGTACGATCCATACATACGTATATGCATATATACATACATACATACATTCATACATATAGATATGCATGTGTGTGTACATCAGGGATAGTTTGAACAGGTTGCTACAACCTTCTTTAGACCTCTTCCAAAATTTCTCAACCTTTTACAATTCTAGACACCATGTATTAGTAAAACCTACCATTATACATAACGTAAGCCAGATATTTTACAAAATGAAGCAGAACTTTCTTGGAGGATATAAAAAAGAAAAAAAACCATTTTGCTCGAGTACACAAAAGAACAAAAAGAAAAAAAAGTTAAAATAATGTGTTTGGTGTAGGAATGTTACACCCCTTGATTTGGGAATATTCTTGGCAAATCGATGATCTTTTTTTTTTTTGTTTTAGCCAGCTGGCCGGGCCCGTACTTTTGTTTCTATGCCACTATGTTACCCTACTACTATGTTATCCGGTTGATCTGGCTGTCTGTTGATCTGTCTTTCTGGCCCGCCAACCCAAGTTATTTGGAGGACTTGCCTGCCTATTTTGCTCGAAAAATCGTTTACTTTTTTTTTTATTTTTCTTTCCTTTTTGTTTAACTTAACAATCTCGATCTGGCCCCTTTTGGACATCCCTCCCCCTCTTTCTCTCGAATGAGTAAGCAGTTCTTAATAATCGAGTCTTGTCTTGTTGATTACTCAGCTAACATAATACAGGATTACCTGATCTCTTTTTCTCTCCGTTTTTTCTTTTTTTCTTTTTTTCTTTTTTCTTTTTTTCTTTTTTTCTTTTTTCTTTTTGAAAACATCCTTTCAATGCTTACTAAGTGCCTCTCATCCTTTCACCTTTTCACCCTCTCTTTGTCTCTCGTACTTTCTATTCTTTTTCGTATATTTAATATACAAATACAAATATATATATACAAACGCACACATAGACGCATACACACACACATATATATATACGCGTATATATTCCAACTTTTATATTCTTCGTACTGTCAATCTCTTAAACATATTTTTTCCATCTCTTTTTGTAATAGTATTTGTTCAATTGAACAAAAAAAACCATAAAACTGTACACTAATATTAATCAATCAATATCACAATTATCAAACCGGTTTTAAGATTCTTACGTACTAATAGTTCAATCAAACAAAACATAAACAGAATGGCTCATAATAAAGTTACTATCATTGGTTCTGGACCAGCTGCCCACACCGCCGCCATCTATCTAGCTCGTGCCGAAATTAAACCTGTCATGTATGAAGGTATGCTAGCTAATGGTATCGCAGCAGGTGGTCAATTGACTACCACCACAGAAATTGAAAACTTCCCTGGTTTCCCACAAGGTCTAACCGGTTCCGAATTGATGGACAGAATGAGAGAACAGTCCGTCAAATTCGGTACTGAAATCATCACTGAAACCATCTCTAAAGTCGACCTATCCTCAAGACCTTTCAAACTTTGGACCGAATTCAATGAAGATCAAGAACCTATCACCACCGATTCTATCATCCTAGCTACTGGTGCCTCTGCCAAAAGATTACACTTGCCTGGCGAGGAAACTTACTGGCAACAAGGTATCTCTGCCTGTGCCGTTTGTGATGGTGCCGTGCCAATCTTCAGAAACAAACCTCTAGCAGTTGTCGGAGGTGGTGACTCTGCCTGTGAAGAAGCCCAATTCTTGACCAAATATGGTTCCAAGGTCTACATGATTGTTAGAAAGGACTATTTGAGAGCCTCCACTATCATGCAAAGACGTGCTGAACAGAACGAAAAGATCGAAATCCTTTATAATACCGTCACATTAGAAGCTAAGGGAGATGGCAAGTTATTAAACGAATTGATTCTAAAGGACGTCAAAACCAACCAAGAAAGATCTTTACAAGTCAATGGTCTTTTCTACGCCATCGGTCATACCCCAGCTACTAAGATCGTTCAAGGCCAAGTAGATACCGATGAAGTGGGCTACATCAAGACCGTTCCTGGTTCTTCCTTGACTTCTGTCCCTGGTGTCTTTGCTGCAGGTGATGTTCAAGATTCGAGATATAGACAAGCCATCACTTCTGCTGGTTCTGGTTGTATGGCTGCTTTGGACTGTGAAAAATATTTAACTGAGCTAGAATAAATTTTTTGATCATGCTCCCATGCAAGGATTTGTTATATCTCTATTATTTATTTTTCCACATATACACGCACTCTCTCATATACATAACCTTCCCTCTCTTTCATATGTATATCTTGTATACTGCATATAAATGAATAAATCTGTACTTTACTATATTCTTTCTGCCTTTTTTATACCCTCTCTCTCTCTGTTTTGTTTTCTTCTTCTTTTTTTTCCTTTCTATATATATGTTATCTGTATATATATATATATGCATGTGTATATAGTTGGATGACTCATCTTTCTTTCCTTTATCTCTCAATGTTCGTCTTATTTTAATAATTTTATAAGCCTGTGCTCCAGAAAATAAAGAAGGAAAAAAAAATTGAAATAGAGATAAAAATAGTATTAATCTAGAATAGGATTCTTTCCTCTGCTTAGACATTGTTCACACTCATACACGACCATAAAAGAAAAATAGTATCTCATACAATATTCGTATACTATAGATCTAGTTATATTAAAATTACGATATTCAATAATATAAAGAACTATAACGAAACAAGAAGAAATGGATACGATTGTCCAGAACACAAATAAACTATTAACTTCGCCTCCAAGTTTAACTCCAAATGATTTATATGAAACTATTAACATTATAATTCAGATATTAGATACAAATAATCCTAGTGATGACACAGAAAATGCCAATATGATCAAAATTGCAAGTTTTCTGTCATGTCTTAGAACCACTGGCCTGGATCATAAAGCCGAATATATTGTTCAAGCAGCAAAAGCCGTACTAAATTATTCCCATCTGGTTCCACCTCAACCGATAAATTATGATACCACAGACAATAAGCAACTAGTAGTTATGGATATTGTAGGTACTGGTGGCGATGGACAAAATACTTTTAACGTTTCCACATCGTCTGCGATTGTAGCGTCCGGGATTCCAGGTATCAAAATCGTAAAACATGGCGGGAAGGCATCCACATCGAATAGTGGAGCAGGTGATTTGATCTCTAGGTTAGGCTGTGACCTATCAAAGGTTAATTCAGTTACTGTACCTCAATTATGGTCCAACAATTCGTTTTTATTTCTTTTAGCTCCATATTTCCATAACGGAATGAAATCTGTTGCATTAATAAGAAAACTGATGGGTATTCCAACTATTTTTAACGTGCTAGGTCCCTTATTGCACCCAGTGGTGTCAACTGTAAATAAAAGAATTCTTGGAGTCTATTCCAAGGAATTAGGATTCGAATACGCAAAAGCAGCATCTTTGATGTATCCAAATAATGAAATTTTTGTAGTTTGGGGCCATGTTGGATTAGATGAAATATCTCCTATTGGTAAAACCACAATTTGGCATGTTTCAAATAATGAAACAGTGAACAAAAAGAATCAAAATATTGAAGTATTCGAAATTGAACCATACATGTTTGGCTTGAAAGAACATCCATTATCTGAATGCTTATCTTTAGGTCCGATTGAAAATGCACATATATTAAAAGATGAAATTTTATCAGGTAAATACAAGTTGGGTGATAATCATCCAATCTATGATTATATTTTATTAAATACTGCTGTGTTATACTGTTTAAGTGTTGGGTCTCGTGATTGGAAACAAGGTATTTCGAAAGCAGAAGAAAGTATACAATCTGGTAGTGCATTGAGGTCATTATCAAGATTTATTGATGAGGTTAAAGGTCTTTAAATAACAATAATTGTAATACTACCATTATTACATTACTATTACTATTACTGCACATACACACACATCCATATATAGACACTTCAGATATAACCATATATATACATATATATATATATCATATCACGTGTTGAAATCTAATGTATCAGATTTCTAATTAATTGTAAGTAATTATTCTACAATAGATTCGGTAGTCAATAGGGCTGTTGAATCCTCATCAAAATTTCCAACTTTTCCTATCAAACCCCTCCTTAAAAAAAGTTGATATTGGAAAAATAAATGCAAAACCCTAACTCATTGGCACGAAAACTATTTCTTTTTTTTTTCGTTTTTTATTTTTTCCCTTCTTTTTCTCATATTTTTCATATTTGTAAAAAAGAACGTCCCCTTTTTCCGAATATTAACACAAAAACGCGTCAAGCAGTTGTTTATTTTTTTTTCTGTTTATTATCGAAGTAAATAAAAAAAATAAGTAAATTCATATAGATAAGTAAGAGATAGATACAACTGTTATTAATTGGTTAGTATCAGCAGAGAAAAAGAAGGAAAGAATAGTTCGACATAGTGATATCGCTATAGTTACTATCTTTTTTAGTCCATTTATAACTTTTTCTGTTTAACTTCCAAAAAAAAAAAAGGATAGAACTGCATTAAACTATGGAATTTACTCCAATTGGGTATATAAAGGGCAAACAGTCTTCACAGACCACTAATAATGTACCGCCTAAAAAATTGGACCTGAATATATCAAAAACTACAATTGATGAAAATGTCAATGTGTCAAGCATACAAGAAGGGAACGAAAATGAGAATCAAGATGAGGAGGAAGAGGATGACGATTTAGGTCCCATGAAAAAACGGGTGCGTTATAGTATAAATAATTCTATGAGACTATTTAATGACGCCTCTCAATTCGATGATACCATACCTGAAATAACTCATAATAATAATAGTGTTAATGGGAGCGCAAATCGAATATTACCTAATATCTTACCAACAGAATTCGATAAAGATCATAATGATATAATATCAAATAACAATATATCCAACCCAATTAAACAACAACAGGAAAGAATAGAGAGTTATATTAAGACTATTTCAATATTGAAACTGAAAAATGATGCTTTAATTAATATATTGAAACAAGATGATCCAAGTAAGTTAGATTCAAATTTAAAGTTAATAGACGATTTGTCTAGGGAGAAGGATAAGAATAATATTTTACAAAGAGATAACAATTCTTTACAATTGGAAATTAATAATCTGAAGGAAAAATTAAATGATTTAGCAAAGGAAGATGACGAGGATAAACACAATAGTAAAAATTTGCAAAATATCCATGAAGATTGTGAGAGAGAACAAAATAAATTGAAATCTCTTTTAGAAAAAAATAACTCAGAGATCGAAAATATGAATCAAAAGATAAAATCTCTTGAAACTGAATTAAAAGATACTAATACGAAGAATGCTACTACTATAGCTTATAAAGATCAAAAAAACATCGAAATTATAGAATTGAACAAAATTACTGAAGAGAAATTGAATAAATTAGAAAACGAACTTAAAAAGTTATCAAATTTGGAAGATCAACATTTAAATGAAATTAAGTCATTAAATGAAAAATTGAAAAAATCTCAAGAATTATTACAAAGCCAAGAAGTATCTTTTAATGATAAGATTCAACATTTACAAAATGATAAAAACACACTAAAAAAACAATTAGATTCCGAAATTAGTAAGTATGAATCAAAGATTAAAACTTTACAAGAAAATATTCAAGATTTTCAAAATAATATTAATGATCAGAATGATTTAATAAATAAACAAAATTTACACACACAGAAAATTTCGCAGTATGAAAGGGATTTGAAGGATAAAATTAACGAGTTGGAAGATTTACAAATCATTTTAAATAATAAGACTAAAAATTTGAAAGATCTAGAAGAGAAGCACAAGGAATTAAATGAAAATTACAAACAGTTAAACTCAAGATATGATTATGAGATTCAAAAAAGGGATAATTCTATTCATCAAATGACTAATAATTTAAATAAATTAAAGGTCGATTATGAACAGGAATTAAAGAATAAAGATGAATTAAATAATGTTATTCATTCTCTAAAACAAGAGATTATAGATTTAAAAAAGACTCTATCTTCTAATCAGTACGAATTGGACAATTTAAATGAAAGAGAAACAGATTACCATTTAACTAAAAAATCATTAGAAAATGAACTTAGTGATTTAAAACAAAAACTTCAGAAGAAAGAGACTCAGTTGAATGATGTGAAAGACGAACTTAGTAAACTTCGGACAAATAATGAAAGAGAATCAAAATTGGTTGAATCCAAAAATACAGAGATATTATCTATCAAAGGGCAATTGCAAGAGATTCAAGATCAATTATCTAAAAAGACTAGTGTTATAACAGATAAAGAAAGGGAAATAACTAGGCTAATTAGACAGATACATAACTTTGAAGAGACAAGAGATCGCTTAAATGATCAAATCAAATCTAAAAATGAGGAGATAATTAAATTAAACAATAAAATCAAAAATTTAGAGAATCAAGTATTTCAAATGACGATTAAAAAATCAGATGAAACTTTAAATATTATTAATACCAAGAATAATGAGATCCAATCACTGAAGAAAGAATTAAATAAATTGAATGATGAATTAGACAAGACTTTAAAAACACATGATTTAATGGAAAATAGATTTTTACAGAAGAATGAAACAAAGGTAAAAGATTTACAGAATGAAATAAAATTGTTAAATGATATGATAAATAATAAAAGTAAAGAATACAATCAATCAGTTGAGAAGTTAAATGATGAAATTAATGATTGGAGAAAAAGGTATGATTCACTGAATGATTTATTACAAAGACAATTAAGTGATACCACGGCAACAAGAGAGATATCACCCTCAAAATTTGGTTCCTCCTTAACTGATAAAGAAAAAAATTTAAGAAACGAAATTAACAAGTCGAATGAAGACAAAGTTGAACTTTTAAAAACTATAGACAGATTGGAGTTTAATTTGAATAAATTAATAGTTGAAAATGATAAATTAAAAACAACGAATATTGAATTAAAAGACTCTCACTCAAAATTATCCGATGGATTCGCTAAGTTATTAAATAAGTATAAGGAAAGGAAGATTGATTATAGTAATAGATTAATAGATCTTGAGAATGAAAATATCAGATTAGAGAGAATGTATGAAAAAGGAAGGTTAAACAATTTTTCAAGAGACACAGAGAAATCATATTCCAGTTTGGACAATGACATGACACTGAATAGAGAATTTAATATACAAGACAGTAAGATAGATTATTATAGACTAAAATATCACAGAGAAGTTCTTCGAAATAATGATCAAAAGATTATCAATGAATATTTAAAAAATGTATTAAATGCTACAATACAACAAATGCAAATTGATTCAAATAGAATTAAGAAAGAGTTATTAACAAATAATCTACAACCATCTGAGCCGTTATCATCATCGCCATTGTTTACAAGGTATTCTCCATATGCAGATAAACCTGCTAGATTTTATAAAAGTGAATATCAAATTATGTTAAGAGATAAATTTAGAAAAAGGATTTTTCAAATAGTTTGTTGTCTAAGATTAAAGGAAGTTATGGAATCTAATAGTAGATATAACAGAAGGTTGCAGTATCTCGAAAGGAAGATAAAAAAATTTTATGATAGTAATAATGATAGATTTTCTTGGTAAAAATAAAATACATATGCACATATATACGTATATAATATACACAATCAAGCATCATTCAATTGCACCCTTACTCTTTATTTTATTTTATTTTTTCATTTTTCTTTAGTTGATTATATTCTGATCTAATAGATTGCAAACGGTCTTTAAAAGATTGAACTATCTGGTCGATTTGATCCATCATATCAAAATGTGTTTCCAATTCGTCACATTTTTCTAATATATATTTTAAATGATCAATATTTGCATTAATTAATCCATCGATAATATCCGCTTCAATCAATCTATTTTGTTCCATACATAGAAGATTTGTCCTTAATTGGATTGATTGTACATAATCATTGATCTTATATAACAAGTAGTCATAATCTAGAATCAATCTATTTATCCCTAGATCATTAACATCTTGATCTATCTTTTGTGAATCATTTCCTGGCTCTTCCTCTGTTACTACCTCTTCCTGTGGAATGTCTTCTTTCTGACCCATTCCAAAAGCATGTGGATCCACCTCATACTCTCATATGAAGCATGAATTATCCTACTTACCAACTACAGAAGAGTGTTATACGACTCTACCTGACTTTACAATCTCTTATTCCAATTATTTGTTTTCATCTTGTAGCAAGGTGGAAAATAGAGGAAGAAGGAACATGTTTATATTCGTGTAATATCCGTTGTCGTTGAAAATGATATAACAATCCTCGAAAATTTAAAAATAAAAAAAAAATGAAAAAGAAATTCCGAAGGCCATTGGATTGATAAGAAAAAAAGAAAACAGAGAGAGAGAGAGAGAGAAAGATTTGATTTATACAAAAAGGAAAGATAAACATGTGATCTTTGAAAGAGAAAACCAGACAAACATAAAGATTATTAAAATTGCTAGTTGTTGATCTAGTTGATATATTGCCACTAGAATAGAACTTCCCATTAAAAGAGGACGGCATAAGATAAGATTGTGTTTTTTTTTTGGTTTTTTTTTTTACTTTTTTCAATTAACAAATACATAAGCGATCAGATAAGCAGGTTTATAAAATGTCTGGTATTTATTTAACAGATCGCCCAGTGAGAAGACCTCCTGCTACAGGGAATACCCTATTGAGAAAAATTCAGAGGGCTTGTAGAATGTCTTTACTCGAACCTGACTTAGCTCTTAATTTGGATATCGCCGATTACATTAATGAAAAACAGGGGGGGACTAGTTATGACGCATGTAATGCTATTGTCAAATTGATTAATAATAGAGATACTCACACTGCTGTCTTTGCATTGGCTCTTTTAGATGTCCTTGTAAAAAACTGTGGATATCCTATCCATTTGCAAATCTCCAGAAAAGAATTTTTAAATCAATTGGTTAGAAGGTTCCCTGAAAACCCACCTTTACGTTACTCAAAAGTTCAAAAATTGATTTTAACTGCTATCGAGGAATGGTACCAAACCATTTGTAAACATGCAACTTACAAAGATGATTTGAATTATATCAGAGATATGAGAAGATTATTGAAATATAAAGGCTACATTTTTCCAAGAATTCATGCTGAAGATTTGGCTGTTATGAGACCCACCGATCAATTAAAGACAGCTAGTGAAATCCAAAAGGAACAAGAAATCGCTCAAGCCGCTAAATTGGAGGAATTAATTAGAAGTGGTAGACCCGAAGATCTAAAAGAAGCAAACAAATTGATGAAAATCATGGCTGGTTTTAAAGAAGACAACCTTATCCATGCTAAACAAGCTATTAATAACGAATTAAACAAATTGAGACGTAAAGCAGATTTATTGAATGAAATGTTGAATACATCTAATAACGATGCAGATTTAACAAATAATGAAACTATTGAAGAACTTTATGGATCCTTGAAAGCAGCCCAACCTAAATTCCAAAAAATCATTGAAGAAGAACACGAAGATGACAATTTAGTTCAAGATTTGCTGAAATTTAATGATGTAGTTAATCAATTATTAGAAAAATACTCTTTAATTAAAGCTGGTAATAAGACTGCTGCATCAAATATTAATCCAGAATCTATCTCAACGGAAAACAACTTTAAGACTACTGGGGGAGCTCTGGCTAATGAAATAAACTTGATTGATTTTGACAATACTGATAATGATAACGATAATACAGCTGTAGATAATATAGCTTCAGCACCTTTCACTAATACTATGCAAATCTCCACTAGTTCTTCAAATGATCCACTTGTCGATTTATTAGGTGATTTATCCCTCTCAAACGATAAATCTTCAAATCAAGATAGTTTCTTAAACGTTGGTGAAATTTCCTTAGGATCTGAACCTAATTTGTTTAATAGTAATAGCATTAATAATAGCATTAATAATACTACCAGTACAACAAACACACTGGATTTGTTGGGTGATTTTAGCACGCCAACTATACAACCAACTTCTCCAACCTCTGAAAGAATATTAGTTAACACAGATTCAAATATTAAGATTGAATTGGAAATTAGAAGAGAATCCGATTCTGTTATTAACCTTAAAATCTTTTTCTCCAATTTGTCATTTAGTCAAATAACTGGTGTAACTTTTGCATTGGCAGTGCCAAAATCCATGCAATTGAAATTACAACCTCAATCCAGCAGCATTTTGAGTGCTAATATTAAAGATGGTATTACACAAGAAGCTTGGATTGAGAATGCATTGATTAATTCTGCCAAACCACTGAAACTGAAATGGAAAGTTACTTATTCTATAAATGGTGTTTCACCAATGGAAAATACTTCTATCTTAACATTACCAAAGATTTAAAGAAGTGAAATGAACAATTATAATCATTGAACAACGATATATGTATATATATATATATATATATATATATTAAACATTTGTGTATTCCGCCTACTATTCACTCTATTACATGAGTGGCTGACAATTTTTTATTACTCTATCTGTTTTTTCAAATATTCGATTGCATGAAAGCATGAAAGAACATTGTTTAGATATCCCTGGTAATTCTCTTAAATGGTACAGATTTATTGATAAGTGTTCAACACTCCTTTATTATATATAGTAGGAATATTATGCAATTAATTATTTTAGTGAAATAAACCCTATATATAATATTTATCTGTTTAATGATGTCCAAGATATATTATAATATTTAAACTATTTTTGAAATTTTTGTAATATTTCACCTGGTGTTGGTGAGCGGATTGTACTCTTAATAGTCTCATTTGTCTGTAGAGGTAGATTATTATTAATAGTATCTATTTTACTCTGACCACTATTATCATTACTACTCTCGCTATTATTATTATTATTATTATTATTATTATTATTTTCAAATGCATTCTTTATGGAAGTGTTATTATTTATTTCATTATTAATGTGTGTTGGTAGATTATTCAGGGATTTATCATCATTAGGTACCTGTGAAATTGTCTGATTCGATCTTTGCTTCACCTGTGTTAAATTCTGCTGCAATTGCTGCTGTAAACGTTGTTGTTGTTCATTTTTTAATGTCTTGTAATATATTCTTGCAGTCTGGAGCGCAGTTTCAAGGGTGACATTTGGTTTTTGAAGTTGAATTTTTCTAGCATAAAGTTCAATGATCTCTTCTTCAGTATATCTAACTTCACTATTGTTATTGACATGTTGTCTTACTGGGATATTTTTGTTATTGATATTTGTTTCTATATTACCAGGAGGGTTACTGTTAATGTTGTTATTATTGTCTGTGGATCTGGATTGATTTCTTGATGACCCCCTTGAAAGTTGAATTGATATTTGAGATTGACGATTAACATTCTGTACCTGGCTCGAATTGTTAGCAAAGTTTTGACTTTGATTTGGATGTTGATTATTATTTTGTGCTGTTTGCAATTGCTTTTGATGTAGTCTATTTTTAGCATTTCTCCTCAATTGCATATCCCTTCTTAGAGCTTCATCCCTTTGGGCTTTTAATTGTGACATCTCAGCTGGTGTTGGAATCTTCATATTCCTACAATCCATAGGTTTTCTTGGTTGTGTAGGATTTGGCCGTGGTACATTTTCTCTCTTTTTAATGCATCTCCTTATAACCTCAAACATACTGGCCCAACGTAAACGTCTGTGACCTCTTTGAACAGATTCATTTCCAACCCCTAATGGTGAGATTCTTCTATTTTGTCTCTGTTGGAATCTATGTGCCTCAATTAACCACTGTTGTGCACTATGCGCTCTTGGACCTTTCAAATCATTGAAATTGAACTTTTCGTTTAGTTGAACAAATCTCTCGAAGCATTGCCAAGGTGTTCTTCGTTCAATATTAGACAAATATGACTTACTTGATCTATGAATCATATTTGCACTTATTAATTCCCAGTTGTATGCATAAGTATTAATGTTTCTCACTAGTTCCTGATCATCTTCTGGAAGCCAAATAGTTGGTGTTCTGTTTTGTAAGTATTTTAGTGATGGGACAGGTGGTGGTCTTAGGTAATGACTTCTCCTATTTCCATAAAACATTCCTCTTCTTTTGCTTAATTGGACTAAAGATTGTTCTTCTTCGACAAATTGTCTTTCTACCAATTTATAAAATTCTTCGTCCTGTAATGTTACAATTGATTTGGAGATTGGTGCAAAAGGAATACTATTATGTTTTTTTAGTTCATCATTCTTCTTTATACCCGTATAAATGGGAACTTGATATATAATATTCTTCTCAGTTGAACTGAATTCTGATAGAGATACATATAATTTAAATGGTTTAACATCTCTTTCTGAGAGTATTTTTTCATATTCTTCGGCAGAATATTCTGGTAATTCTGGTAGATTAATCTCATGAGATAAGTCTGGTTTTTCTAATAGATTAGATACATCAATGCTTTTTGTTTCCAGCAAGCTGTGAATATTATCATTACTTTTTATGACAATTGTGTCAATATCATCTTTCTTTGTCTCCGCATCTTTTGTGTTATTAGATAATTCTTGTTTCTTGTCATCTTTTGAAGAAGGAATTGGTTTAGTTGTATTTTTATCTATTTTGTTTATATCAGAAGCAATATTTTCTAGAAAAATTGAACCTCTATCAATAAAAATTTTCCTCTCTCCATTAGAAGGCCCATTAACTATAGCAACCTCATTGTTAATTTCAGCTATCTTACTTTGCTCAATATCTGATTTATCAAGACATGTCTGATTGTGAAGATTATCTGTAGAAGTACTAATTTTTTTTTCGAAAACAGTTTTACTGTCCTCGTTATTATTTTTTTTCTGGTCATTCAAATTATTATTTTTATCAAGTTGAATTTGACTATTAGTAACATTTTGTGTATCTTTATCTGGTTTCAAAAAATCTTCAGACAATATTTTTAACTCATTATTTCCATTATTAACATTTTTAGTGTTGTTATCCAAATATTTTGGTGGTTTGGTCTTAATACAACAGACTTTACCATAGTTCCAATAATCCATAATTGCTTGTGCTATTGTGGTACATACAGCAATCTTATATTTTTTTCCTTCGTAGAAATCCGCTTGCATCCATTTGGCTTCATCCAATAATATTTCATAATATGTATGTTTATTAGTCCACGGATCAATAAATTTTTTAGGTTGTCTCAATGACCATAACCCCAATCTCCTCAGCTCCTCGATCCTTGAACTTACTACAGTTATTCTTGACTCATTTAATGCACTATTTATTATTTCTGTGGTCAATGCTTTATGTGTTTTTGGAATCAAATTTACTAAAGGTAATGTTTGAGCCATGTATCGTAATTCTGCCAACGGTACCGTTTGTGGGACTTTTGAAGGAATATTATCTTTCATTAGCAAGTACACATAATCTTTAGCATTTATATTGTTCTGTAAATATCCATCTGTACGTTCTATCACTTGTTCTTTCTCTTCTATTAAATCTTTAAGTAATGGAGTTTTTACCTTTTCGTTGGATGAAACTGGAGTTATCCCAGGTGGTTTCATATTAGGATCGATATAGAAAGTGGTTCTTATAAGAGGTGTTTTCTTTGAATTTACAGGTGTGGTATTTATTGTATCGGTAGATATTGTTGGTCCTATATTTTTGTATGTGTAACTGACATCTTCAAAATGGACTTTATTTTTCTTTCGGATTGGTTGATTAGGATCATCTATATTCGGAATTACACTATCCCCCTTCCGTTTGGTACCGGTTTGTAATTCTAAGTTAGAAGAATTATTACTACCGGTATTATTAATATTATTGGGTGTTACGGTAGTAGAAAAAGATTTATTGTTTGTAAAATTCGAATCGTTTGAAATTGTCCTTATTTCTCCAACATTTATCGTATTCAATGGTATCTTGATGTTTTTTTTGTCAGGACTTACACTTTCTGCTTTATAATTTGGCATTGTTGAAGTAGTAGGTACCGCTACACTTTTACTTCTGTTATTTCTAGTGTTACTGATTAGATTATTATCATTATTACTGTTATTTCTCAACGTCTGAATATTAGTTGTTGATATACTTTTCTTTCTAATATTTTTCAATGAACCTTTTGGCAAAATATTAGAATTAAATGGGGAAGATATTGGGCTTTGATTTGGTAAAGAGATTTGATTTTGATTAGGTAAAGTATTAAGTTGAAATCTCTTATTTCTATTAATATCATTTTTATTTAAAAACAGATTTAGTTCATTGTTAAATTTATTTTCATCTTTAATATGCAACAATTCATTTAATCTGGATACACAATACAATTCAATCAATTTTTTATTCCTAATGGTTAAAAGGTCAATATAGTTATTATAGTTATTATTATTATTGTCATTGTTACTATTGTTCGTGCTATTACTTGAAATATTCACTTCATTTTTTGTACCATTATTTGTTTGATTTAGATTTGACATATGTAAATGTATATTTGTGTTAAACGTAGATGACATTTGAAGATTTCTAAAAGTTTCTTATAAGCTATTTTATTTGTCATTAACAACGCACATCAATCAAACCAAATTATGTGTAAAGTTTGAATTGGATACACTGGAAGATATGTTATAAAGATTATTTAATACACTAATTTCTGATCCTTTAATAGAGGAATAAAATAAGATTTGATAACTTAATAATAGAAAATAAAAGGAGAAAAGGTATAAAAAAAGGGGGAATAGGTTAGTCTATAAGAAAACTCTATCAATTGTGCTAAAGTCAGTTATCGTTTTTCTTCCTTATCAGATATTTTTTCTCTTTTCTCTCTAATTTTCTTTATCTAAACATACATCCATCATCCTTTAAACGTAATTCTCTAAATTTTCTGCGACAAAAAACAAAAAAAAAAATAAGAAAGAAAGCGAGAAATATAAAACAAAATAAATAAAATGGCGGAAAGTAGTTAGAAAAGCAAAACCGCAATGTCGGAAAATCTATATCCAAGCGGATTATATGCATTCCGCTTTATTTAAATTTAAATGTTAATAATATTATCAAGTAGATACAAAAAATTGGATACAGGTATATATATATATGTATATATATATGTATGTATATGTAGGTATGTAGGTATGTATGTTCATTGGGTTACCATTGTGCAATTTCATTTTCTAAATCTTCAATCCCTGATATCAACCCTTCATGTGTTAAGACCATATAAGAACTGATAATACCTTTTCTTGCTTCGGTTTCGAAATGGATCTTTGCGTATTTCTCAAAGAATCTGTCTTCTTCATGAAAATAGTCGATCTCTTCCTGTTTAACACGTTTATTTGACCTCTCTGAATTATTATTTCTAGATGAATCATCATCTATATCGAAATTCACTTCATATTTTCTAGTCGCAATCAAATAGAAGTCATAATGTTCCTTATCGCTTTCATTTAAGCTCTTTGATACGTCTTCAAGAGTAATTTTATATAATGGAGGAACCACTTCAGGTGGCATATTAATTAACCTTTCACTTACAACTAATGCACACGATTTATTGCCAGTATTGTCTATAGTTTGCAGGAAAGTGGACAACTTTGGATCAACTTTTATTAAATATTTTACATAGTCACATGTTTTATTATCTTTGTAATCGATAAATGAAAGAAAACAATATGGATCAGACTCAGGACCGTCTGTCTTGATCGTGGTCATTGGAGAAGCTAGCATCAAATCTGCTAATGCACTCAATTGGATTCTATTACTTTCCTGTGGACCAAATAATTGACGTGAAAGATTCTTTAATGCATGGAAATCGATGTCAGGGTTACCATTATAGAAATCAAAATCTATATTGATAATTTCATCAGTGTCATCATCTTCTTCACCACCGACTTTACCCTCATTCTCCGAATCTGTACTACTAATATCTATCTCAGACTCCTCGCTAGTATTTTCGTTCTCTTCATTACGTCTCTTTCTACTAGTTAATTCACTCAATTTAAGAGTAGTAACCATTGTATTCAATCTGTATATGTATTTTTTTTTTTTTTGTTGTTGTTGTTGTTGTTGTTTTCCTCAAACTCAGAATTCTTGAGTCAATACTATCATGACGTGCTTAAGGATAAGACATGGAAAAAAAAAGGTAAAAGAGAAAATAACAAATACGTCTTGGACTTAATACTAAGTCAATATATTTTATGGAATACATTGAGTTCTTCATCATACTTCTTCATTCTGCAGTGAAAAATTTTTTTTTTTTATTTTTGTCTCTTCATTCAACCTCATCGGTACTTCCTAAGAGACAAACTCGGGTGAAAAAAAAATACATATACATTTATATTTGAAATTAATGCGACAATTTCGTTCTGAGATGAAAAGAGTTAATAGTAAGAGACCAAGAGTAAATTTGAAGTAGGGTGTTAAGACGCAAATTTAGAATTATGGTGACAAATTAAGATTAGAATATAAATATAAATATAGAAGTTTTATTTTGAAAAAATAATAACAAAAAAACAAAACTAAGGAATATTTCTTTTTCTTCTACTTTGTTGCTTTGAACTAATACACATAACAGGATAATATTGTCATATATATTCGATAACATACTAATAATGTCTGAAGTTAAAGACCTTTTGAAGGAAATTGAACAACTGAAGAGGGAAAATGCTAAACTGAAGAAACAAGTCAACAATTTCCAATCGTCTTCTGCCAATATCAGTTATCCATTATCACTTGAAGAATATAGACGTTATGGGAGACAAATGATTGTAGAGAGTACTGGTGGTGTTCAGGGGCAATTAAAGTTGAAAAATGCTAAAGTACTGGTGATTGGTGCTGGTGGGTTGGGTAGTCCTGCTCTTCCATATCTTGCTGGTGCTGGGATTGGACAAATTGGTATTGTAGATAACGATACTGTTGACACGTCAAATTTACACCGCCAAGTTATTCATGATTCTACAAAAGTCGGAATGTTAAAGTGCGAATCTGCAAAACAAGTGTTAACTAAGTTGAATCCTCACGTCAATATTATCACATATCCAGTTAGATTAGATTACAGTAATGCATTTGATATCTTTGAAGGTTATGACTATATATTAGATTGCACTGACACTCCTCTAACAAGATATCTAATATCAGATGTAGCCGTCAACTTAGGTATCACTGTTGTATCAGCTTCCGGATTGGGCACTGAGGGTCAGTTATCAATTTTGAATTTTAAAGAAGTGGGACCTTGTTATAGATGTTTCTATCCAACTCCTCCTCCACCTAATTCTGTTTCCTCATGTCAAGAAGGTGGTGTTATTGGTCCATGTATTGGCCTAGTTGGTATATTAATGGCTGTAGAAACTATTAAGTTGATCTTAGATATTTACACTATAGACAATTTCCAGCCATTCTTAATGATGTACTCAGGTTTTCCACAACAAACTTTGAGAACTTTTAAGATGCGTAACAAGAAGTCTGATTGTAAATGTTGTGGTGATAATCCAACTATTACTAGACAAACAATCGAATCTGGAGAAATTAATTATGAATTATTCTGTGGATCAAGAAATTATAATGTGTGCACACCTGATGAAAGGATATCTGTAGAAATGTTTGAAAGTGACTATCACTCTGTTTCAAAGGATAACAACTATATCCTTTTGGATGTTAGACCTTCACATCATTTCAATATATCACATTTTCCAAATGCTATTAATATTCCAGTAAAAGATTTGAAAGATATGAATGGCTCTGTTGATAAGTTAAGGGAAAGGATACCACATTTGAACGATAACAGTGAATTGCTGGTTTTATGTCGTTATGGTAATGATTCTCAAATTGCTACCAGGCTTCTAAAAGATGTTTTCAAAATATCAAATGTTAAAGATATCAAAGGTGGCTTTTTCTCATATATTGATGAAATAGATCCTTCCATACCAAAGTATTAGATATAACATATACTAAAAATTAATAATAAAGATAAAAATAAAAACTCTTCATAATATAATCTCATTCCTGTTTCTACATATCTTTATACTTTAATATATATCTTTTTACACGTAACACCTTTCCAAATTATTTGGAAAATGGTGTATCTTTATTGAAGCGGTAATTTTTCAATTGTCAATAATCCTGCATTATTACTAAAAGCATAAATCTTACAGCCTCTAATGGTTTCATTCCACTTGATAGAGGAGATTGAGACACCAGGCGGATGTATCCCAATTTTGTTGATTTCACCATTAACTGACCTACAAACTTCATAAGTATGATCTAATCTATATTTCTTCTGTTGCATATCATAATCCCACCCCCATAACTTTAGGGATTTGTGAATAGTATTAGAATTCTTGATCCCAGTTAAAATTTTTCGCGACAAATTATCAATATATACTTTGCCATCAGCAGTACCTGTTAAGAAAAAGGGATGGAATTTTGCTGTTCCCAAAGAGGTTACTGTGGATTCTCTTGACATAACATTATGTGGTGCAAATGATGCTTTAGCAGTTAATGCTCTAATAGAATTAGATGCATCACTGAACAATAACAAGGACAATTGTGGGGCATATACTATTGGCATGATGTTATTACCACGAAGTCTTGATACAGTACATTTTGTGCTAAATATATCTCTTGGATCAAATAAATGGAAATAGCCATCAACTGCTAACGCGCTTACAGTAGTTGGTTCAAACGGCGAATATGTTGTCACTATAGATACAATAAATGTATCATGAATTTTATGATAATAGGAGGGTATTTGATTAGAATCAAATATATCAAATTCTGCAACATATCCATTTTTAAAACCACATACAATGGATGTGGGTGATATGTAATCAAAACATGTTATATTTGAATCATTTAACGATATTGAGATAGAAGCCTTTGTACATTGCAATAAAACAGGCGAGTCCTTCTCTTCTACATTATGGATCTGTAAAGCTTTGAATGAACCATCTTGAGCAATAAATGTTAATAAGCCTATATTTTTGTCACTATTATAACCTTCATGCCATTTTAAATTCCAAGCATCACCAAAATCATGTAAAATGGTTTGTCGTTTGACAAATTTAAGGGTTTCTGGTGTGAATTCTATAATTTCAATACATGATATATGATTCTCTCTATCAAACATTTCTAAATGTGGATCTGATGGGTTATCCATATATTGTGAAAGTGCAATTGCTAAATACTGATGTTGTGGTTCTTCTATATTGTCTGTGTCAGACTCTTTATTTAACCATGCAATATCAGTTATTAAGGCACCTGAATTATATATGAGGCCTTGTCTTTTATCATTTTCAAACACTGGAAACTCAATCTTATCTCTATTCTGTAGAGATGACTCGAACTCGCCTACAATAACATCTAATGGTTCTTTTCTATACATGAAGAGTGTTTCGAAGGTTTCTTGATTTATTTGTGTATAATTGGTCTCTTTCCGAACAAACATTTCATCATTTATTTGGAATTTATTACAAGCTGGTTCATTACTTACATAAAATTTGGAATCATGGCTTATATTAGATTTTGGGAAATCAAAAAGATTAGATTCAAAACCTTCTTTAATCTTAGCTAGTTGTAATAATTTATCTTTATTTAAACCATATATTCGTTCTAATTTATCTCTAGTACTAGATAGCTCCTTCAAAGCTCTAATAATCCTATTTTTAGTCACATATATAGATTGTTTTTTTGACATAGCTTTTTGTCTTTTAGGTTGATTTATTTTGGTGGGGTCTTTTGGTTTTCTACCTCTTTTCTTTCTTGTTTTAGTAGCTCCTTCATCTATTACAAAATCATTATCATTATTTTGATCAGATTTCAAATCTTCTTTCAGATTGTCATCTATCATCATATCATTGTCATAGTCATCCTCCACTATACTAGTGTTATTTTCAGACTCACTATCTTTATCACTCTCGATCAATACAAAATCCTCATCATCAGATTGTGCCTTCTTTTTCCTATTCACTTTTTTCTTATTTCTAGTTCCATTTACGTTAGGCATTTTAGAACCTCTCTTCATATTTCTTTTCATATTACTAATCATATCGTTTGATCTAATAGCTATATCTATATTATCTAAGAAATTATCGTTATTATCTGTACCCTTATTATCCTCATCTTCTATTTGAGTAGTATCATTTAAAGATGCCATTTTATTCAAAGTCTCCGATGCCTTCTGTGAGGCTGCTCTTCTTGATCTTCTTCTAGGGGTAGCATTCTTTCTTTGTGTATTTTCATCCTCTGGAGTTGTAATTGTAGTAGTTGCACTATCATGCTCTTGTGAAAGAGCTCGAACAGCTTGAGCTAATATTTGACTTTGATGATCATTCATTGCAAAAATGAACTCTACCACTAGCTTTCTTTTTCTTTGAGGAGGTCTATATAAGTTAATTAGATATTCTGACTTGTTCTATCAATTAGATAACCTCTTTCCTCTCCTTCAATGAAATGTAAATGTGTGTCAGTAAACTATTACATCGGGAAATGAACCAAATGCATATATATAGAACTGTTAGAGTATTAACATCAAAATAAAATAGAAAAAAAATCACTTAATAGAAATAGAAAATATAAGAAAAAATGAAAATAAAAGAGAGAGAGAGAGAGAGACACGCGCACATATATATTTATGTATAGAGAGTATGTGTGTGAAAGTGAAACTCACAGAAGGCTGGATTGTTTAATATTGATAGGGTCTTTATGTACTATATATGGTGAGCATATACTATTGAAGTGGAACTAATCCAAGAAAAGGCTTGTTACATAACTTCAAGAGAAAAATTGAAAAGAAAAGAAAGGACATGTGATTTAATTGTATATGTATGTATGTATATAATCATTTCTATACGGTTTTTTTTTTTTTTCAAGAGTCGAATATCTTAGGAATCTTGTAAGTTTTGTAAAGCATTTTTCAAATCTTCGATTAAGTCATTTGGATCTTCACATCCAACAGAGACTCTAATTAAAGTTTGGTCAATATAAGGATCGGTCATTGCTCTCCATTCGACTAAAGATTCAATACCACCTAAAGAAGTTGCATGATGGAAATATTTTAGTTTCAATGGGAATTGTTTACATTGTTCTTTGGTTTTCAAGGACAAAGAAAACACAGGACCATACCCACCTTTTAATTGCTTTCGAACAAAGGGTTCACTTTGTAAAGAAGAATGGTACAATTTATCTAGCACTTTATTATATCTGGAACGGTTTTCATTCAAGAACTTTACTATTTTGGTAGCCGTCTGTGATTGCTTCAGGATCCTCATTTCGAAAGTCCTTAGAGACCTTAACAACAGATAACTCTCCAGGCTCGCAATATTTGTACCTAAATAAATTCTATCCTCTCTTAATTGTTTAGCCACTTGAGGATCTTTGACCACAATGACTCCACTCAACAAATCTGAATGGCCGCCAAAATATTTCGTAGCAGAATGCATGACAATATCACAACTGAACTCCCAAACGTTCTGTAAAGGTGGCGGAGCAAAAGTTGAATCGACGATCAATCTGGCACCTTTTGAATGAGCCAATTGTGCGATCTTGTTGATATCAAAAGATGTGCCGTACGGGTTGACGGGTGTCTCCAAATGGATCAAATCACCTTCTTGTGCATACTGGGCGATATCTTCCAATGGATATTGTTCCATGCCGTTAGTACGAGTGATGATGTTAGCAGCAGCACGACAGCCATGGTAGCTTTGTCCGATAAATAATCTTTTAGGTTTAAAGAAGACGACAGCAGCATAGAATGCAGAGACACCGGAATTGTAGATGATGGCGTGACCGTCTAAGATGTCAGAGAAGATGGACTCTAGACGGGTGGCATTTGGATGAGCTAGTCTTGAATAGATAGGTCTCCTTTCCATGAAATCTAAATCTTCACGTTCATTCCAAGGAATCAAGTCATTATTATCGTAACGGAAGGTTGTTGAGACATTGATTGGGGGAGCTACATCAGAAACTCGATTGTCCTTATCATCATCATGAATCAATTTAGTAGCCAATTGGGTCATCTTTTATAATGATAAATATATTTTTTATTCCCTTTTTCTTGTATTGTCTTGTCTTTACTTCCCCTGTTCTAATATGGTATAAGATGAAAGAAATATTAAGTATCTTTTATTAAGCAGAAGACAGTGGGAGGGAGAAAACAGGAGGAGAGAAGGAGCATATGGAATGGTACAATTGGTAGATAATAGTACTTCTTTATGTATATATATATGTGTGTGTAAAGAAGAAGAAGAGGAAGGGTTTGGCAGATAGATAGACAGATAAATCTAGCCTTAGTCTATTTAATCCCTCGAAACCCAGTCAAATCATCTAACATTTAGATATATAAGGATCCAAGCATGGATACACCCACACACTAGATAGGTGTTCAAAGAAGTATATGAGATAAAGTCACGCACACTCAAGCATACCCACCCACAGTTCTTGCAGGATTTCTGGTAAACTGTGGGTTTGTCGAAGACAGTGGGATTTGCAGAGGCTCGAAGCTGTTTTCTATTTCATGTTTATTTTTCTCTTACTCGCGATGATCAAACATCAATAACTAAAAAAAAAAAAAAAAAAGCAGAATTTTGAGAATCAAGTGGCAGACCAAGATATTCCATTGGACTCTACTGGGCTAGGTGAGACAACTTCTAGACGAATAAACTGCGTAGGTGGGTTGATCTGTGTAAATATGTATATGCTTCATTACCATATAGAAAAATAACTAAATCAGTATTAGATCGAAATTAGAGTAGTAGCTAGACAAATATTCATTAAAAATTTTTTTCTTTCGTGTCCTGTAGGCTAATTAATATACTCATGAGTGATTTTGATGATGATTTTTTTAATGTTGCAAGGGATGATATTGATGATATAGACAATAGCTCTACTGTCTTGATTCAATCAAAGAAACAACTTGGAAATACAACTTCTAAACGGCCTAATCTATCAAGTTCAGTAGACAATTTACCGACATTTAATAACATAAACACACAAATTATAGACTCTGATGAGAATACGGATAACAATACAGATATAAACAAAACAGAGGTAAGAGGAAGGTCCAAAACAAGAAACTCGTATATTTCTATATCCTCTGGTTCTTCAAGGGAAAGTTCTTTGAGTTCCGTTAGTAGAGATACAGGTAGTAAAAGGGTTAGAAGTAGATCAAGTTCATTTGAAATTGAAAGTCAATTTGAATCTGAAATGAAAAGACGTAAAAAAATTATGAACCAACTGCATTCTTCTGATTTAATAGAGAATGACGAAAATGATGATTTTTTCAAAGAACTGGAACTAATGAGTAGCTCGTCTATAAATAGTAAGAGTCTTGGCATTAATAAGGCTAAAGATCATATTAATGATGATGATAATAGATTTAATACAATAGACTTAGATTTGCAATCAACAAGTAACGACAATAATAATAATAATTGTAATATAGTGTCTTCCACTTCTTCTTCAAACCCAAAAAGAATATATAAGATACACTTTTTATCTAAATTAGAAGGAACAATAAATAAAAGTGTTCATGTTAAAGTATTGGGTAAATATACTTTTGAAAACATATTGCCTCCGGCATTAATGGGATTAGTTAAGGCTTATAAGGTACCTAAATCTTTGCAAAGATTTTATGAACCCGATAATGTTGTGTTGTATAGAAATGAGAGTATGAAGTTGTTTAGATTTATGAATTGTAATTCTTTGAATATCCCACAAAGTTTTGAAAATGAGATATCTGATGTTGAAATTGTTTTGGTATCGAAGGATAAAGAAACAGAATATGAAAGGATGGTTAATGAAAAAATATTCGACGACGAATCAATTCTAGATGATATACACCTGGATTTGGATCAAAATGATATGAATTTCCAATCTGGGCAAGAACTAGAAAGAGAAGAACAAGAGAGAAAAGAAAAAAACGAACAATTACTTAAAATTGCTCTGAGGGGAGAAGATAATAAGAAAGTTTATGCTAATGTTAGAAATTCGACGTCTTTTCAAAAATTAGTAGATTATTATAGAATACAAAAACAAATTCCAAAAAACAAAAAAATTATACTGTCATTTGAAAATGATCAATTAGATTTAGGAAAATGTATTCAAGATCATGAGATTGAAGATGAAGATGTTATTGATGTTATTATCAAATAATATATATATATATATATATGAAGTAAACAATACATAGATAATATATGTTGTTATTATAAATTATTTGCAAAAGGACAAAACTATTGGAAGTAAGAATGAGTGTTCAAAAATAAAAAAAATAGTTAAGAGATTTAGAATACCACTCTGTTTTATTATTACAAGAAATATGTAAGGAACCTAACTGGAAATTTAATAAATACGCAATTCTGAGGATAACATCTAATGTCGAGGTGAAGGACTTGGAACAATCGAAACTCTGGGCCCAAGATTGTGAGTGTATTCGAACGAACATATGATCGTCGGATAGACATTGGTGGCAGATTATGAAGAAGCTTACTTAAGAGACCCTTGATTATTGAGAGATGGTGTCAGAGGTAATTATCAGCATTAATATTTATGATCTATCTAATAGATATAGAAGAAGAAGAGACGAATATCCAAGACTACTCTATTTAATAGTTGGAATCAACCAATTATATAATTTGTAAGTGCTTATATATATAATTAATATCCATATTTTAGTATATCACTTGAGATAACCCTTATAAAATACTTTGGGTTTAATTCTTTGGAGCCATTAATTCATGAATACCTTTTCCTCATACAAAACTTAAAACGAAACCGCATACTACTACTACTACTACTAATAATAAGAAAAATATCATAAAATATAATCCTTCAAACCGTTTAAAATAATCAAATGGTATAAACATTTTTTGGATGTTTATTCTGTTCATTTTTATATATAGTCCATTAACACCTTATGAAATGTTGAGAAATAAGAATGAACGATATTTTCTTAATAAAAGTGTGGTTGACCAACCAAATGTACGATATATGGTTTGTTTTCTATATTAGAATAATGAAACATAGTGTGTATTACTTTTATTCAAACTTGACGTGGATAAATGAAACACCTAAAAGTTTTACCTATCATTAATAAAACAAGGACAAAAAACAAACCACAGGATATTGATTCTCAGAAAATAAGCAAATATACGTTGGGTGAAATAAGTAGTTTTCTACCTTCAGAATTAAATGATTCGCTATAAAATGTGACACAATGAGAAGGTCTAAACTAGAAGAGGAGATAGCTGTTTTATTAATTTTTTTTGAGTATATGAAGAGATCATGACTATATATATAATGTGCTTATTATTACTAGTTTTAAATCCTTATGGAAAAAAGAAAAAAGAAAAAAGGTTTAATTCATATCCATTTTATTGTAATTTGATAGTTTGAAATAATTCTAAATATAGTGGTCGAATTTTCAAGTACCTTCTTTATGTAAAATATTTGTCTTTGTGTAAAAGAATATAATAACAAACTAAAATATATACTTCTGTATGTTCTTGAGTTTGTGAAATTGATGTTTTGTGATTCTTTTGAAAACGTTGATATATCAACGAAAACGGTATGTTTTAAAGATTTTTGTTGAAATTGTGGGTGCAAATACATTGGGTTGGTAGTAGTGAGGTATGAATCTATTAACAGAGTTACTTTATGATACTAATCATCTTGTAGTATATTGTCTTAGTAGACTTTTAATAGTTGGTATCTATCTTTGAAGAGAATAAACTTTATTTTCATGTTATTCAAACTATTTCCAGAGAGTGTTGTTTTAGGAGATCAAAGATCAATAATGTGAAACATTATACTTTTTCAATTTTCAATTTAATTATGTTCAAAATTTATCACTTTCTAGCAAACCAACAGCAGCTAAGGCCTTGTTGGCGCAATCGGTAGCGCGTATGACTCTTAATCATAAGGTTAGGGGTTCGAGCCCCCTACAGGGCTTTTTTTGTTTTATTTTTGGACAGTTCGGTAATATCCTTATATACGAAGCCCATGTTCACGAGGTGTTGGTTATTAAGTACAAGTACGAATATTCAATAGTAAAATAACATTACCCTTGAGAGAGGCTACTGTAACAAGGTTTTAATATTATTACAGGCACATGAGCAAGAGATAGAATACATACATGTATAAGTATATGTATGTGTGTATGTGTGTGTGTGTGTGATGTCATCATCACTTTTATTTGTATAATTTATTATCGTTTCTCTAATTTTGCATTACATTCTACTACCGTGTGCAGTGATCTCAGTAGAAGGTGGCAAAAATTAGAAAATGTTCATTTTCTAATTTGTTGTTTTTGCATTTTTTTTTGTTTGATGCAATTGAAGGAAAGTGTTTGTTCCTCAGGGGACACCTTGAATGAGTAGTATGAAATATCATTATTGAAAAGAGTAGCAAAAAATAATATTGGTTTACTATTGGTTAAATGACATTAAATTAAATTAATTAGTATATCAAGAAAACAGAGACCCATATATCCATATATCCATATACCCGCAAATACATATATATATATATATATATAACAAAGATGAGTGGTGAAACAATCGTAAAGGAGTCATCAAAGATGAACACAGAGGAAGAATCATTTATTAAGAAGACTTTAGATGAAGATGACCAATTTGAAGATTTTCCAGTGGATACATGGCCGGACAGTGAGACAGTTAAAGCTGCTGGTTTAACCGAAAACTTATGGGAAGAGAACTGGGATGACGTTGACGTAGATGATAACTTTACAGCCAATTTAAAAGAAGAATTAGAAAAGCATAAGCAGCAGCAGCAGCAACAACAACAACAACAGTGATTGTAGATATATGTTTAATGTTTACGCAAGGATAGACAGAATAAGTTATAATAATAAACAAAATTATGCACGACAAACACTTAAAAAAAGAAACAAGAAATAGAAAGAAAGACAGAAGAATCAAAAGGGAATTGTATGGTAGTCCATAAGGTTATAAGTATCTTTTTTTTTTGGTTTTTTGGCTTACTTTTTCTTTTTTTTTTATATTGATGGGAGTAAAAACATAAAGTAGGCAAGATAATAGAAGGAAAATGATGTGAGATTGTACATCATCAGAAAAAGTGATGTACATGAATTCTCACACACTTTATTATGATACTTTAGGTGATGAGTTTATAAACATATTACACATATTCAAACCCGATTTTTATCATTTGTTTGTCATTTCTAATACTTCTTATATTTCCTCCTAATTTTATTAAAATTTTACATAACACCCAGACAATCATATCCATTCATACATACATATACGTATTTATATTTACATAATAAGGCCAACCACCACAGTAAACAGTGTCCCCATTCTATTCGAGTTTGTTTAATATTTATTCATCTATTTTGTAAGAAATTGTTGTCACTACGATGTTGTGACCCCGTTACCCGGCTTTTCTAGAAAACACATCCGGACACCCGGCCCAAAAGCTGGAAAATAAATTATTGGCAGTGGATAATAAAATGGTAAGTGATAACAATGATGATGTTAATGGGTAATACGAGGAAATTTGTGGAGAAAGGTACACTGGCAGTTTGCTGGTGGCAATCTTGATGCAGGTTAAGAATAAAATAAGATAAAACAAGATAAAAGATAAAGGTTTATCTCTCTACACAGAAATACACATAAATACCTAATATCCAATATCTAATATTTACATATATATATTTATATCTTTATATATATGTATGTTTGTTACATGAACTGGTGAGTTAAGTTGCATACAGTTGATTAAGTTCAAGTAATAGAAAAGAAGGTATTTGCAAATATACAGTAAGAGGTAGAATCCTATTTATAGTTACAAAACAAAAAATAAACAGATAGACCGATACATAAATAAACAAACAAATAAACAAATAAATAAATAAATAAATAATGGCTACTTTAGAAGAACTGGATTCCCAAAACTTGCAACAAGACGAAGAATTGGATCAGGAGATCCTAAGCTTATCCGCACAAGAATTACAGACAAGAAGTAAGCTCTTAGATAATGAAATTCGTATTTTCAAATCAGAATTACAAAGATTGGCTCATGAGAAAAATGTCATGATAGAAAAGATCAAAGATAACAAAGAAAAGATTAAGAATAATAGACAATTGCCTTATTTAGTGGCTAATGTCGTCGAAATAATGGATTTAAATAAAGTCGATTCAAAAGAAAATAGCGAATCCAGCACACAAGGTGGTAATGTGAATCTCGATAATACAGTGGAGGGTAAAGCTGCAGTAGTAAAAACTTCTTCCAGACAAACCGTGTTTCTACCAATGGTTGGTCTTGTGGATCCAGATAAATTGAAACCAAATGACTTAGTTGGTGTTAATAAGGATTCTTATTTGATCTTGGACACTTTACCATCAGAGTTCGATTCCAGAGTGAAAGCCATGGAAGTTGACGAAAAACCTACAGAAACCTATTCAGATGTTGGTGGATTGGATAAACAAATTGAAGAACTGGTGGAGGCCATTGTATTGCCCATGAAAAGAGCTGATAAATTTAAAGAACTGGGAATCAAGGCACCAAAGGGTGCCTTAATGTATGGTCCTCCTGGTACAGGTAAGACTCTTTTGGCACGGGCATGTGCTGCTCAGACTAATGCCACTTTCTTGAAGTTGGCTGCACCACAATTGGTTCAAATGTTTATTGGTGAAGGTGCAAAGTTGGTTCGTGATGCGTTTGCTTTGGCTAAAGAAAAGGCACCAACTATTATCTTTATCGATGAATTGGATGCTATTGGTACTAAACGTTTTGATTCAGAAAAATCTGGTGATAGGGAGGTTCAAAGAACTATGTTAGAATTATTAAATCAATTGGATGGGTTCAGTTCAGATGATAGAGTCAAGGTTCTTGCAGCTACAAATAGAGTTGATGTCTTGGATCCTGCCTTATTAAGATCAGGTAGATTGGACAGAAAAATTGAATTTCCATTACCAACAGAGGATTCAAGAGCACAAATTTTGCAAATCCACTCTAGGAAGATGACTACAGATGAAGATATAAACTGGCAAGAGCTGGCAAGATCTACTGATGAATTCAATGGTGCCCAGTTGAAAGCTGTCACTGTGGAAGCTGGTATGATTGCTTTAAGAAATGGCCAATCATCAGTGAAGCATGAAGATTTTGTGGAAGCTATAGGGGAAGTTCAAGCAAGAAAATCAAAATCTGTTTCATTCTATGCATAAATATATATATACGTGTGTTTATATATATAAAAATAGTAAAAATAACAATAAACGCAATCGTATTATAATTTTTGTCAATATTATATCATAATAAATTAATCTTTTATTATCTATATCACACACATATATAATCTCTTTGTTACTTTAATCTAGCATATATATTTCACCACTTATTCCTGCACATAATATCTTACTGGTCTCTTGTGGGTGCCATGAAACTTGTGTGATTGTCTTTTTCCCAGGAATAGATATTGTCTTTAACAATTTTGTGGTGGTCCAATCCCATACTAATATTCTACTTCTGATATCTCCAGAACAAATATAATGACCATCAGGTGAAAATGTTAGTCCAATGCCAAACCCTGATGATTTTTGTCCTCTAAAAACTTTATTTGAATGACGTTTATATTTAGGTTTCATCGAATAACTGTAGATTGAATTATCCATACTTTGAGCACAAAAGTATCTTTCTGAAGGATGTATATTAATAAAGGGCATAGAATGTTGAGTGGTATCACTAATTTGCTTGATGGGTATATTGATTTGATTATCCCATATACGTACTGTTTTATCTTCGGATGAAGATATAAATTTAGATCCATCAGGAAAATAACGCAGTGCTAATATCCCTGCTAAATGATGATCGTATTGTTGCACTAGCCCATCTTTTTCTCTAACACGTAGATCATAATGCATAATCTTTGAATTAGACAATCCAACAATAAATTCATCACCGTTACCCATGGGTCTTGAATCGATTGAATTTGGTAAACTTTGAAATTTTAGTTTTTTTGTTACTTTGCTAGTCTCAGTATCCCATATTTTAACATTTCGATCAAATGATGAACTAAGAAATTTAGAGCCATCGTTAATGAATTTTAAAGCTTTGATTGCATTTGAATGCCCTAGATAATCTTGGACACATTTCCTGTCTCCATAAAAATTCCATAATTTAATAATATTATCATTCCCACCTGATAGAAATAAATGCCCGGTTTGAGGTAAGAATTCTAATGTATTGCATCCATCGTAATGTCCCTTAAATGTATATATTATTCTCTTAGGTAAATAACATTTGAATGACTTTGATGGTTTATATAAATCTACTTCAATATCCTTTAGTGGGGATAAAAATGGTTGTTTTTTCTTACCATTATGCGAATAATCTGTATCATAAAGAGTGGACGTTTCTTTTTCTCCCTCTGATAGACTCACATAAGCATTTTCTGATTTGTCGTTATCATCATATTCACTGGTATTCATCAATTGTAAGCCTGCAATATCTCTTGAATTATATTGCGATGCATTATTATAATCATTTATACTTCCCTCTACATCTTCACTTGAATCCTCATCACTGCTTGACCATGACCCCCACGGCCCTTTACCCTTCCTTTGTAGTTTTCTTCTTTTCGAATCTGCTTTTGTAATCTTTTTAATTCTTTTTAATGAGCCATTGTTCCTGTTTGCCACTTTGTCTTCCACAAGATGTTTATCTAAATCTGATTCAGTATCAGATTCCGAGATATAATCACGCACTAAATTCATTACTCTATTCAATGTGTAGTCTTTTCATTAGATGTTGTATCGTTACGTTGTGTATAAGCTCTGTTGTATAGATAAAAAAAGTGCAATCTTTTCCTAACAATTTTTATACATATGTAGTGAGAATAAGATGGTAATGAATGAGACAAAAAAAATTAAAGAAAATTAAACAATACTATAATTATCTAAATTAGTCCTAAAAATATTAGTAATAGTAGTTGTAATAGTACAGACTCTTAGAATATATCGATCATTCAAGATTTCTCTTGGTTAAGCTATATAGATTCAAAATTTGTCAATAAATAATGATATGCGATTGTATATAATATATATACTTATATTTATAATGGTGGAATTTCATAAAAAAGGATATCATTTTGATAAGAATTCCTGATATAAACAAAATATGTTAACACATTGTAGTGACTAAAATCTAGTTTTGATTATAAATATACAGAAAATCCTACTTCCTTTGACGTTTTACACCTATATAACATGCCGAAGTAAAATAAATATCTTTATATTATACCAGATTCACTTCTTTTGTTTTTTTAACTTAGAAACAATATTAGCAATATCTGATTTGTTGTTTGATTCACTAGATATTATTGGATTTGATCTTTTCTTATTATTCTTTTTATTTCTACTACGTTTACTACGTTCTTCTAAAATGGTCTTCATTGTGGAAGTTTCTTTAAAATCTGGTTGGGAAGGATCTATAGCAAAGTCATGATCTTCAAAAATTTCCTTAAATCTATCATCTTCAAGGTTTGGTTTAAACTCATCTTCCACAATTCTATCTTTCTTTTGATATTTTGATTTCTTTTTCTTTTCCTTTTCTGATTTGAGAATGTCATTCATATTGAAATGTGCTTTTTTATTAATAGTGCTGCCTGTGTTATTTTCATCTTCATCCATCATTAATAATTCTAATTCTGCTTTAGATTTAGAATCCAATTTATCCTCAACTTTTTTATTCTTTTTATCTCTTAGCGATTTTAATTTTGCCTTCTTTTCTTGTTCTGCAGCTTGTTTCAATTGTTTAACTCTCTCCTTTCTAGCTTTACGACGTTCTTTTTGTTTACGTTTTATTTTATCTATTGTACTTTCTTCCTGTTCCTCATCACTATTACTCTTAGACCCATTGTTTTCATTGGCATCTCCGTCCAATCCAGGAGTGAATGTAATCTCCATATCAACACCTTCATCGTCTTCATTGTCTTCATCATTATCACCATCTTCAGTCGAAAATTTACTTCCATTATTACCAAAAACGTTAGATGTAAAAGAATTACCTACTAATGCTTTTAATTTATTCTTAGAAGTTTCATTGATGGTATCTTCTTCATCTTCACTGTCAGAAGCAAGGTATGCTTTAAAATCCATGTCATCTATCTCTTTTTGTGAAAAGGCCCTCTTTGCAATTTCTATTCTATCCGCAGGAGTCTCATCCCACGTTAATTTGACATTTGAATGTTGTAATGCATCGGTGCTGAAATTCAATGGTTTATAATTCTTTGGTATAGAATCACATTGGTCTCTTGGCTCATCATGAAATTCCATACCTTCTGGAACATATCTAATATCAATCATATTGGCAGTGGATTCATATTCAGTGGAATCGCAATTGTCATAAATGGATTTAGCTGTTTCAATATTGTTGCAATAGACAATTGCATAATAATATCTTAATCTTTCCAATTGATATTGACGTAATGCTTTAGTATCTACATCTTTTTCGGCATCACCTTCTTCATAAAGATCATTAATATCGACATCAGAGACATCCTCTTCTTCTTCAACATTTTGATTAGATTTGTGTTTTGATTTTTTCTTTTGAAATAATTCTCTTGGTGGACCCTCCACTTCTTCACGTTTCATTCTTTCCTTACCAAATTCACTAGGATAAATGCAAATCTTTTCAATCTTACCACCATTTGGAATAAAACTTGAGAAAGTGATCATTAAGTCAGAGGATTTGACATGATCCCAATCTAAGTTTACAACAGCTAACGTCTTTGAAGGATCACCTGTTTCTGGTTGTGATTGGTTTTCAATTTCTGAAGAAAAATAGCCTTCTTCATCACTATCCATTTCGCTTTCAGAAGACTCTGAATCTGAGGAAGTATATTCATCAGAAGAACTGACATAATCAGAAGGGACTTCCCCACGAGCTCTATCGACTATTTTCTTTGGTGATTCTACTTCTTCTTCTGCTTCCCTTTTCTTCTCATCATCATCATCACTATGTTCCTCTTTGTCTCTGTTTTTATCTTCAGAAGATTCATCTGTTGATTCTTCCTCTTTTTCAAAATATTTATCAAAATCTTTTAAATCCTTTTCATTAGAATAAGATTCATTAATCTTTCTACCATACTTATCAACTTTAGCTCTTCTTTTAACCTCTAAATCTCTTTTGCTAAATCTGTTATCTAATTTAACTTTTACATCTTTCTGTTTAGTATTTCTGAATTTTGGATCACTGTAAAACTTAGCAAATCTTGGATCATTTGTTCGATTGTTTTCAGACATCTTTCTTCTGTTTTGATGAACCTAACCAGTTTTTTTAAGTCTATAATTATGAATATAATTGTATGTTTCAAAATATTAGATTGAATAGTAGAACATATGTAATCGAGCGATGATAAATACTAGGTTTAAAACCAGCAAGTCATTTGAATCTACGAAGTTTTGTGGAACTAAGAGGAAATAAAATGAGATGAGATGAGATGAATTTGAATTGTCGCAGAAAAAATTTTTTTTTGTTTTCAAGCTTTTTTTCTTTATTTTTTTGTTTTTCCAAAGAGACTCGACAAAGGGACAAAATCCTAATCTAGGGCTATGAAATAGGATATACACCATTGTTATATAGAGGTGGGATATGTCACAATATCGTTTATATGGTATTATAAAGAATAAGTGGTAGAATCAGTTAATATATACGTCAATATATAAACATATATATGCATTTATGTGCTCTGAATTAATTTTATTTCTTTGATTTAGTTTTCTTAATCAATTTTTTCTTGATATGCTTCTTAACTTTTGTCTTTCTTTTTTCTCTTTTAGCCTCTTTAGCCTCTTGCTTTCTTTGTTTCTTTGATTCTTTATCTTCATATTTCTTCCCCTTTAATGGCTTTTCCTTTTCATCATCATCATCATCGTTATCAATATAGTCTTCTTCTTCTTCTCCTTCCTCATCAAGTTCACTATCCTCTTCCTCAGATTCGTAATTATCAGAACCTGAGGTTGAGTCATTAACAGCATAAACAGAATCTTCATTTTGCATTTGTTTTACAGCAGTGAAATTCTTTTTATTATCATGAGCCAACAAACTCTTTAAAAGATCAAATTTCCCCTCACTGAATCTATCAAAATCCCTTTCTTCCAGCCCATTCAAATTTCTCACTAGATATAAAGATCTGAATATTTCATCTTCAGCTTCATCTTCTTCGGTCTTCTTAATTGGCAAATTTTCCTTAACATAATCTTTTAAATCATTGTAACTATGATAATCGCCATTAAATTTATCTAGTTTCTCAGATATAACAAATTGGAAAATAATTCTTTCGGGGAAGATCTCCACACCCATTTTATAAAAATATGAATTAACATTTTTGATATCCATTCTTAAGAAATCTAAACTCATCGGATGTTCAGGTTGTACAGACTGCGATACGTCGATAACATACAGTTTATTGTTATGTACCAATGTATTATATTCAGATAAATCTGCGTGTACTAATCCACACACCTGATATAATAATCTCATGTAGGAGACTAGGATATAATAATAATTAGATATCTCATCTTTATCTTGAAATTGGTAGTCTCTGAGTCTTGGAGATGCAAATCCATCACCACGGTTCAAAAATTCCATGACAAGAACATTGTTTTTCACTTCAATTGGGCGTGGAACTGGAATCACATCACTATTATAGATTCTTTTCAAATTCCTGAATTCCTTTTCTGCCCATATCTTGATCATTTTTCTTGGATTATGTTGTGATCTAGAATTTCTGAACCGATATTCACCATCAACGTATCTTTCACGATCTTTAAACACTAAAATTGAAGTCTTGAAGATTTTGATTGCATATTCTTTCTCTTCTAATTTTTCATTTTTTAATGAAGGTTGTTGTTCTAACTTGTCGATAATATCCTCTATCTTAATATTATTGGATCCCTTTGGAGTACCATCACCAGCAAAAGCGTGGTATACGTTAGCTTCTTTGCCCGTAGAAAGACAACCATTAAAATCGGATATGATACCACGGTTCACCAATGCTCTAAGAAATCTCATTGTACGTGGATCCAGTACATTTTCTACGGTAGCACGATTAGCTTTGTCCTTATTTGTTTTATTTATTTTGAATGATAGTTCATCTGTTTTAATTCTATGTGAATATTTATCCAGGATTTGTGTGTTGATATGTTCTCTTCCATCTTTATCAGCAGAAGATACTTTTAAATTTTCAAATTTCTCATTTAAAGACATTATTTAAAATGATCTATGTGTTTTTTTTTCGTCCTCCTCCTTTCTTCTGGCTTTTACGATATGATTGTTGAAAGATATTATGTGATATTGATTCATTTTTTTTTTTGGCATGTTATTTAAAGAGAGATGACCATAGAAATACATATAGAAAAGAATCAAATAAAAAAATTTTTTTTACTTTATTTTTCTGATTTGTTTTATAATAAAAAGTGAAATTTTGCAAGGAATAGAAAACAGAAAAAAAAAAAAAAGAATATAGAGATACTTAAACTAGTCTCTATATGTTTTTATATGCATAAGTATAACTTTGCAACATAAAAGTGTGAACAGGAAACATTGATTTCACCAAAAGTTAATAGACAGATTAACTATAATGGTTAGAGAAAGATCAAACTTACCAAAAGTATGTGAAAAGAAAAAAAATAAAAAAAAAAAAAGAAAACTACTACTATTATTATTTAAGTGACAAGAAACATAATATAGATTACTAACAGTCTGATGAATCTCAAGGTTATATATATATGTATATATGTACATGTATATATGACTTTAGATCTGGTTATTGTTACTAATACGGTAAATTTATAAACAAATATATATATATATATAGACCTTTTTTGGTGTATTACCTTTATATATTGGTATCGAGATTATATTGGGGATTACAATATTAAACAAATGCAGTGGTATATTTGGTATCCTTGCACTATTTACCGGACATCCATTAGATTTGATGCAGTGGATAAGTTATCTTTGGTGTGTGATAACATTGATTATCTATTCACAAGGGTTGTATCAAATCCATAAACCGCAACTTTACACATTTTCACAAATTTTTGTTACATTTACATTTGATAGTATAATAACATTAATTTTCACGTTATGGTTCACGTCGAGCTGGTTCAATACAGATAATAATAGCAATATGGATGTTAACATTATTAACTTGTTGAATAAAAGAGGTGAGTCCCAAGCCAGCCAAGGTGCAAGTGCGCAATACGAATATGCGATTACGATTATGATCACTATGGTGAGCATTTTATTCAGATTGTACTATAATTGTGTCTTGGCATCATTTGTACAAGAATTGCTTAGAAACCCCAAATTTTTGGTTGATCAGGATGATATTGCACAAGATTTGAAAAATAAGAATATTATAATAAGATTTTGGATTAAGAGTCAACGTATCTCATATCACTGGTGTCGTCGTTTCCTGATGTAGTTGCAACAATAAATATTAATACACACACACACACAGATACATGCAGATATATATATCTGCATCTTATATCTATTTAAGTGAAATATTATGGAGATTTGAACAGGAACTACTGATATCAGAAACACATAAATATATATATATATATACGTATGTGTGTATGTGTGTATGTATGTAAGTACATATTGCAATACAGTTCTAATATTGTAACATAAAAAGTATTACTGGTTTGTTAATGACAGGAGAATCTGTCTACTAAAAATAAACGCTATTTCATCTTCCATCTTCACATGGTATCAGAATGCCATCGTCAGTGTAAATTTTGCTTCTTTTATTTTTTTATTATATCTAATGCCTCTTGAAAACAAAAAAAAAAATAAAAAAAACAAAATTTGTTAAAGTTGCCTCAGCCAGCAGTATCCCCTAATTTTTCTTTTGTTTCCCGTTTGCCTTAAAATGTTTCAATTGTGTGTGTTTTCTTTTTTTTTTTGTTTTCTGAAAAGGGAGGGCTGTGCGGTTCATTCCTGCGTTTTGTTCTTTTTTTCTCCTTGTTATTTTAGGGTATTTGAAAACCACATGAATAACAAAACCAGAAAGAAACAAGAAATAACAAATAAATACAATAACAATAATATTTCAAACTTTCTCTTTGATCAAACAATGTAATTTCATCGTTTCTCGAGTATTTGGGAATCGGTCATATGATCTCATGTGTCAAATTGTTCTTTTTGTTTTTTTTTTTATTATTTTGGAAAGTCTTTTATCCTCGAAAAAAAAGAGAAAAAAAGCTAGGCACAACAATAGCAATATATTGAATATCATTATAGATAAATAAACAAGGAAACAAAAACAAGAAAATAAGTGAATTTTCCACTCCCTTCCCTTTTCAAGTTTAAATATTTTGAAGATAGGTTCATTTTGTTTAGCATTTTCCTTATTCACCTATTTTGTATATATTTATATATATATACGATTTAACAAAGAGTAAATAGAATTATCTTCGAAACAAAATCACTCTCGTATCCATTAACTGTTCTTTTTTTTTTTCTTGTTCTTTTTTTTTCTTGTCTCCTTCTCTTTTCTATACGTTACTTATAATAACACCAAAGAATAAAAAAAAATCGATTCAATTCTTTTAATCTATAAAGTGACCATACATAACAATAAACAATGTCTATTCAATTAACTAAAAACAACAATACTGTGCAACTAAATTCTGGTGCTGTTATTCCCCAAATTGGTCTTGGTACTTGGAGATCCACTGGTGAAAAAGATGGTTACAACGCAGTCCTTGCTGCTTTAAAAGCAGGATATAGACACATTGATACTGCTGCCATATATTTAAATGAAGACCAAGTGGGTAAAGCTATCAGAGACTCTGGTATCCCACGTGAAGAAATCTTTGTTACCACAAAGTTGTGGGGCACACAACACCAAGAACCAGAAAAGGCTCTGAATGAATCTTTAGAAAGATTGGGTCTGGATTATGTTGATCTTTATTTGATGCACTGGCCTGTTTGTTTAGGCCAAAATAGCATTAAGGATGGCAATCTTCTATGTATCCCTCAACTGCCAAACGGTAAACGTGATGTCATTATAGATTCTTGGAATTTTAGCAAGACTTGGGAATTAATGCAATTGTTACCAAAGGACAAGGCTAGAAATATCGGTGTCTCGAATTTCTCAATTAATAATTTAAAGGAGTTGATGGCCTCTCCAAACTTTAAAGTTGTTCCTGCCGTTAACCAAATCGAATTACATCCAAGATTACCACAGACTGAGTTGATTCAATGGTGTAAAGAAAAGAATATTCAAATCGAAGCTTACTCCCCACTAGGTTCAATGGACGCACCAATCTTATCTGAACCTTTGATCTTGGACATTGCTAAAAAACTAAATGTTACTCCTGCTCAAGTCGTGATCAGTTGGCATGTACAAAGAGGTTACATCGTTTTGCCTAAATCTATCCATGCTGATAGAATTGAATCCAATTTGCAGACTTTTGTTTTACCTGAAGACGATTTTAATAAGATCTCTAATTTGTCTAAAGAAAAGGGTGAATTAAGAGTCTGTAACATAGACTGGTCTCCATTTGTTTGTTTCGTATAAATACGCTTTATTCAGGTTATTCAATATAATAGTTATACGTATGTCTGTATATAACTTCTATATATAATTGACTGCAAAAATAATTTGTCGGTACATTGTCTTTTTTTTTCTTGAATCTTTTTGTTTTTGCCGTTATTATTCTTCTTACTTTTTTTTCCTACTTTTAAATTGAAATCGAGGGCCCTCATCACTGTCATCACTATCATCTTTAAGAGTATTTGATTGTACCTTTTTGTTTGATGGGGGCATGTTAATACCAGAATTTGTTTCTTGATCATTTAAAGAATAAGTTACATTGGGCATGTTATTACTTCTATTATATACCTTGGATTTTGGTTCTATCCAAATATCTTCATCTTCACTCTCATTGACAAACAATCCAATATTCATATTGTTATCACCATAGACATTGTTATAACTATTATTATTGATGTTATTGTTATCTTTATTTATCTCTAATGACAAATATTCATTTTCAAAACCATCACTATTTCTCTCGTTATTATTCTTTTTATGGAAAGATTCATTATTGGTAGATGCAAACCTTTCATTTAGCATTTCTCCTACATTGCTTGAGTCTTTTTGCGGATATCGGTCAACTATAGAATATGGTCTAGTCTCAACAAATTGTCTTGTTAACATATTAACACTGTTAGTTAATGAATCGTCACCACTCAGTGATCCACAAGGCCACCTTTTAACAAATTTTTTGAAATTTTTACGCCCTGCATATTCACCTTTTTCTAGCCTCATCTCTTTTGGCAGTTTGCCAGCTTTCACTAAATTTGAATTGGCCTCAATAAGAGCCATATTTGAAAACTTGTTGATGGCTTCCTCTGTTAATTCGTCCGGTTCTATTTGAACCATATTATTGCGATATTTAGTGATTTCCTTAGTCTTTGCAGACTGGATAGTTTTTACAAGAGTAATATTGGGTTTGCTTATTGATTCCTGACCATCCTTGACTTTTATCTTCTTTTGCACATCTTCTTTTTCTTCGTTCTCCTTCTCTTTCAGATCTTTTGTTCCTAAAAGCTTGCGTTTTTTAGGTTGATTTTCCAAGACACTTAAATTATTTGTTATCTCTGATATATTATTCAAAACTGTATTTTCAAAACTATAATTGATAGGACTTGTGATAATTCTATCAGACATTTCTTTAATATCAGTACTTTGTTTTACAAAATTTTTTCTTAAAAGATCATTATTTAGATTACTTTCTTTTGTTATTTTCTCGTTAGAATTAGTATCTTGATCATATGTCTCTATTTTTGTGGGTGATTTTTTATCTATTAATTTTGATTCACTATTTGTATGTGAAATATCATTAATTATATTTTTTATACTTTTCGATCGATTGGCCTCTCGGATCTCACCTTCATCCTTCTCAGATATAGGGTTATTTATTGCTTGTGAGAACTTATCTTTGATAATTTTACTAGTTTGTGTATCATTCTTTGTACTCTTCGATTTTCCTTCGTTTTTGGACTTATGGTTTGTTAACTTAGTAATTTGACTTGATTGTGACCCACCGACAAAAAAATCTAATGGGTTTAATGCTTGAATCTTTCTTCTAATCAGTCTTTTTTTCTTTACGGGTACAGGGCTCGGTTCAGCAGGTTCTTCTAAGGATCTAGTATATTTTTTAGCCGCCAGATTATTGTTCGTTTCATCTTGAACAGTCTCGATTGAATTATATTCATTATTAACCCTATGATCAACTGAATGGGATTTGATATCATGATTTAATTCTAAATTTTTTATACATAATTCTTCAAATGTCCTTATTTTTAAGTCATTTATAAATTCATCAGCTGTATAAATCTTTGCTTCACTTATATTACCTAATATAGTTAGAATTTTGTTGTTTATTATTCTTTGTGGATGTTTTAAAATTATTATATTTTTTAATGAATTTCTTAATTGCAAATAACTTTCAAATTTTTCATTATCTTCAAAAATTTTAATTGATCCTTGGAACTCTTTAACGCATTCGATTAATTTGTCTAGTAATTCCTTTTCATAATTATGTTCTTTATTTAAATAAATTATAGTAATATCTCTAATTGAATCGATGAGATTTTTTTGAAATATTCTGGTTCGCTCTAATAAATGGGCTAATAATGTGTTAAAATCAGCAAGCTCTTTTTTTAGCTCGTTCAATAACTCAAAGATAAATTCTTTTGAAACAAGTGGAATTTTAACTATTAGCGCAGATAATTTTGCTAAGGAGCTGATGGTTTCATCTTGAATCATAAAAGACCTTGTGTTAGATTCATAATGGAAATCTAATATTGTATTAATACCAATATCATATAATTTAAATTGATCACTATGTAATTTTAATCTTGATTCACTAGATGTGATTATGTTTAAAGACATTTTTTTAATTAAGACTTGTATGGGTGCAGTGCCTAATTGTAATATCAATGGAAATTGAATATCTGCTACATTAAAGGATATAATTTCTCCTACTTTTAAATATTTATCTTGGTATATGGTAGCTTTGCCAAAATTGTTAACAGTAAACATTTTATTTGATCTTATCCATTCAAATTGTACATGCTTACGTGATATACTCCGATCATTTTTAATGTGTAATGTATTTTGATTTGAACGTCCAATAGACACTGGTTGACTATCTTTCATTGCTTTAGCAACATGAACAGTAGACCCATCATGCGCTTTGTATTGGTATTCTATTATCCACATTGTTGTGTATATAGAGAATTAAAAAGAATAAAGGCCAGTGTATACTTTATACTGAGCTCATCTTAACTTCAATCATTAGACATTGTCGTTTGATCCTATGATATTTCGAAGTATTGTCTTATAGAATATTGTTTAGTGATAATAAAACTTCATTTCTAGTAATGCAATCAATTGAAATTCAAAATAAAAAAAATAGATCTAGAAATAAAAAACCGACGATTGGCATTTCTCAAACGAAGAAAGGTTATCATTTTGGTGAAGTCAAATATATTCTAAGATGGTATTCTCTAAGACAGTGTTAATTTATAGGAAATATACCAGTCAAAGGGTATCAATACATGAGAATATAAGAAGAGGGTTGATACATGAGACAAGGAGAAAAGAGAATTAAGACTGTTGAAAGGGTATCTAATAATAATAGCAATATGTTATGCATTTACAAATTTTGATGAATGTATATATGTAGGTTCTATATATGTTCAATTACAAGATTACCCATTATATGTGATTCTTATAGATATTTTTTTGGGATATGCAAGTTTGGTGGGATTCGTTGTAATCTCTTTATTGCAATATTTCGTTTATTATCTATGATCAGTTGAAATGGTTGTGCTGATGATACAATATCTTCAAATTTCTCTTTAGTTATACTCATATCAATTAATTTAACAATTGATCTAACACAATGTTTAGTCCATTCTTTAGCTACATTTAAATTGTATTTACGACTTAAAGTTGAATTTCGATTATTCAATTTTTGATAGAATTCTTTTCTACTATATCGGTTAATATCAATTAACAATCCACTATAATTATCTCTTGTTCCAATAATCACATCACAGTCTGGCACTAATTGAGTCTGTATCCAAGTTTTCAATAACTTATGTCTATGATGCACATTTCCCATAGATAATGGACCGTAACATTTCAATTCAGAATAAGATTTGGTTATATTGTTATATGCATCCATTTCACTTCTTAGTAAAAGTAGAATGTCTTCATCTAATTTGTTTTCTACTATAGAAAAAGTATATGATGGAATTATAGTATTGCCAATATTGCCGTCATCATTGGAAACATTGCTATTCTTTTTTACTCCAGTAAGCAAATTTTCAAATTCAAATCCAGAATTAGATCTTTTTTGATCCATTAGAGACATTTTAGAAGGATCTATCATATTTGTTTTTCTATTAGTACTTATGTCCATTGATATGACAATGTATTTTCCCTTTAAAAGAACACAATTCCATTTATGGTGTCGAGGTTTGTTGTAATCGAACAAAGTCATCGCCATATCGATAATATGATGTCTTGCAGATATAATCACATATTTATAATTTTGGCCATATTGTTTATTATCATGACTATGTGTGGTCTCCCAATCCATCATATATTCAAAACAAGGTAATGGGGTATTCAATAAATCTTCAGACATTAATGGGATGGTTCCATTGAACGGTTTAAATAAATCATATCCTATGTAAGGTTTGATTAGCACTTTACAATCTGATATAGATTGTTTTTTGGCTAATTGTGCGATGTCATCATTTAATACTGGGATTTCTGATTTGCTTAAGTTTTCTTCACCTATGGATAAATTACCATTAGAATATGAAGCCACGTTTTTACTGTCTTGAAAGAATGGTTCTAACTTCTCAGGGAAGATATTCCAGTCAGGCCGAATATTCTTGAATTTGTGGAAGGATATAGAGATTGGTCTACTCTTTTCAAAACCCAATTTCAAATCGGAAAGTTGGTTTATTGTGTCTTCAATTTCTTTGTTCTTCATTGCTTGTTCCAACGAAACCTCATATGCATTTATGGTATAAAGCAATGCTATTCATTTGTTCCGTATGATGGTTTTATATTAGATATACTGGAGCAGGTGAATGCGTAACATTGATGCATATTCTTTACTGATCTTAGTTCTTTTTATTGTCTTTTCTTTTATAGATATTTTTTTTCTTGTAATGTGATTTATTCTTCTTTCCTTCAAAAGGTAAGTAAAAGAGAATAAATTTGGTTAAAAAAAATAACTGGAAGATTTAAAGTGTGTTATGGTTCAATTGATTCTATGTATTATTCAGTATAAATATATTGTAATAGGTTAATAGATTGACATACATACAAGTATCAAAAGAGAAATAAATACACAATGGTTGAATGGGTTGCTATAGTTTACGATAAGCCAGGTTCTGACAGATCCATCTGTAGACCAGAACATTTAGCTGGTATTCCACCTTTAGTAGAACAAGGTAAATTAGTTTGTGCTGGTGCTATTTATAATGAACCAACCACTCCAGGTGGAGAACGTACTTTTGCAGGTTCTCATCTACAAATTGTGGCTGATACAAAGGAAGAGGCTTTGCAGTTGATTCACAATGATGTTTTTGCTAAGAACGGTATTTGGGACTTAGATAATATTATTCTTTATCAATTTGGTTGTGCCGTTCGTAAGGCGAAGAATTGAAATGGTAAGGACTAAAACCATCATTAATAAGGATAATTAACTGTATATCTCCATGATAATCAACGAATTATATATATACATATGTATTTGTGTATGCGTACATATTTTACTAACTTCATTTAATAGAATATATTTATATATTCTTTATGATTACTCTTTTTATTTCTATTGCTATGTTTAATGCTATGGTAACGTTAAATTAGATTACTTTGCTAATAATTAATTTAAAATAACCTTATATAAGACACACATCCTCTTTACAAAAAGAAGTGTATGTGGATAGTGAGTTGAATGAGAAAAAAATACTCCTTGATTAAACTTTAAGAAACTCTAATCTACATTTCTTTTCTTTGAAAGCTACTAAAAAGTGGAATCATTTCTCGTTGTTTTACATATTATTAATGTGTTTCTTTAAGAAAAGGGTCAACAATAATAAGTCACAAGTTAAAACAGATTTACCATTTGTTCCAGTTGAAGATAGAGACATAAATAAAGAAGGTTATATTTCGGGTGTTTACTATTCAAACTGGTCTCCGTATAAACCACGTTCTCACTTCCCTCATGATATTAACTTCAATCAAATATCCCATGTGTTCTATGCATTTTTCGTAATAGATTCAAAAACTGGACGTATTAAATCTAGTGACACTTGGTCTGATTTTGAAATGACTATAGAACCAATTAGGAATATTAACAGTGACAGGTATGGTAAAATTAAATTACTTGGTTGTATCGGTGAATTATTTTGGTTGAAGATGGATTATTTTCGGAGAAACAATGAGGGGTTTAAGACAATCATGTCGGTAGGTGGTTGGTCGAATAGAGAATTATTCCCCAAAATGGTTAGAAGTCAAAAGAAAATGGACCAATTTATTGAATCATGTATTGATACTATGTTTAAACATGGATTTGATGGGATCGATTTGGATTGGGAATTTCCTAAGGATGATGGAGTTGAACCTAAAAAGTATCTCGAAATTGTGGAAAGATTGAGATCCGGATTAAATGAGTTAGAAAGATCAATTTGGGGTCATGCATGTAATAGATTTCATCTTTCTGTGGCAACTCCAGCATTTGAAGAGAAATTGAAGATTTTACTAGTCAATAAAATGAATCCATACATAAATTTTTGGAATATGATGACATATGACTATTATGGGGAATGGTCAGAATATACAGGTCTTCATTGTAACCTTTATAATGGTATGAGACAAAAAAGGATTGGCTTACAGGTGCAATATAAGCATGATTCTAAATCCAATGATGAAACATCGTTAAATGCAGATTCGGCCATAGCATATATGAGAAAACAATATAACATTCTGTCTTCAAAATTAGTTCTGGGTATGGCTATGTATGGTCGTGGGTTTACTCAAGTGTCATTACCTAAACCAGTTTCTTCATCACTATTATTAAATGATCCAAATACATTCTTGAAGAAAAAATTTAAAGGTGTCGGTGGTGAATCTGAGGGAGAATCAGGAATCTGGTTATACAATCAACTACCAATTCCTAATAGCAAAGAAATGTTTGATCCTGACCATGTGGCCGCATATTGTGTGGATGTGAAGAATAAAATATTAGTTGGCTATGATAACGTAAATTCTACTCTAGTTAAAAGTGAATATATTATGTCTAATGGATTAGCAGGTACATTTTGGTGGGAATCATGTGGAAATACTTGGGACGATACCAGTCGTTCCCTTGTGAATACGTATGTTAAGAGAATAAAGAAAGTGAATAGAACTCAACATAATATATATATGGACAAAAAGGTGCAAGTTTATTATATTGAAAGATATGGGAAGAATGGATTTTTAACAGAACTACTCTCAAATGTATAAGTATTGATGATTTCCCTTCCTCCTTCCTCACGCATATACACTATGGCTTTTTTCTATATAAATTTTATATAATCATGTATACTTTTACATACAATAATAATGTAGTTCCGGTGTTCATTTAATTTTTTTAAACCATGATTACAATAACCTATTATCAGCTCATGTACATGTACATCTCTACATATGCATACGGTTGTCTATTGTTGTATTTGATCCATATGGCTGTTTTCATATATTTAGGAAACTGACCTTCTTTTTTTTTTTTTTCAAAATTAAATTTAAATGATTTAAACAAATAAGTATTAAAGCAAAGTTGAAACAGAAGAATAAAAAATTGTTATTATATAGGGGTAATAGAAAAGAAACGAGGCTAAGAGTAAGTGTCATAAAGTTTACACTAATAATATATTATTTATTTGACTCACTGAATCTTAACGCTATTGGAAAGAAACTGGGCTATTCAACAAAAAGAATTTAAATAGAAAAAATTATTATTATGGGGGCTAAAACGTCAAAACTTTCGAAAGATGATCTGACTAGTCTAAAACAGTCGACATACTTTGATAGAAGAGAGATTCAACAGTGGCATAAAGGTTTCTTAAGAGATTGTCCGAATGGATATTTAACAAGGGAAGATTTTGTCAAAATATATCAACAATTTTTTCCATTTGGTTCGCCAGAAGATTTTGCTAACCATTTATTTACAGTATTTGATCACGACAATAATGGATTCATTGAATTTAAAGAATTTATTACTGTTTTAAGTACTACTTCCAGGGGTACATTAGAAGAAAAACTAAGCTGGGCATTTAGACTGTATGATATAAATAATGATGGGTATATAACATATGATGAAATGTTGACCATTGTAAGCAGTGTTTATAAGATGATGGGATCCATGGTGAAATTAGATGATGATGAAGCTACGCCTGAATTACGTGTTGATAAAATATTTAGACTTATGGATAGGGACAAAGATGGATATATTACACTAGACGAATTTAAAGATGGATCTAAAGTTGATCCTACCATAGTTGGTGCATTAAATTTATACGATGGGTTAATATAGTGTGGGTTGTATATTATTTTTTATTTAATTTTCAGGTATATGACGATATAAATGTGCCTAGAAAGATTATGAATATAAATTGGGTATACTGTGTGATGTAGCAATGTTTAAATAAATCTACTAGTAACAGTTATGGAAGTATGATAAAGAATATATAATTAGAATAAGTTCAATTGAATCTAATAATCACTGTCTAAAAAAGATGTGACTTCGATATCTGGATTCTGTGATTTAAATAGTTTTAAGATTCCTGCACCAATTAAATATGGTATTTCTTGTGTGTCTCTTGAATTTGTCACAGGTTTCATTTCGTTATTTGGTAGTAAAAATCTTTTCAAATATTTATTGTGAATATCTCTGACAATTACCCATCGTACTTTAAATGCTAAACCAAATTTCCCGTTATTTGACCAAATGCTAGTATCTAGATCATCTCTTAAATCAGATATCATTTCAGCAACACCACAAAACTTTCCAGAACCGTTAACAGAAAAGAATAAAAATAATTTAGAGTATTTATTAGTGTCTAAGTTTTTAAATGATTCAGACAGCCGTTTGTTACCGAAATGTGTTGAAGACCAGATGCTGTTGTAAAACGATTTTTTAACGTGTTCCAAACTATTTGATTTAATAATAAAAAATTTAGAATTTACGGGTATGTTGATCCATGTAGGAATTATAGCTGAACTTTTTATGGATTTATAATTATTATGGATTTTCATGTTATTGTGGTTATTGTTATTAGTCATATTAAGATTTAAAGTTGTCGGATAAATTCTTTGAGAAGAAGAGAGAGAAAGGGAGTTTTGTAAATCACCACAATTAATGGTAGGATCTTTATTTTCATTTAACTTTTTTTTTGTTGTAGTTGTTGGTTGTGATAGTATGTAGTCTAAATTTGGCATAGTTCGTGGAATAGAGTTTCTGTTATCATTTATATAATTTACCTGGAGTTGCTTAATACCATTTGAGCAAGTATTATAAAAATAATAATTTTTTGAACAATCTATAGTATTATTACTATTTAAATTGTCATGTAAAGTGTTGTTGTTATAATCGTTGATAGGATTGTTATGGTTGTTTAATAAAAGATGTGTTTGATTTTCTGTATTGATTGTAGTGGTTGAAGATACAACAAAAGTTTCCAAATCCTTCAATGAATCTTCAATAGTCCTATTGCATGGTATTATCTTTGGAGAAAATTGTGAATTATTAGAAATAAAACTAGTGTTCATAGTATTGTTTATTTGTTTTTGCTTTACGTTTTCATATATATTGTATGTATATATAAATATATCTATATTGAGAGAGAAAGAGAGAGAAAGAGATCAACTTTAATTACCTTTTAACTCTTAGAAAAATGTCAAAACTAGTGTTTATTTTTTGTGCTTCTTGTATCAATATTATTCTTGTATCTTAAAAAATAAATAACTAAACATATATATATATAGTTGTTTGACAATATTTATAAACTATTACTTTGTTGGGAAATGACAAGTGACAAGTGTTATCTATGTTGTTCTCATCAGAGATCTAGATTCAACAACAAGGGAGGGGGGAGGGGAATGAAAGAAGAGTGTGAATGCGAAAGGAGGGAAGAGTAGTATTGGAATACCTTTAAATGGATTCTATCTACAAACAACCTTCATATAACATATTCTTTATATTGCTTCCATAGAATGTTTGTCTTCCCGTTTCGTTTCAAGTTCTATCTATCTTCCTCTTTCCGGTAGCCTTTTTCTCAAATTTCATAGACTCTTTTAATTTTCCTTAGGGGAGAAGTTCTTATTCTTTTTTGAATATTTGTTGAATAAATACCACGATTGCTATTGTGTTTGCTGTTATTGTACTTGTTTCTGTTTTTGTTTCTGTTTGGTGTTGCTGTTGTGGGATAATAGCAGCTACAATAGAATCGGCAGTAACAATAGTAGCGAGGATAACAATAGGGGTGGGGCTGATAAGAGGAATGTATTGTCTCACCGTTGTCTCTGGTGTTAGGGGAAAAACCCCATTAATAGTTTACCCAAACAAGAAATAAAAAAAAAAAGAAGAGAAAAAGAGAAGTAGCCGCCGAGAGAAAACCTCTGCTTTAAAAAATTTCCTTCCCCTTCCCACCACAACCACCCGCATACATACACACACAAACACACACATACTAACAGCTGTTCCTTATTTTAAATTCACAAAGAAACCAAAAAAATAGAATATCCCTATCTATCTTTCATTTATCTAGTTATTATACCTCTTTAGGGTTTCGTAGCAGAAAAAAAGACATAAGATTCGATATATTATCAGAGAGTTCAAATATAAAGGTCTACTTCTATGTTAGGGTTGTCATATATATATATATATATATGTGTGTGTGTGTGTGTATATCTAGCAATCTACAACTTTCTATCATGGAAAGCAAGAAAAAGACAGTGTGAGTCATTATTACACGTTATGTAGTAATAATAATAATAAAACAAAGTTGACTCAAGTGTTTCGAAGAACATCTAAAAGGATAAGTCGCAATATTTAATATCATTTCTTGATCTAAGTTATTGAAGTTAGAATCCTTTTATTTTAAATTACTTTTTGTTTATTTTAAATTGAAATTGCCAAAACTAAATATAAAATGTACTTTTCAAACTGAAAAAAAACCATCTAGTAAAATAAACAATGGCTTACAACAAATTATTCAAATAGATAAATGTATATTCGATAGTTGATATTTTCAGTTATTTTGTTAACAGAGAGCCTCAATATGATAAATGTTTTTGTTAAAAATATTCTTAAAAAAAAAAAATTTAATAGAATGAAATAATATAAACTTATAAGAAGATATTGATAATAATAATAATGTAAATTCTTAACTTATTATTGTAAGGTATTAGCGGTACCCATAAATTTATCTTATTTTGCTTGGCTCTTATATTTTAGATACCTAATATACGAGATACAATATTATACAATGGGTTACATTGTATAACTCATTTTATATTCGAGTCTTCTTCAATATAGATTCTTTTTTTGAGTATCTAATATAATGAATTTAGATTTTCACAAACCTAGCTAATATTATTTCAATTCTATTCATATTATTTTTGATACCTTTTTTTATTCAAAAAATTGTTGTCAAACAGACTACTCTTTCTGTGTGCAAATACACCATGCCCAAGACCTTCGGAAACACTTCACGGAACCAACTTTGCTTTTTAATGACAGATTCCGTGGCAAAAAACTTTTTAGGTATAAACTTTTTCTGATAGGAACAAAAAGCAAAGAAAAAAAAAAGAATTTGGTGTCAATCCATTTTTGTAAACAAATGTTTTGCAATGTTTCAATCTCTTTTCTCTTTTTCCGATACCCTTTTCTTTTCGAGAAATTTTAAAAAAACAAACAAAACAAACATAACAACAAAAAGGGCTTTCTATCTTAGATTTTGCATTTATTCTTTTATATTTTTTCAAAATGATCCAATAATTGTTACCTCCAATTGAATATTTCTAACAGACTGTAAAAGAATAAATAAAATCGAAATTTATTAACAACGTCGAATTGTAAAATGCTAATCAAAGCTTAGCTTCTTGTAATATTGTCTTTAAAATTTTTTTTTTTTCCATTTTTTCATTTTATTTTTCCAATTTGTAAGATGTAGAAATCTTTGTCAACATGATAAACTTGACATGTTAACTGATAAAATAAGTGAAAAAAATTGAAAGAAAGAGAAAAAAATACTCTCAAATGTTCATTTATTTTACTTTACTTTACTTTACTGTATATGTACTATGTTACACTGTGTTGAATAGACATCCTCAATACATTGATATATGTTAAAAAAGACGATCTCAATCATTGGTTCAGGCCCATCTGGGTTTTATACTGCTTATAGATTATTAAAAAAATCTCCGATTCCCATTCATATAAAGTTATGGGAAAAATTACCAGTACCATTTGGTTTGAGTAGATATGGTGTAGCACCGGATCACCCAGAAGTTAAAAATTGTGAAGAAACTTTTAAGCTTTGCTTCAAAGAACATTTCAATGACTATGATTATAATAATTGCACATCATCACAAGATCAACAACAACAACAACAGAATAGTATCGAATTCATTGGTGGCGTAACTGTTGGGGGTTCACATATTAAACTGAAACAAATAATAGATAATCAAGATATTGTTATATTTAGTTATGGTTGTCAAAGTGACAGGAGATTGAATATCCCTGGTGAACAGACTACCAAAGGCGTTTTCACTAGTAGAGAGTTTGTGAACTGGTACAATGGACATTTTGATTATTCACTGTCTGAAAAATTCAATAATTTCCCATGGTCCAAAGTGAAAAATATTGGTATAATCGGTAATGGGAATGTCGCATTAGATCTAACGAGAATATTAATAAGTAACCAAATTGATGAAATTTGGAATAATACAGATATATCAAAGATTGCATTAAAAAATTTGCAGAATTGTAATATAAAAAATATTGAATTAATTGCAAGAAGAGATTTTTTAAATTCAAAATTCACAAACAAAGAATTAAGAGAATTGTGGGAGTTGGAAAAATATGGAATCAAAGGTACTATCAATAAAGAATTTTTCAATAAAAATCAATTCGATATAAAGAATATGGACCGTACATTAAAAAGACGGGTAGAAATGTGCGATGAATATATGAAACCATTCAATGAAAGAACTAAAAAAAACTATAAGAAGTTTAAACCACTGGACATAGTCACTAAAACCTGGGAATTGGATTATTTGAAGACACCATTAAGAATAAATAAAGATTCAAATGGTTACATTAAATCACTAACACTGTGCCATAACATAATAACTCCAGAAAACAGAGTGGTTCCACAATTAAATGAAAAGATCACGTATAATATTGATTTGTTGATCACTTCACTAGGTTACAAAGGCGTACCATTACCTGAGTTCAAATCCTTGGATATTGGTTTCCAAAAAGACCATATATCTAATGTTAAAGGACATGTACTTTCTTCTAGTGGAAATATAATTCCTGGTTTGTATGCATCAGGGTGGATAAGGAGAGGTAGTCAAGGTGTGATTGCATCCACAATGCAAGATTCCTTCGAGGTAGCGGATACTGTTATAAAGGACTTGGCCACTAACCTCAATGGTCAGACAAACTATCCAAAAAAGTTGAATGTTGAATCCATCCCCCATATAACTTGGTCTCAGTGGGAATCGCTAGACAAGGAGGAACATAGACGTGGTCAACTATCTTCAAAGCCAAGAGAGAAGTTTTTATCTATAAAAGATGTCCAGGACCACTTGTCGTCTTTATAATAAAATTTACAGCCAATGAATTTCGAGCAAAATAGAAAATTTCCATTTCTCAATTTCTATCTTCTCCCTTTTCCCTCTGTTAGTCTCTTATTCTTTTCTATTTTTTTTTCTTTTTTTTATTTTTTTTTTCCTGTTTCGCAAAACGCATTTTTACTTCACCATGCAATTTTTTAGTTTGCTTTATCGAGACCAAAGCAAAAAAAACAAACATTGGGGAAGAATAAGTAAATTGTCCAAATCAGTAATAGACACCATTCCTTTTTATTGTGATTACTTCCTTCCTGGTTTCGCATAATTTAGTTCCCTATATCCCTTCACATTCCTCCTACTTGTAATACCATTTGCTAACCAAGAAAAAAAATATCAGAATATAGTATAGATAAGTAAGTAAGGGATTTACTTATCGGTGTCAGACTAAAGGGATCATATCTATTAATACCTGCTCTATCTCATAAATACCGTTCACAACAAAACTAGATCACATATTATTATATTTGTCTAGCTTTTTAGTGTGTATACTTATTATTTTGTTAATATTAAAACTAATATCTAATTTTTATTCTTTTCAATTTTAAAAAAGAAAATCACATATCCAATGATGTTGAGAAACATGCTATTTAGACGTTCCTTAACCACTTTAATCCCACCAAAGATCGTTTCTTCCAATCAAGTAGCTAAAGCTCCAAATGCTAAAAGAGTGTCTAATATGGTCAATTTTTATAAATCATTACCACAAGGACCAGCTCCAAAGAACAGTAATCCATCCGGTCTAATTAATTGGTATAAGGCTAAATATTTCGAGAAGGAGAGTGTTCAACCTCTTTTACATTTAACTGCCGCTATTTTGGTTTTTAGTTACTCTTTAGATTATTACTTCCATTTAAGACATCACAAAGATGGGAAACATTAAGAGAAACCATTGTAATTGAATAAATAGATGAACGTAGAAAGTATTTTATATTAATAATAATCATGATTATTATTTTAAAGCATAAGGATCAATATACTTTCGTTGTGTTTTTCTTTCTTTTCTTTTTTTTTTAATAAATTTCAGTTGTCCTGTCTCTTGTGTTTAAATAATTCTAAATATTAATATACAGCAAATAAAAGTTTAATATATATATTCCTATTTTATTTTTATTCAATTTAGTAAATTTAGTTTTTTTATGATATTACTATAAATTCACTACTTTTTATATATATACACACACACACTCTCTCTATATATAGTTATATACATCTGCATAAATATTATACCTCACTAATATACAGCACTTGAGTTCCTCTTAGGAAAATATCACTGGAGTATTTATGGAGAAGTCCATTATTACTATTTTCATAATGTTCAGTGGTGGATGATAATGTTACGTTCATAAACCCATCAATTGATTCTAATGTACCGGTATAAAGCATCCCAGAATGTAATTTCACATTGACTGGTTTTCCAATAATATTTGTCAAAAATTCTGTAGAAACACTAGCTGAATCTGTGGAAGACATCTTATATTATTATCTTTTTTCTTTTCTCTTTCTTTTCTTTTTCTATTTTTTTATGTTGTCGTAACCTACACTGTCGCTTATACTTTTGTTGCTATTTTTGCCTGAATTGACCAATAAGTACTTATTTTGTTGGGTAATGAAGCATCGGTATGTAACTCTATTGCACTTTCAATCCTTTTTTACTTTTCACTTTTTACTGCTTTCTCATCGTTTTTTTGCTTTAACTAAGAAAACAAACCAAAAGTGATTGATTTGGAAAAAGATTTCTTCTTTCGCTCATCATTTCCGTTTTAGTAACCATAGTACTAAAGTGGTAATATTATTCCTAACGGGGAAACAAGATGTGGCCATAGGTCTAAAAATAAATTTCTTTTAAAAAACTACTAGTCCACAAAAAATTAAAAAAGAATAGAAAACAGGATTTACGGACAGGCAAATAATTTAGATGTTCAAGAATTTCTACAGAGATGACAATTAACTGACAAAGAGAGTGAAAATTAAAGATCTTTCTATCTTCTCTCTTTTTTTTTCTTTTTCGCTCTCTTTTTCTATTTTTGGATATAGCTTAAACTGAGGTAATATTTTGATTGAATTAGATTATTAAATTGTGTAACCATAAACTTAATTGTGTTAGTGTTCATAGTGGTGCTGATAGAAAAATATAATAGCTAAGGTTCAGTTGATAGGAATCTGATTCATTAAATAAAATTATTTCCTCTTTCAAATATATATATATATATCTATAGATAAATTAAGGAATACAACTTTATATTATAACTATTATAGACTTGGTTAGCATAGAGTATTTAAAATTTTTACTTCTAAAAAATTAATGACAGAACCTCAAAAACAATCAAAAAATTCTACGTTGACATGTTGTCAGTGTCATCTTGATATCACAGATGGTAAAATATATGAAATTGATGATTTTAAATGGCATGAAGACTGTTTTCATTGCTCACGATGTCATAAAAAATTACAAAAAAATGATGATTTTATTACATTACCTCAAAATATAGAAATCAATGACATTAAATCATGCAATTTAATATGTAATGATTGTTCTAGAAATTGTCAGCATTGTGGTAAACCAATTAACGATATGGCTATCATACTATCATCCAATGAGGCATATTGTCAAGAATGTTTTAAATGTTATAAATGTGGGAAATTAATTGAAGATTTAAAATATGTGAAGACAAGAAAGGGATTGTATTGTATCAACTGTCATAAAATATTATTGGCTAAGAGACAGTTATATAAAGACAAACAATCAAAACAACGACAAGATAAAGAACAACTTCCAATTTATATACAATATCAAGAGAGAGGACCTACATCTGTTAAGCAGAACACTCCAGAGTCCTTTATTTTGCCCAAAAGGTCAAGTATGAGACCCAGGAATGATTATCTTTTTAATAATGTTAATAACTATTCTACTCATAGGCATTCAAGGTCATTATCGAATTCAAAATTTGAACAAAATATCCTTGAACAGACATCTAGATTACCATCAACATCATCTGGAAATAGTGTTAATGGATTAAAGATAAATCATTCTAGAAGTATATCTTTGGATGATGTTTTGAATGCAACATTACAAAACGATACTTCTTCTTTAGATGATGTTGAAGAAAATAATAATGACAAGGACAATATAACAAATGATACAAAAAACTTTCAACAAATTGAACATTTTGCATCAAAAGATATCGGAAGTAGTAGATCATATTTGACTGCATCAACCAATTCGATCTCAAATAACAGTATTGCCACCTCAAATAATCCTGTTTCCCATAATATACCACATGATGATGAGTACTCCAGTCCTGCAAGAAGTAAAACAAGTATCTCGGATATAACAGAAAAGAATAATATGAATACATTGCCAAAAACACCAGAAATAAACAAGAGGAGTTTGAATGTTAATCAAACCATAGATTTACCCTTAAATAGCCCTATGTCAATATTTCAATCTAATAATTCTGTGATAAAAAAGTCACATAACAATGAAAATGAAAGAATAGAGAAAAGATCTTCAAGAATTATGGATACTTCTCAAGAAAATCATATAAACAGTTTATCTTCGTTGAATGAAGGACTTGCATTACAGTTTGATAGTACGAATGAACAAGGATCAAATATGATAACACCCGACACATATATTCATTCTACTAATATTTCAAAAAGTAAAAATATAAATAATAGTTTTATTACAAATGGTGTCGGTAATACTCGCAGTAATAGTGCTACCAATTCTGGAGGGAAAAAATTAGGTAGATCTTTATCATTAAAATCTAAGAATTTTTTTAGTCATTGGAAAAATAAAAGCCATAATGTAACCACAAATGATCCAAATAAAGTTGCTGAACAACATAAATCATCCTGGATAAACAACGAAAATTTTGATACACATTCGGGTTGGGGTGTACATTCAAGTCATGAAAATGATATGTATATTAAGGCCAATAAAAACACAACTGGTGCTAATAAAATCCCTGCTTCTTCTATTCGACATTCGAGTAGAGGTAAGAGTGATACATTAATCTATGACAGCTCCCAATTATTGGTTAACATGAATGTTACAAAACCGACAAACACCACTATATCCTCAACAAGCTATTCCACTCCAAGAAATCAACATCAAAGAAACAATAGTAATATATGGACTGACTCTAGGTCAACATCAGGTGTAGCAATGTTTAGAACACCACCTTTAGATAACCAAACAATGTTCAGAAGAATGCCACAGTCGGTGTCAAGTTCTATTTCTAAACATATTCCTACCTCTTCTGAAAGTAGTATACTTGAAAAGAAACAAACAACCAACCTCAACGAAAGTACTCCTATTCTGACGAATGGTACTAAAACGGATAACTTTACCTCAGTAGAAGAATCCTCAACTTCAACAATTAATAAGGACACTTTAGATATTAAGATTACCAAGACTGCGTCACAGAAATCTGCACAAGATACTGACAGTGATTCAGAGGATGAAAATAAAAATTTTGCGGATAGTGTAGAAGATATGGATATAAAATTGAGGAAAATGAAGCTTGAATTAAAGGAAATGGAGGTCTCAAAACAGAAATTAATCATTGAAATCGACAGTTTAAGAAGCCAAAGAGATGAACTTGTTGATGAAGTTAGGAAATTAAAACAATCCAAACAAGAATACTTTGACGAAGAAACAAATTTATCAAAACATAGTAATGTCGGTATATTGAACGATGGAGTAAATATGACTAGAAAGAGTTTAATAGGGTCAGACAATGAAGAGATACATTCTCATTCCACTTTAAACGGCAGTAAACCCAAATTTTGGAAAATATTTGGTAATAATAACTCACTGCATAACACCACAGAAAACCTAAATACCACTACCCATTTATCGGCTAATAAAGTGAACCTAACTCCTTCACAAAATAGAGCAAGATCTAATAGCGAGAATTTTTCAAATAATATATCCAATAATGGTGCAACCAGTACAGTAGCCTCATTAACATCTGCCACTTCTACAGAATACAAAAGTGTTTCAGATACTTCAAATTCTATGAGCACTTATTATAATTCAACATTATATCAATATTGCCTTAAGAGTCAAAATGTTTTAAATGTACCAGACATCATCTTTAAATGTATTGATTTTATAGAGACAAATAAACGTAATTTGGAAACTGAAGGCCTTTATAGAAAATCTGGGTCTTTATCATTGGTTGAGGAAGTGGAAAAAAAATTATATACGGAAAATAGTGATTTGAATTTGATATGCGATGATGTTCATGTTGTTACGAATGTATTAAAAAGATTTTTGAGAAGATTGCCTGATCCCATTATTTCCTTCGAAATATATGACCCATTGATATCTTTAGTAAAGGATGACAAACTGATTGAAAAATTGCCTTTAATTCAAAATGAAGAAACGGACATTGATAACAATTTATTTGAATTTGTTAAGGAATCGATTACTAAGTTACTAAGACAATTGCCACAGGAGAACATAAGAGTGTTGTCCTTAATAATAAAGCATATAAATTTAGTTTCACAATACCATAGATTCAACTTAATGAATCTTCATAATTTGGCATTGGTTTTTACACCAAGTTTAATGCGGGACATCACAGGGGAAAGAGATATAGAGGATATGAGAGAAAGAAATTATATTGTTGAATTTGCATTACTACATAAATTGATATAGATTTTATCATTTCCGAAGGTACTCCAATATGATGATAACTAATTTCGATGAGTCATATATAGATTATAATAAATACATAATGAATATAGAGAAACATTATACATGTAAGAAATAATATAATGGTATTTACAATTTTTTCAAATAAAATAAAGAAGAATAAAATAAATAGAGAAGATGGGAGTGTTACCATTAGAGAGAATAATATTAGTGAATGTCTTTAACATTTGGTTGCGATAACATTTGAAGTTTTCTTTTACCCATTCTTAAAAGATATTCTATTGTAGTAAAATCTTTTCTCTTCAAATCTCTATATTTATCAAACTCACTATGAATATATTTTAAAAAATGTAGTCGATTTTCTATAGGCTTCGTGTATACCATTCGTACCCATTGGCGATAGGAGTGTAAAACATCTCTTTGCAATCCAGATAATCTTACCATATCTTAAATCTCCTTTTTCTTTTATTTCCTTATCTTCTCCTTAAACCAATTACTCTTTTGATGGATAATCACACACCAAGAACAAACTGGATTGGGTATGAATTACACCAATATATAAAAACCGAAAGTGTTGTGTAACGTTTAACTGCTAGGACTAAATTTACTAAATCCTATGAAGTATAATAAAAGTTCTTTAAGGTTAAAGATCAAACACTCCCCCCGCCCCCCTTTTTTTTTTTCCTACATTAGTTATGGAGAGAATCAAGAAAATAAACAAACAAACATAATATGAAATAATTAAATAATGCAACTAATGAAAAAAAGATATTTGTTTTACAAGAATCTCAGATGAAATAAAATATACAATGATCTTAACACACAGCAAGAGTTTATGATAAGTTAAAAGTTCCAAAGTGTTACTTTATTCCAATTCAAGACTAAATATGATACACTATAGCAAGAAAAGAAAAGGTTAACATTACGCTTCTTTTATCTGCCTAAAAATATAGGTATATATAAGTATATTTGTGATCTTTATTTGTTTAGTTTATAGGGGATTTTTAAGAAGATAGAGAGTAAAAGAGAGAAAATAACAAAATTGTATTAAATTATTTATATCATTTGTTGTTGTTATTGATTAATCAATGAATTTCAAGATTAGTCGGTAATCTTGATAGATAACCTTAAATAAACCAACTATAGAAAGGTCACGAAGCCGAGAACTAATTATTTTGATCGTTTTAATTGACAATGAATCAGATTTAATGGAAAACGATAAAAATAATACTACTACCCTCCTCCCCTCCCTCTTTCCTATTTCGTGTGATATCAACATTTTATATTTGCACATGCGGAAGAAAAAAAAATGAGAAAAGCCGCCGATAGCCGATGACTGACGGGAAAACACGGCAAGACCTTGTTCGGCATGACATGGTAAAACACGGAGTTCCGCCAACAAATGGTGTCATTAAAATACCTTAGACACAAATAACTTTCATTCCATTAAAATAATATGTGTCAATGAATTCCCCAATAATTACATACATATATAAAGAGTGAAATATATTGACTGCAAGGTACCAAAAAAACTAAATCAGTTAATAGATGTAGAAAAAATTAATTGGAGCTTGATTTACACAGTTTTCCAATCTGATGAGTGTTATAATATAGTATCCTTTGATATTTTTGTTTAATCCAAAATTGTAACATCAAAAATTAACTAATAATAATTACTAGCACAGTATCTTACTATATTTTAAAGGCAAATTTATAACTTTATTCACTATGACGCTAATAAAATCTCAGCAAATAATTTCAAACATACAAGAATCAAAGACTGATGAGTTTAACGCTGATCATTCAACAAAATTAATTCCATTCGGACAATATCTATTTCAAAGGATCATTACTGCAGGTACTAAATCGATTTTTGGTGTCCCTGGGGATTTTAATTTACCGCTTTTAGAATATCTATATGAACCATCGCTCATTAAACAGGGATTAAGATGGATTGGTAATTGTAATGAATTGAATGCAGCTTATTCTGCAGATGGGTTTTCACGCTATTCAAATAAAATTGGATGTGTTATTACAACATATGGGGTTGGTGAATTGAGTGCTATAAATGGTATTGCTGGTGCGTTTGCAGAAAATGTTAAAATTTTACATATCGTAGGTGTTGCCAGAAAAAAAGATTCAAGACCTAATACATCTAATTCAAGGAAAAATTTACATCATTTAGTTCCTAGATTAAAAGATGCTAATTTTATAGGTCCTAACCATAAAGTTTACTACGAAATGGTTAAAGATAAGGTTTCATGTTCTACTGAATGGTTAGATGATATCAATACTGCTTGTAACAAAGTCGATAAAGTTATTAAAGATATCTATAGGTATTCTAAACCAGGTTATATTTTTGTTCCTGTAGATTTGGTGAATCAGCTTGTCTCTGTTAATAATTTAGTTAATGAACCTTCTATTTCCATGAAAGATTGTCTTGATAAACCATCCGTTACTACTCTAAATGAAATTACCGATATAATTTGTAATTGGATATACCAGAGTAAGGCACCAGCCATTATTGGAGATGTCCTTGTTGACAGATATGAGGCTAATAAGGAACTAAATTTGTTCATTAAGAAAACACAAATATGGAATTTTTCAACTGTTAATGGAAAATCAATAATCGATGAACTTAACCCATACTATATGGGTCTTTATAACGGTGATGAAGGCGCGCCATCTGTGATTGAAAGGTTTTTGCAGTGTGACCTTATTCTAAATTTTGGTATTGATGCTAATGAAATCAACCATGGCCATTACACTTTTAAATACAAGAAAGACGCTAGAATCATTGAACTTCATCCTGAATATATTAGATTTATTGAAACTGATACTAACACAGAAAAAATAATTAGAGGAATAAATTTTGTTTTTATCTTAGAGGAATTAATTAAAGAAATAAACCCAGTGTTTTTAAATTTCCAATATGATTCTAAAGTAAAAGCATATACCAGTCAAGAAGTCTATCCAGATATAGAAAATGTTGATTCTGAAGAGCAGGATATTACTGTGGATCGCTTAACAAAAGCTATTTCAACTTTTTTTAATCCAGGTGATGTTGTAGTCTCTGAGACTGGCGCAATCTACTTTGCCTTTCGAGATCTTGTTTTCCCCAATCAACTTAAATATATTGCACAAGGGTTTTATTTATCGATTGGGACAGCTCTTCCGGCTGCATTTGGTGTTGGAATTGCAATGCAAGATTATCCACGGTGCCATATCACAGACGACACAGTTCCAACAGATTATGTACCAAGATTAATTCTGTTTGAAGGTGACGGTTCTGCACAAATGACTGTACAAGAAATGACGTCAATGTTGAGATATCAAGTACCTGTTGAATTATTTATTTGGAATAATAACGGTTATACTGTAGAACGCGCAATTTGTGGCCCTACAAGATCATATAATGACATTATGTCTTGGAATTGGACAAAATTATTTGAAGCGTTTGGTGATACTAATTGTCAATATACAGTAAGCACATTGATTGAAACAAGATCTAAATTAGCGTGGAAAATGAAACAGTTGAAAAATAAAAAAGAACGTGACAATATAGAATTGATGGAAGTTCAGCTTGGTGTATTGGACTATCCAAAGCAATTGCAGAGCATGGTGACAGCTGCAAAGGTTAGACAGAAATTGGAAACGATGGAGGATCATCCTGCTGCTTGAATTTGCTAGTTTTGTCCTATCCTTGTTTTATTAAATATATTCAACGCATTTAATACATGATAGGTTTTTTCTTTTTCTTTTTTTAATATATACTATATATATATTTTGTCATTTTCAATAATAGAACCTCAAGGTAATAGCAGCATATACTTCAAATATATAATTTAAAAATATGTATGATAGAAATAAATTCTTTGAAAAATATGGAAGTTTTTTTTATAATAAGTATAAGATTGCATTGAGACATATAATAATGAAATGAATGACTTCAGTAATTTTATTATTGAACAAACTACTAATAGCTTGCAACTATTCAATAATTAGAATTTAAATAATAATAATAATAATAATAAAACAGCAGATAGCATTATTCTATTTTTAAGAGAATATTATGAAATTAACAATGATGTGTGCAAATGCTTTTGCTACAGAAACAAATATTTCATAAAACAAGAGAACAATACAAATTTTATAAAAATGATAGTCATTCTTCAAGAATCTATAAAAACAAAACTAATAATATACTTGAGCCTAGTTAATAAAGAATCGAAAGGTACAATTAATTCCCAAAGATAGATATTAATTTTTACATTATAAAATATCGATAAATCATTTTTTTTAACCGTGTTTTATTGATGGTTAAAATACATCAGCAACTATCGCAAACATATTTTATTTCAACCACTTCACCCAATATACTACAAACAGCATTCTTACACGTTGGCATAAATCAGTGATTGTGCAGATTGAACAATATATTCTTTCCAAGTGACAACAAATCTTAGATCCATATATAGAAAAGTACTTTTCATTTACGGAATATTTATATTCATAAAAGATATTTCTCCACTCTCTCGTATAAACTTCTGCTTCTCTTTTAAAAAAACTTTTATTTACTTCTTTTAATAACCAATCTTATAAATTATAGCTATCTAATTTTATACTAGCATATAAAATTTACTTGTTAAGACTACAACAGAGTGGCAACTTTTTTTCGTAAGTTCCTTTTATGTGCTTAGATTTGCTTAAAAACATAAACTATTGTGTATTTTAAATTGCTTGATACTAGTTAACATCCTTTTGTAAATTTAGTTCTTATTCAACTCTTGAATACATACGAACATCTTCTAAACCATTAAACAACTTTCCTTATAAAAGTTTTTACCATCAGAAATACTGATGACAACTTTTAATTTAGATCGGAGATTGTTAAAGAACTAGACACAATGACAGCACTTCTACTATATTCTAATCTTACGTTTTTAACTTCATTGAAACAACTTTTCTTTTAACTGTATCAAGAAAAAAAAATCTTATCAAAAATAATAAAATAGATTTATAACCATCTCATTACAACCATAGAGTTCTGAATAATAGGTGAGAGCAGGCTGCTTGTTCCTATGTGTATGTGTATTTACCCTGTAGTGATTGTTATGCGTTTCATTTTAATCGAAGTTTTTCATTTTATTTTATTTTCCTTCTTTAAGCGGCAAAAATAAATTTTTGCCCCTGTTTTAATCATCAACAGTCAACAAAAAAAAAAAAACAAAAAAATTTATATAAAAAGACAACAAAATTTTCTAAAAAACACAAAAAAACCACGAAATTTTTTCTTTCTGTAAATATCATTTTCGTTTTTATAAAGGTAAGATTCTCCAATTCAGAACTCCACTTAGATAAAAGGCTAAACATTTTTGTTTATTCCAACTGAGTAAGGTGTTTAAGACAAGTAAAAAAGAACCAAATTTTTGAAAAATCCTCCCTTTTCATACACCCTTCTCATTAATACTAAACATATATAATAACAACAATGGCTGGTAACTTAGATCAATCTTTAGATGAAATTATCGGTAAAAGATCCCAGAACCGTCGTAAGATCGGTCCAAGAAGAGCTGGAAAGCAGGTCAATGTCCATCGTAGCCGTGCTCCAGTAAACAGAACAGCTGCACAAAGAAGTGTTAGGGCTCCAGTTAACGCTGTTTCTAGAGTTGCTAGACTTCTAAATTCAAACAGCCATGTTAAGGTTAATGTTGAAGGTTTACCAAGAGATATCAAACAAGATGCTGTTAGAGTATGTTTTTTTGCTTTTCCAAATTTTTAGAAACAAAATTATATTTAAGTTACAATGGAAGATAAGATCAAGGTATAAGAATAGAATAATTTTTTCTAATTGGATTATTGTTTTTTTGGAAGGAAGAACGGAAAAAAGAATGTTATTTTTTTTTCTTCAAAAATTCCGCAGGCATGCATATTATCTCTTTTTAATTATATTGCTGACAGGAGATCGCAGTGTAAATTGCAAAGAGAGTTAAGTGATTGATTAAGTCAAATGTTAAATATATTTGTGCGTTGAGAAAGGATATATATTTATTATCTTTTCATACTATGCCATGCATTCCAGTATTTTGAATAGCTTAGCGAACCTCATGTTCTACTTAATTATTAATTTTTGCATTGATTATAGACTGGGTGGCTAGAATTGTACTTTAAAACAACACCATCCTAACTAGATAAACCCTAGTTAGTTCGTCTTTGTATTGTTTGACAAGAACTCGTTTTATCCAACAATAATGTGGTTTAGTTCTTTTTATGCATTATTGAAATTGAGTTACTGTAATAATATTCTTATGAAGGAGCAATTAAGTTTGTTTTCTTTCATTTTGGGAGGAATGGATATTAATTATAAAAAACACGTGATTATTAAAGTATAAGACTTTTTTAGTTTAAGTGTTATCATGTTTCAAAACAATTTGACGTACAATTCTCTCACCTAATGAAACCCTACTGATCTAATGCTAATTATAACTTGTCGTTTTTGCTAAGTGAAATTCAAATGCAGGTATCGATAATTATCTTAAATCGTTTATCACCGAATATTTGAATACGTTTATTTTTTTTTATCCTTTTGATATTCTTGTGACTTTTTTACCTTTGTAAGGTTTTTTTTTCAACCAAGAAAATAATATGTGACAAAATCCAATATTAAACTATTTTGTTATCTTCCCTATTGTATTAATCTTTTTTAATTCATAATGAATTATATAGTGACTAACAATCTATTTTTTATTAACAATATTTGTGATATTATTGTTATTGATAGTGATAATTTTTGATATAGGAATTTTTTTCTACTCATGTTGGTGGTGTTACTGGAGTATTATTATCTTATAATGAAAGAGGTTTATCTACTGGTATGGCCAACATTACATTTAAGAATGGTGATTTGGCTCAAAAAGCTGTTGCTAAATTCAACGGCGCACCAATTGATAACGGGAGATCGAGATTGAGATTAAATATTATTGTAAGTGCTTCTGCTGCATCCACTGCTGTTGCCAATCAACAAGATTTATCTAAAAGAATTAAACCATTACCAGGTAAAGTCAGAAGCCAACCTGCTCCACAAAGAAATGTCCACAATAGACAAAGAGGTCCAAACAGAAAAGCTGTATTAGCTAAAAGACAACACCAAAGAAAACCTAAGCCAGCTAAGAAAAGTCTAGAAGATTTAGATAAGGAAATGGCCGATTACTTTGAAGATAAGAAGGCATAAGCAATATAAGGGTTTAAAAGTTGTTGTTGTTTCTTCTTTATTTTTTAAACCCCGCTCCCCTTCCAGAATAATAATATATATGATTGATATTCAAAATTATTTATATCATTATAAAAATAAATATTAATAATAACATTATATGTAACTCTATATGTGATTTCAATAAACCCTCTAATGTTTATTATATTGCTCACATAATATTTTTAGAGATATGTAATAAAATATCACTCCTTTCGACACTTTGTGCTGATACTTTTTTTATTATATAATCTAAAACCTTTTAAAAACTATATATAGATAATTATTTCAATAAACCCCAAAATTAAATATAAATAGAAGCTTGAAATAAACGAAAAAGATATTAATCAATCTATTTTAATCATTATTACTTCTTCTGTTCCAAAAACCTAATTTATCACCTCTTTTTCTCGTTACGGCACTCACACCACCAGCTTCATACTTACTTTTCCTTTGAAAAGCATGCGCATTTTCAACATTAGGGTCTCCATTACTATTACCCTTATTTGAAGCAGATTTTGGTAATGGGAACCCAGGTTTAACTTGCGCTATATTTGCATAGTAATCATCTATCATTTTGTCTTTACTCTGATTTAATGCGACCTCATAGTCATCGATCATTGCTTGAGGTTTAAATTTTGCGTCTCTTTTTGACTTAATTATTGATTTTACAATATAAATAGAAAGGGCACCACCAAGAAATACGTAACCTACTGTCTTACTGCACGTAAAAAAGCAAAAAATAAATCAATCAAACTTAAATATAAAAGGATAAAATAAATAATATAATTGTTGTTAGTAAATTAATTTAAAATATATTCTTGGTACGTTTGTTTGTCTATTTGTTTTCAAGTCAAATGATTATTAAATAGTAGGAGGAAAAAGACACATATGATATTAAGGGGAGAATTGTGTCAACATACCCAACTTTCCTAAAAGAATTGAATGTCTCCATTATTAAAGGTATTTCATGTGGTTAGCTTACATTGTAATAAATACTGCACTAAAACGTTGCAACTAAATATCTATAAAACAATACACGTATGCATATATATGTATATATATATTCTACTAACTCCTTTTATATTGTATATGAATGAGTAAAATGGATGCTCCTTTTTTTTTAAAATTTCCCAATTTTTTTTTAAACTTTTCATGCACTATTATTTACAATAAGAAGAAAGTTGAATCTTAAAGTTACAGAAAGTTCAGTATAATAGATTCTTTTCTTCTATATTGGATAAATGAAATCAATTCTATTACAATGTCCATGTAGCTGACTGTATGAATAATTTATCATCATATCTATATGGATGTGTGTCTGTATTATCCAGCTAGGTTTTATAGTCATATAATAATCATTCACAATTGTTCTGGTTGTACCATATTGGATCTTGTGTGATGTACGCTTGGGCGTGGATTACAAAGATTGACTGTATTAAAAAAAATAAAAGGTCATCTCCTTTCATTTTCTATCATGTCAACTCATATATTCATTAAATCGTTCATGTTAATTGATTGTTCTACCTCAAATATAATTAATAAAATAAAGGAAAAAAAAAACAAAACAAAAAAGTGAAAGAGTTCCATTTTGTTTAATGTCATAGTTTAGATAAGGTTTCATATGTATAAAATACAGTAGCATTCGCAGGCACAGCCCTGATCAACGTTATACCTAAACCACGATAGAATCCTGTAACTCCATATTTTGTAATTACTTTTCTAATAGCATTTTTCATAGAAATATGATCAATCTGCATAATCGATTTGACTGTATCAGCAGGAAAGATGCTAGCATTGAAGGCAACACCTGCGCTAGCACCACTAACTAATAGTTCCCAAGTCTTATTTTCTTTATCCGGATGTCTTTCCTTTAACTTGCTTTTCATTAATTCATATGTGGCAAACCATGCAACCCCACCAAATGATTCTCTGATAAATGTTCCAGATTGTCCTTGCCATAATCCCAGCAGGCTTCTCTCCTTAATTACATTTGATATAGTAGGGAAAATTTTAGTAGTTCTTTGTTCAGCACCTGGAACACTATTAGCTAAATTAGCCACTTGTAGTTTACATTTAATTAATTCCACAGGGGTCAGAACGAAACTGGCACACGAACCAGAGATAGCACCGGATATAATAATATTAATCAATTCGTTAACACTAGTATGCTTGTTTAAAAATTTAGAGGTTTGATTGTATGCGACAAATAAAGTAGCATTCTCCAAAGAAGCACCAAATAACGGAGATCCAATTCCTTGGAAAAATCCTTTGGTTATACCTTCATGTTGGTATGTATATTTTATACAGGACCAAGTGGTTGGAAACATCTTAGCTCCTTGTGTTTGTAGCCTGACTTTAACTGTATCAAATGGATATTCTATAAATTTTCCAAATGCACCTGCAATAGACCCATTCAGTATATCTTTAAACGCAGAGTTTTTATTATTTATTACTGTTTGTTCAGTAGAGGCTGTTGTTACTAAATCTTTGGAGTCCATTGATTGTTTCTGAAAAGATTGAAGTGAGCAAAGAGGGGAGGAATAGATTGATTATAATTGATGTGATGGCAATAGTAGTAATAAGCAAGTAAATAAACAATATGAATCGATGAGTTATTCAAAACTTGATAAATATATACATATATATTTAAAAATAGTAACGAGTGTGAAGATAATACACTATTGCGTAAGAAGAAGCAAAACAACTAGTTTTATAACAATGTTAACTGTGATACTTCAATACTGTGAATATCTATAATTAGTAATTGACACTTGCCTTACAAGTATTGAGATCAGTAAAAGGAAAAAAGAAAAAAAAACAGCGTAGTCGATAACTCAACACATCAACCACACTCCAAATATAGAAAAGAGAAACGAAAATTGAAGATATTGATACTAAACAGCACATGAACTTTGCATGCCAAATATTAATCTCAATTGATTTTTATTTATTTGTTTTTTTCTTGCCATACTATGCAGAATGAATGATCATTTAATAATCGAGGATATGTGCATGACTTCCTTGAGAAACATCTGAAGATCGGCCTGCATCCCGAAAAAGAAATTTTTTTTTTTTTGATCGAGCCTCTTAACTGTTAATTATTACAGTGCTTATTACTGTGTTGTGTTGTGTAGTATCTTACAATTGACAAGAGATACCTACATATAAATTAACTTATTGATAGATTGGTGAAAATCATTATCTACAGCAGCTGTTTCAAGAAATTTTTCTGCTTAATCTGTAACAAAAATCCTGCCTAAAAAACCCTAGTTGTTAATTGTAATTAGGATGCCATATTTCTTTCCAAGCTTTAAGCAAAACTATCTACCAGGTATATATGTAATAGAGTGCACATGAAGTTGTATGCACATCAGTAGAAGTTTCGTAATTTCATTAATGAGACAATTATTCAGTACTTTATAAAGAAACTATTACACTTTAAGGTAATCTAATGTGGCAATTGTCTTAATTGTATTGTCGTATCACACTGAATGGCGTAAAACAGAGACAGATGATTGACTCATTAATATTTTCAATTGAAGTCTTTTCTTTAATAAAAAGTTAACCAAAAAAAAAAATGGTAGATGTAACAAAATACAGAAATCAAAGCGGAATTTGATTCCGCATAATTCCGATAAGGGTTTCAAAAAAGAAAACAATTCCATGCTTTTTTCCAAAAAGGCCATGTGACTAAATACATTATCCGGGTAAATATTTGGTGTTTATCATTTCAGACGGTCTAGAACTTTGGAATGTCGCAAAAAAAATTTTTTTTCTTCTATTCTTTTCTTTGATTATTTTTTATCCCCATGGATAATATCTCTTTTTAAGTTTTACTATGTGATGTAATTTTTTTTTTCTTCTTTTTCTCCCCCATCGATTGTTTGAATATTTTCTTATAAAGGATTTTTATAACTGTTGGATGCATATCGTTTTTAGATTGCACTCTTTTCAACTTATCTTGTAAATTCCTTACTATCCTTTCTGTCCTTGTGTTGTTTACATGTATTACACTCTTAAATCTAGTTTTTATGTCGTATTTGATTCCTTCGTTTTCTTTTACTTCTGTCCTGAAAGAAACCAAGGAATAGTCTGCACTTTTGCTTAAATTGATTATTTCAGTTTCTAAGAAGTCCCATTTATAAAGAACCAGTTGAAGAAACCGTCAAAAAAAGAAAAAAATGAAGTACTTAGCTGCTTACTTATTGTTAGTTCAAGGTGGTAACGAATCTCCAGCTGCTGCTGACATCAAGAAGGTTATTGAATCTGTTGGTGTCGAAGTTGACGAAGCTAGAATTAATGAATTATTAGCTTCCTTAGAAGGTAAGGGTTCTTTAGAAGAAATCATCGCTGCTGGTTCTCAAAAGTTTGCTTCTGTTCCAGCTGCTGGTGCTGCTGTTGCTGCTGGTGCCGCCGCTGGTGCTGCTTCTGGTGCTGCCGCCGCTGAAGAAGAAAAGGAAGAAGAAGCTGCTGAAGAATCTGATGATGACATGGGCTTCGGTTTATTCGATTAAGAAGGATTAATAATTTTATAGAAAACACTTTTTTTCTTTATGAAAAATAGATACATACATACATATATGCATACATATATATATATTTTTTTGTATTTAATATTTTGTATAAGTAAGTATATCTATAGTTATTATCTAATTAATTTGAATTTTTAAAATTATTGACAATGTGTGATTTTTTTTATGTGTTACCTATTTTCTACATAATTTAAGGTCATGTCGATATATATATGCGTATGCGTAAGCTTATGTAAAGCAGCGATTATTTTAATTCATTTAAAATGGATTGTAATCTTTTTATCTGGTCCTTATCCTTCGGATCAACAGATTTAAGTTTGATTTCCAGATTATATATTAATTCTTCTAATTCTTCAGTAATTTTTTTATTATATATAGTAATGTATTCTTTGATATCATCTGTGCCCATAGTTTCAATAATGGAAGATCTTAAAGCATCTAATTTACTACATTGTAACTTTAATTTATCTAATTCATCTTCACCAATTTTAATTGCACGACAATGATTTATCAATTCCTCTCTTAATATTTTGTATTCTTTTAATTGATTTTCAGCATCTGTCTCAGTGGTCACTAGTTCTGGTAGTTTATAGATATTATTAATCAAATAGTCCATGTCATAATAACCATTATTAGGATTACCATTTGGGTCAAGACCATATGAATTTATAACATTATTTGATTTTAGAATGTTTCTATGATAAAGTGTTTTAATAATCTCCTTTCGTTCTTCTAAATTCCGGTCATATTCCATATCTATAACATTCCTTGTAATTATATCTCTTGCCATTTGACTAACATTTTGCATACGTAAAAGTTGCAGCCTTGAATTTACCAGTCTTAATACTTCTTCAGGTATACCATGTTGAATTGATTTATTTGGAGAAGTTGAATCATTTATGATATCAATTTGGTTATCAATAAAGTTTGATAGTTGCTCATGTTGATTGGATGAATTTGACATATCATAAATCACATTAAGCTTTTTTATAAAGGTACACTTTATATATTATGGTAAATATATATGCAGGTGGATATATACATATATGTATGTATATATTTGTGTGTGTATGCACAAATTAGTAACTGAGCTTGAAATTAAGCATCACCAAATAATCTAGTTAATAATGATTCTTACCTTCAATTTCCTATTTATGTTTTATTTTTTTTTCCATCACTTTATTTTATTTTTCGTTATAAGAAGATCATTAAGCATTTAAAAAAAAATCTATATGCAGGGAAAGAGAGAGAGAATTTATATAAAAAGAAGTTTATATATGAGTGAGAGAAGAGCAGAAAAATATTTGGACAGTCCATATTATGTATGCATTCTTAAAAAGAAAAAGAAAAAAAGACTCTATAAAATAAAAAAGACAATTTTAATAAGTTATTAGTGTATCATTTGTTAAGAAAGGAAAAGTGATTATCATAATTTAATATGTGTTAATTTCATTTCCAGTGTATCAAAAAGACTCTGGTCTTGATTTATGTTTTTTTTTTTCTTTAATTTTATATTTTGGAAAAAAAAAGGCTTAACTCCAGAGACTCATTTGTTATAATTCCCTCTACAAGTAACAGAGAATGTCAAAATAAAACATTTTAGGACAAACAAAACTCCGGACCCAAGCTGCAAGTGCAATCTAATTAACTGTTAAATATATGTTTGTAATAAATTACTGGGAAACTTATTAAACTAATATCTGATTATGGGGAAAGAGAAGGTGTATGCATGTGCAGGTGAGTACTATAAGCATAGATGATTATCAACAAAACAAGCTTAATAAGAACTATACAATTGGGAATCAACAACTGCATAATTTGTAAATGTATATATGCACAACTAGTATCTGTATTTTAATAGATTTACTTGAGATAACCACTTATTAATACTATACAATTTGACCAAATACATCATGCAGTTATGACCAATGTACTAATACAAACAAATAACTATAAAAGAATTATATAATTTTACATCTTTTCTACTAGCTCATCCTCACCTCCCAAATAATAAGTCAATAGCAACATCATGACCTTATATTATGATTATTATGATTATTATGATCGTTATGATTGTTGTTGCTATAAGTTTGTAGCAGCATAGATTGATTTTACCTAAACAACTGGAGCATTAGGCATCATAGTTGGTTTGAAATGGAAATATGAATTATCTTCTGTAACAACACAACAATACAGGGAGTACCAACCACAACAACTGGACAGGATACCGAAATAACCACCTGCCATCTTAACATTATTATTATCAATGAAACAACCGATACATAATAGTAAGAAAGTCAAATCTAAGAAAGTCAGTAGAAGGAATAGTCCCCAGGTACTCTTTAAAGTACACATCAACATCAAAAATGTGAATACGGTCCAGCCTGCAAGGAAAAACCCGATAATATTATTTAACATAGTTGTATCATCACCATATGCAGATATACTATGGAACTGATCTGTATTAATACAACCCCATGAGATCCAGAATCCACCGAAGGAACTGAAAACCGTCATAGCATAAGTATCACCGGTAACGAAACATAAAAGACCTGCAAACAATTCAATAGCACCACCGAAAAACATGAAACAACTGATTAACAATTTGACATTAGTGACACCACGAACATTTGCATTGACCAGGGATAACGTTAGACATGATAAGGAGAAGGACGCTAGCCCAAGAGGGACTGGATTGGCTAATTTTCTAACAGTAGATCTTTCACGAGTTGGATAGGCGTCGGAATCATCTATCTCCGGTCTTAACGCAGCTATTAGATCTGAACGTTTATATGTAGTATCACCTAAAGTAACATAGTCTTTATTATAGAACACCTCCCCAACACTTCTGATAGAGACATCCACACCTTGTGATTTCTCTATTTCCAAAGATGAACTCATTGCTATTAATACTTATTTTTTTCCACTAAAAATGATATATACGTAACTTTTTGGACTTGACTTCAAAGGACAAACTATATCTTTTACTTTTACTTTTTTGTTCTTTCTTTCTGTCTCTCTTTACTATTTTTTCTTTTTGGTTACTGTCTATCAAGTTTTAAGATACCAAATACAAAGGACAAGAAGTGATAATAATGACGTTAAAAGAGATACACTTGAAAGCAGCTATAAGGTATAAGTCCTTTTAAGTGAACTCATAGACTGTTGGAAGAGGAAGAAAAAAACTTAAGCAATTGAAATTGCAATGCGCATATAATATACAATTAAAAAAAAAATAAAAAAAACAAACAAACAAATATAGATATCTTATCTGAAATGCTTTTTATATTGTTTATCGGCGGTGCAAGGAGCAAAAATATTGGAGAACATGGTTCCAATACAAAATGAAAGATGACTCCTCCGCTTTTTGTATAAAATTTTAGTATTTTTCCCAGGATCACTAAATAATTACTACAACCTTAATGCAAGAGTGAATGATGTCTACTGCCTCTACACCGCAGGAAAACGAAAAGCTCCACAAAATAAAACAGAAAAAATAAAGAAATACAAGAGAAAAAAAAAAAGCAACAAAAAAGGACATCGAATATGTGACAGCCGCGTTTGTGTCCCGCCAAAGAAATTGAAGAAATAATCCTTCGAAATTTGGCGACTCGATGATTCCGCTTACCCGTTTAGGGAATCAAATTGTTGTGGCTCCGTTTAGCAAAACTATGAAAATAAGAAAAAACCGGATTTTATATGAGCCGATTTTTTTCTCGCAGAAACACAGTTTTATTTTTTCTCTTCTGGAAGATCTGCTTTTTGTGTTTATATATATATATAGAGAGAGAGAAAGAAAGAGAAAATTAAGGGTCTCCTTGTCGTGTATTGTTATCCTCCTCCCCGTGCGCCGATTGTGACACGACAACGCTGGCTTCTTATTTTCTTGAAACGGAAAAAAAATAGAATTTATTTTTTAAGTTGAGGGTAACCCATTTTTTCTTCATCTTACATAAATTCTTTGCGTGGGTGAAACAAATATACTACTAATAGTCTGACGGTTTCACCCCACGCAAGATAGAGCTTTTTCTATTTTGTGTCAACTGATGGTTAGACTTCTCTTGCAAAGTAGCCTGTAGTGTGTGGAACAAGAAATTAATCCCTACTTCCTTATAAACATCCTATTGTAACTCCCGCTGTCTGAATAGAACTTAGCACCAAATTTCTGTGAGTTCTCCTTCTAGAGAAATTTAATCTTTCTGGCAATCTTGAGATCTGTCTTAAAAATTCAAAAGTAAAAAAAAAAAAATTAACAAAAAAATTTTTTTTTTTCTCATTTGCTCTCCATTGTCAATCTGCAAATTGACACAAGGCCTTAAAATTTTTTTCTTTCCTTTCAATAAAAGTGGTGTTTACATTATATATATTTTACTATCCCTGTTTTACCTCCTTATTTACTTATAAAACGTGCCTCTTGTGTACTTGTTCCTCTAATTAGAAGAAACTTTCCTTTTATTTACCTTCTTCTTCTTGGCTTTCAGATCCCCGAGACACCCCCCTAAGAAATCAACAAAATAAATTCAAGATGGTTGCTTTCACTGTTGACCAAATGCGTGGTTTAATGGACCAAGTTACTAATGTCCGTAACATGTCCGTTATTGCCCACGTCGATCATGGTAAATCTACTTTAACCGATTCTTTAGTCCAAAGAGCTGGTATTATTTCTGCTGCCAAGGCTGGTGAAGCCAGATTCATGGATACCAGAAAGGATGAACAAGAAAGAGGTATTACTATTAAGTCTACCGCTATTTCCTTATATGCTGAAATCCCAGAAGAAGATGTCAAGGACATCAAGCAAAAGACCTCTGGTAGCGGTTTCTTAATCAACTTAATCGATTCTCCAGGTCACGTCGATTTCTCTTCTGAAGTTACTGCTGCTTTAAGAGTTACCGATGGTGCTTTAGTTGTCGTCGATACCGTTGAAGGTGTTTGTGTCCAAACTGAAACCGTTTTAAGACAAGCTTTAGGTGAAAGAATTAAGCCAGTCGTTGTCATTAACAAGGTTGACAGAGCCTTATTAGAATTACAAGTTTCCAAGGAAGATTTATATCAAACCTTCGCCAGAACTGTCGAATCTGTTAACGTTATTGTTTCTACCTACGCTGACCCAGTCTTAGGTGATGTTCAAGTTTACCCATCCAAGGGTACTGTTGCCTTCGGTTCCGGTTTGCACGGTTGGGCTTTTACCATCAGACAATTCGCCAACAGATATGCCAAGAAGTTCGGTGTTGACAAGAACAAGATGATGGAAAGATTATGGGGTGACTCTTTCTTCAACCCAAAGACTAAGAAGTGGACTTCTAAGGAAACTGATGCCGACGGTAAGCCATTAGAAAGAGCCTTCAACATGTTCGTTTTAGACCCAATCTTCAGATTATTCGCTGCTATCATGAACTTCAAGAAGGACGAAATCCCAGTCTTATTGGAAAAATTAGAAATCACCTTAAAGGCTGATGAAAAGGACTTAGAAGGTAAGGCCTTATTAAAGGTTGTTATGAGAAAGTTCTTACCAGCTGCTGACGCTTTGTTAGAAATGATTGTCATGCACTTACCATCTCCAGTTACTGCTCAAAACTACAGAGCTGAACAATTATACGAAGGTCCAGCTGATGATGCTGCTTGTTTGGCTATCAAAGCTTGTGATCCAAAGGCTGACTTAATGTTATACGTCTCCAAGATGGTTCCAACCTCTGATAAGGGTAGATTCTACGCTTTCGGTAGAGTTTTTGCTGGTACTGTCAAGTCTGGTCAAAAGGTTAGAATCCAAGGTCCAAACTATGTCCCAGGTAAGAAGGATGACTTATTCATCAAGGCTATTCAAAGAGTTGTTTTAATGATGGGTAGATTCGTCGAACCAATTGATGACTGTCCAGCTGGTAACATTATCGGTTTAGTCGGTATCGATCAATTCTTATTAAAGACCGGTACTTTAACCACCTCTGAAACTGCTCACAACATGAAGGTCATGAAATTCTCTGTCTCTCCAGTTGTCCAAGTCGCCGTTGAAGTCAAGAACGCTAATGACTTACCAAAATTAGTCGAAGGTTTAAAGAGATTATCTAAGTCCGATCCATGTGTTTTGACTTACATGTCTGAATCCGGTGAACACATTGTTGCTGGTACTGGTGAATTACACTTAGAAATCTGTTTACAAGATTTAGAGAACGATCACGCTGGTGTTCCATTAAGAATCTCTCCACCTGTTGTTGCTTACAGAGAAACTGTTGAATCTGAATCTTCTCAAACTGCTTTATCCAAGTCTCCAAACAAACATAACAGAATCTACTTAAAGGCTGAACCAATGGACGAAGAGGTTTCTTTAGCTATTGAAGAAGGTAAGATTAACCCAAGAGATGATTTCAAGGCCAGAGCTAGAATCATGGCTGATGAATACAACTGGGATGTTACCGATGCTAGAAAGATTTGGTGTTTCGGTCCAGATGGCACTGGTCCAAACTTAGTTGTTGACCAAACCAAGGCTGTTCAATACTTAAACGAAATCAAGGATTCCGTTGTTGCAGCTTTCCAATGGGCTACCAAGGAAGGTCCAATTTTCGGTGAAGAAATGAGATCTGTTAGAATTAACATCTTAGATGTTACCTTACACGCTGATGCTATTCACAGAGGTGGTGGTCAAATTATTCCAACCATGAGAAGAGCCACCTATGCCGGTTTCTTATTAGCTGAACCAAAGATTCAAGAACCAGTCTTCTTAGTCGAAATTCAATGTCCAGAATCCGCTGTTGGTGGTATCTACTCTGTCTTAAACAAGAAGAGAGGTCAAGTTGTTTCGGAGGAACAAAGACCAGGTACTCCGTTATTCACTGTCAAGGCTTACTTACCAGTCAACGAATCCTTCGGTTTCACCGGTGAATTAAGACAAGCTACTGGTGGTCAAGCTTTCCCACAAATGGTTTTCGACCACTGGTCCACTTTGGGTTCTGATCCATTAGACCCAACCACCAAGGCTGGTGAAATTGTTGTTGAAGCCAGAAAGAGACACGGTATGAAGGAGGAAGTTCCAGGTTGGCAAGAATACTACGACAAATTGTGAATAGCTTCATTAGCAAATGCTATGCAAGCTTCATTGTTTGTTTGTAGTATAAATCTCGTCATTCTATCTAATGTTATATAGTATAATTAATTTTCAACTCTCATTCTATTTATATATTTTAACTAATAAAGCAAGGTTATATTTTTAACATTCTATTATCTTGCAGGTATGCAATAAGGGAAAGATTTATAATGTATATAAACATTTGGATATTATAAGAACAGAAGTTTCAGGCTTGGTTTGTGTTGTACTCTAGAATAAAAAAAAAAATGAATCGTTTTTTTCTTCTAGATTTCATGTAATTTTACTGATTTTAGTACAGTCTTTTTTTTCTTTATTCGACGAGATAAACAATACTTAACATGAGTAAAAGCATAATTTTATAGCTGCATATATAATGACGCAAATTTCAGATCATATAAAGATACAAACATGCAAGTAGATAAGTATATTCTGGCTCTATGTGATTAATCCAATGAGCCTTCCTAACAACTTGAAAAGTTTTTATGTACAATGGTTGGATGAATTCATTGAAAGGTTAACACCAAGACAAGAACAGCTTAATTTGACATACAACAAAGCCAAAAGAAACCTAGAAGATACTGATGACATATTTTATTATCCGCAGGACTTGAAAAAAGTAAAAGGTATTGGAACTACTATTGTCAATAGATTAGAAAAAAGACTGGAAGAATATTGCAAAGAAATAAATGTACCAGTTCCAGACAAAAGTGAACTAGTAGGTTCACCTCGAAAGAGAAAAGTAACTGCTTTGAGAATAAATACTGTGGATCAGAATGATACAGTTCGTGAACTAAATGAAAATATTACTCAGACTAAGAAAAGAAAGGTCAAAGAGTATATTCCGAAGAAAAGGTCAGGTGGTTATGGGATTATGTTAGGCTTACTAGAGTTGAAGGCATACCGTAGAAGTGTAACAAAGGAAGATATCATTCAAGTAGGGCAAAAATACATTAGCGTTAGCATGATACCAAATCATTCAACAAAAGAATTTTATGGAGCATGGTCATCAATCTCTTCTCTGAAAAAGCATGAATTGGTATTGGAAGAAGGTAAGCCCAGAAGATATACACTGACTGAAAAGGGTGTGCAATTAGCAAAAACATTAAAATTGGCGGACAATCTTGTTTTTGATACAGATGATGAGACAGAAAATCCAATAAATGGTGATTTTGAGGATACGGAAGTTAGTGCTGATTTGAGTATGTTATTAAAATCAAATAAAGTAGAAACAGCAGAGAAAAGGGATTCATCATTTATTGAAACCACATTTCAAAATATTAACTTATCTAAGAATCCAAATACTGGTGATAATGATACCCTCAATAATACTTCATTTGATGCTGCTACAGACTCAGGACTCAGTGAAAGTCAGCGAATTGTAAGAAGGCGATTTGAAGGAATAAGCTATGAAATTTGGAAGAGTAACACTTTTGAGATTTACCCAATAATTGACTACAGAGAAATAAAATCTCAAAATGATCGTGAGTTTTTTTCCAATGCTTTTGCAAGGAAAAATATGAAACATGAAATACGGCAGCTATCATTGGGTGATATTGTATGGGTGGCCAAAAACAAAACAACAGGAACGTTATGCATATTAAATACCATTATTGAGAGAAAAAGACTTGATGATTTAGCGATGAGTATTCGTGACAATAGATTTATAGAACAGAAGAACAGATTAGAAAACTCCGGTTGCAATTATAAATATTATTTAATAGAAGAAATAATGAGTTCGTCGATTTCAAATATGTCAGAAGCACTGAAGACAGCACTTTGGTCGATACTTATATACTATAGATTCTCTATAATTCGAACATCCAGCTCTGAACAAACTGTAGATAAACTTCATGCCTTGCATACAGTGCTAAGGCGAGAATATTCCAAAAAAGACCTACTTGTCTTGTTTCCTAAATCATTAGAGAATCAGCAAGATTATCGAACTTCTTTACAGAGATTTAAACTTGAATTTAGTCAAGGTACTAACATCGAATGTTGTCATACTTTTGAAACGTTTCAAGATATAATGGGCAAAAGAGACATGAGAACGGTAGGCGAGTTAACTATTCAAATTTTGATGTACGTTAAGGGAGTATCTTTGGAAAAGGCAGTTGCCATTCAAGCCTTATATCCGACCTTAAATCATTTACTATGTGCTTATAGATCATGCAAATCAAACCTAGAAGCAAAGCAACTATTATATATGAAATTAGGCAATGCTCCAGGTAACAAAAGAATTACAAAAGTATTATCTGCCAAAATTGCAGATGTATTTACTGCAGACTAATGCGCATGTTACTGTATTTTATGGACAAGAAAACAAAATATATATATATTCATGCATTCAAGTAAGAAGATACTCCCCTCTTTAGGAGTAATGTGTCACAAAAAAGTCCACAATAAAGCATTATCTTATCTGGCAATGACATTTGGTTCCATAAATCCATAGAACTCAGGTAAAAGGGATATTGATTGATATCTTTAAATGACGATAGAAATTAAGACAAAGTGTAAAAAAGGAAATTGAATCATAAATTCAATTATTATCATAATGCTCCTTTACAATATAAAATAAAGGCAAAAGTGAGGAATGATCATAACTAATTAATAATATTTTATGCTAGCATAAAGCATTATTTTCAATAAATGTATTCTCGGCTATCTCCATAAAAAAACAATCAATATAAATATTTTAACTTTATAGAATATTACATATAAAGAAAAAAAACATCACTCAAGCACATGATTTGCTTCTTTCTGTTTAATATATAATAAAAATAAAGATATCGGCAAGTAAAAATTGACTTGACAAATTTAACATAAATCATATAGTGATATTTGATTCAAAACACATTGGAAAGTGAATTGTTACATTGATCTTAACATATTTCATTTCTTTATTAAACAACAAAGAATATTATTTACCAACAGTTACACTGGTTTTTTCCTTAAAAAATCGCTAAATAATACCTAAGAGAATAACTGAAATAAATAAATAATTATTAAAGTTTCCATATTATCAATATCATCTAAATTTTATACAAATATATTTTAACAAGTTTATATATATCGATTTTTTCATAGAAAATTATCCAAGACATTACAACTTTTAGTTAATAAGAGCAGATACATAAAAATACTGTTAATAACAGTAACCTATTTATCTTAAGTGTTTTGAAATAGAAGTTTTTAGGATAAAATTAATAGAAAAATAGGATTTTAGCAGATATTAAGCGATACAAAACTAGATATTTATGATTCAGACGTGATTAAAAGTTGATAAAACTACCAAATTATTTTTTGTTATTTATGGAGGAAAACTACCTGAGGTCGTAGAAAAAAACAATTATAGAGAAAGTTTAGCTACTTTTTATATTAACTTTCAACCACTTTTCGTATATTAACATCACTTCACAGCAATTTTCGCAGCTGTAATATCCCTATACTACTGTTTAGGGTTTTGTTTAGAAAAATAAGGGTTGACGATATTTTTCTAAACTTTCCTTTTTGCAAATTTTACAAACATCGATAAAAGCAGGAGTAACCAACATAAGTACAAGAGAGCAGCTAAAAACGAACAATAACGAACAAGAACAAAAATAAAGAACAAGGAACCAAGAATTAAATAAGTAGAGATATATAGTATATAAGTGTATACTATTAGGTTAGCTTAGATTAGGGATATAGATATATAGATATATAGGAATATTACATCTAGAGATATAGAAAGAGTCTACATTTTATATCTATCCAAGTGAAATATTATTGAGATTTCAGCAAGATTAACTGTTATCAGAAACACATAACCTAAGGATTATTAGAGCAGCAAAAAATGCGTAAGCCGGGAATCGAACCCGGGCCCCCACCTTGGGAAGGAGGGATTCTAACCACTGAACTACTTACGCAAACAACTACTAACAGCGTTAGTGGAATAGTATGATTATAACCATCAAGATTCCATAAGATCCTGAATGAATTTAGAAATATTTATTGTCTTAATAAGCCATACACATGCTACAACATTAGATGCTGCATAATAAAACATTAGATTACATAAGATTTTGGCAAAATCTAGAATTTACCTATTGTTTTAATAAGTCCCACGTGTATTACTAATTACCATGATTAGAACTGCACCCCAATTCCCTAGTTATAGTAATTGGGTGCACTACTGATAAACGGTACAATTATTATGGTCATAAGTAATACATGTGTGACTTTTTAAAACAATAGGTAAATTCTAAATTTGTCAGAATCTTATGTAATCTTGTTGGTGATGACTCCTCTATTATACAACAAATAATTTCGTAGTTTAGACTATAGAACTGACTTGAAGAATTACACTATCAAATGAATAGTTAGGGCAATAATAAATATATAAAGACGTTATATATAGGAAAATTAAACGATTATTGCTGATTCTTTTTTTTCTTATACAATATATTACATACAATTAAAAATCAAACAAAAACACAAATTTAGATAATAAGATGATAGTACTTTATATATAAATGATGTGTTGATAATTTCTGTTGGAAAATGAGAGTTTATTACTGTCATTTCCATAGGAGTTATTTTTAATTAGTTTTTCTATATATTATGTGGTGTTCGGATATACCATGATATCAGGAAGACATTTTATTTTTCACCAAATATGTTTTTCACAGATTTCAAAAGAAATGAAAAACTTAAAAGAAGCCCTGAAGTAAATACAAGAATTTATACTATATACGCTATATAATAAGTTTATACATGTATTTAGTACACAATAAAAAAAGCATCTATAACTTAATAATGTCTGCCATTACTATGGACGTTGGGGGCTCCAAATTCCAATAATAATATATATAAATTATGTATATGAACGAAAAAAAAAAAAAAGAAAGGGAGGGAAAGTACTAATAGCATATGATTTCTCAATAGAATATATTAGAATTTTAGCCGTTATCAAGTATCCATATCAGTATAGCGAAACATAAATCATTCTTTTGGATACGAAAGGAATTGTAACGATAACTAATAATTTTACATTATTAAATATTCAAATATTTTTTTTATGATTTTTTTTGTTTCCTATGGTAAAGAATTCTTGTTTTTTCAAATTCTTAGTATATAACTTATAAAGATAATATGATGCCATGAAGGACAACCTTACAATAAACTAAACAAAAATAGAAAAGACACCATATTTGGTTTGATCAATATGGGCCAACTCTTTATAAATATGTGGTTTACTCATGGAAATATGCATCTTTTTGCTCACTATTCATGGTAAATAGTACACGCCAATTTGCAAAATGTTGTGTCTCTAACTCCTTCTATCTCCATTCCGTGACTCTTCCGTGCGGCATTTGTGTTGGAATATGCGGAATATACATTTGTTAACCAAAAAATAACAGAGAAAGGCAGAGAGCCAGAAAGAATATCCAGAAAGTAAAGGATATCGATTATTTCAGAAAGATCTGATCACCTTTTTAAATTCATGAAACTTTTGAAGCCTCTATTTTAAGGAGACATGATTTCAAAAGATATATGTATTTTTCGAAAAAAAATATTATGAAAGAAGATGAAGACTAGGAAGTACTTCATTTTCATCTAAAAATATTCTTTTTTTTAAAGCTTTTACTGTTGTACGCGGTACTTATAACTATTATAAATAATAGGAAGGTAATTGAGTACCCCTTGGACAAGAGCTTATTTATAGTCTATACAAAGTTTGATTGATATATTTCTGTAATTACGACTCATTATTTTTTTTAAAACAGATATGGCTCGTGAAAGTAGTTTAATAACAATTATTGGTGAGGATGGATATGCTAGAATTCGTCAGACCAAGTGTTTGTTGGTTGGTGCTGGGGGTATTGGATCCGAATTACTTAAAGATTTGATCCTAATGGAGTTTGGTGAGATCCATATTGTCGATTTAGATACAATTGATTTGTCCAATTTGAATAGACAATTCCTATTTAGACAACGTGACATTAAACAACCTAAATCCACTACTGCAGTGAAAGCAGTCCAAAGCTTTAGTAACTCCAAGTTGGTGCCATATCAAGGTAATATAATGGATACAACTCAGTTCCCACTACATTGGTTTAAGCAATTTAATATAATATTTAACGCCCTAGATAACTTGGCAGCTAGAAGGTATGTGAACAAGATCTCTCAATTTCTTTCTTTGCCATTGTTAGAAAGTGGGACTGCTGGTTTTGACGGGTATATCCAACCTATCTTTCCTCAAAAAACAGAGTGCTTTGATTGTACAAAGAAGGAGACACCAAAGACTTTTCCAGTGTGTACAATTCGTTCCACTCCATCTCAACCTATTCACTGTATTGTTTGGGCAAAAAATTTCCTTTTCAATCAATTATTTACGGATGAAGATAATAAGAGTGATGATGAGGAAAATAAAGAATGGGGCACTACCGATGAAACAGAAATAAAGAGAATCAAACAAGAGACAAATGAGTTAAAAAGTTTACAAAAAATTATTTTAGATAAAGATTTTGACCGTATTCCATATATTTTACAGAAATTGTTCATTGATGATATTGCTAAACTTCTACTAATAGAAAATCTATGGAAAAATAGAGTTAAACCCTTATTGCTAGATGAATCAATTATTAAAAATAATTGTCATGATGCCAAAGAAAAAATATCATCGAATAAAGTATGGGATATCAATTATATTATCCAAAATTTTGTTGCTGCAACTAAAAAATTGTCACAAAGAATGGAAAGGGAGGGAAGCCATATTGAATTTGATAAGGATGATGAAGACACCTTGATGTTTGTAGCTATGGCTGCTAACATTAGAGCATATATATTCCACATTCCTATGAAATCTGTTTTTGACATTAAACAAATTGCTGGGAATATTATACCTGCTATAGCCACTACTAATGCCATTATTGCTGGTTTATCAGCAATTACCTCCTTACGTGTGTTAAATTTATTGGATAAATTTGCATCATTAAATGATGTCACTAAATTAAATATGGCTTTTACTGCAATGGCAAGTAATATGACTACAAATAGATACCTATCTAACCCTCAAGTTGCCCCCCCAAATTGTAAATGCCCAGTCTGTGTTCAAGTTGTTCGTGGGGTTGTACAAACATCTGAAAAATTGAATGCATCCACTACCTTAAAAGATCTAATTAGTTTATTGAAAACTAAATACGGCTACCAAGAAAATGATGATGTTTCAATTTTGGATATTAAGGATCAAAGGTTATTGTTTGATTTTGATTTTGATGATTTAAACGATCAAACTTTGGAAGATTTGAAATTTATCAATGGAACTATCATTTTGTTAAGTGATGATAGTGATAATGACTTGATAAAAAAACCAGTTGAATTATATTTTAATATAAATAATAATGTTGATAAGATTGTTTTACCAGATTTACATATTCCTGTAATTGAACAGAAAATACCACAAGACAATAATGAGGAAAATGAAGTTTTAACTGTCGCTGAGAATGGTGAAATTGATCAAGACGTATACATTATAGATGGTGACGAAAGTGTGTCAACTGTAGATAATAATGACAAGAAAAGGCCTCGTGAGAAAGAAGATTTAGAAGAAATTATTCAAATTGCGAAAGCTCCTAAAACAAGTTAGATTTCACATACAATTTTTTTCTTACAAGAAAGTATTAAAATGTCTCTTGTTATATTTGAAATTAGTAGTATATATAATACAAAGTTTTCTTTCTGATGTCCATTTTGTATTTTATATATGTATATGAATATAAAGAATAAAACACTGATATATACGTAGTAGAGATCAATAAAGTAATATTTCTCTCTTTCTTTCTTTGTTTGTCTTATTTTCTTTGCTGTAATTTCTTAAGTTATATTTTATTTTGTAAATCGTTGGAACCATGATTCTCTTCTTTTAGTCTTTGTCGTGCGCCCTGTAATATCACCTTCATTAGACGATGAATATTCCAGTAATTCATCGCTGGACTTATTAAACACATTGCTTAATACCATGGACAAAGGTCTGTTGGAATTACTGTTGGAACCATTAATACGGAAACCAGGTGAGGAGGTACTATTGCCACTTAATGTTCTATTTATAGGAGGTACAGTTAAAGTGTTCTTATTAATTGAAGTATTCATGGTTGGAGAATTAGTATCATCATCGAGATCATCGTCTACATCTTCTATTTCAGTTGTAGTAGAATCACCCGCATCACTTAAGAAACCTGGCTTATGTAACCAAGGAAATAACGTAGTTCTTCTTCGGTTACTAACTATCATGTCAGGTGGAGTAGGCGCTGAACCAATCGATCTAGAATGCGGCCTTCTAATAATGTTCTTGGGGTATTGAGGTCGCAGCTGAGATGCTGATGATACAGTAGGTGGTTTCAGAGAAGATGATGATCTTTTCGCAGAAGGTTGCTTAGGAGTGACAACATCAAAAGATTTATTGGTTTCAGAATCATTGATAGTCACTCTCGGTGGTGTAACGTTGTTTTTCAAGGGGGAGGAATGTTGTTCCAAAGATGGCTTTATGGATGTCAACGATTCCACACTATTATTATTTTGATTATTCATGTGGCTGCTTGATCTTTCTTGCTGCTCCTTTTTAGCTATCTTCAAAAGACGAGGTAATAATTTATAGGAATATTCTATAAGGAATTCCACTACAAAACGGGACAATTCGTATTCTTTTGGATCCATATCATGTTGTGGATGAGATAGAAAGGAAGGTTGGAATATTGCTGCTAGATTTCTTGCAGACATTAGATTAAATTGTGATTGCCTGGCAAATAAAGACAAAAGATCTAAGAGATATATGGTCAGTTGTTTTGTATCGTTATTTAAATGTATGAATAAAGTTTCATAGTCTTTTAAAGCTGCCCGAATATCTCTACTCAATTTTTTTCTATGACGAAGTTTTTTCTTTCTTTGTAATTCTTCTTCATCGATCTCACCTTCATTTTCTCCTTTCTGCTCCTCTTTTGTTTCTTTATTATTGTTTTCTTTCAAAGCAGTATTATTGTTTTCTGTAGTTGTCTTTTGTTTCTCTTGTGAATTATCATTTTGTGTTGATTGTTTATTAGTGTCATTGGGTTTGTCTAACACATTCTCTTTATTTATACTTTCTTCAGGAATATTATTATTATTAATTGTTTCAGATGGAGTAATTGGATTCTCTTGACCTGATTTTGAATTATCAACTTTACTACATATATTTTCTGTAGGGATACTTTTCTTGGTATCCTTATTATTACTTGTATCTTTACTATTATTATTAGTAGTAGTAGTAGCAGTATTTTTGTTACTATTATCTCTATCTTCAACCATCTTTAACGACAAAGAATTCGTCTTATCTGCACTTGGGTGTGATACATGATGTAGTGCCATATGTTTCAGTATTCTAGGTCTATTTCTTAAAGGATTTCTAAAATCTTCATATAAAGAAAGTGGAATTAACGGTTCTTGTAAATTATTTAAAAATCTTCGCAATAAAGATGCTACGTCATGTACACTATAACCATCCCAATTATTAAATTTTGAACCATAGTCGGGTCCATGAGAGAAAATGTATTGCAATTCTTTAACACGTTTAGAATTTCCGGCAATTCTAAATATCCCTGAAGTTTCTAACCCATTTGATTTTAAGAAAGCACCACACTTAGCGACTACGATAGGTATTCTACCAAAGCTGACTAATTCACTTTGCACAATGACTTCAGCAGATGCAGCAGATAGTGAATCAGATAAAGACACACCGAAAACATGTCCATTAAATCCATTCTTATTGTTTAAGAAGGTATCTCTATAGACCTTATAATCATCAGTTTTTGTGGTGACAACATGAGAACTTAATCTATTAGTATTGCTATAGAAATTAGTTTTTACATTATGACTTGAGGACGTGTGAAAAGAGTTTGGTCTTGTGGAGAGAATCGGCCTTACTCTAGGTGGAGATGCAGTGGAAGTGGTTTTATTCGAGTGTAAATTAGCAGTTGCAATTGCTGAGGTAGTAGTTGTAGTAGTTGTAGCATTGGCTGTAATAGTGGAAAGTTTTTTCACTGAAGGTATAGATGTAGATAGATTAGCACTAGTAGAGTCAGAATTTTTTCGTGACGGTACAGGGATAGAGTCAGTTGACACACTCTTGGGGTTATTAATAAATTGTTTCCAAAATTGTGGCATACTTTCACCTTTAGAATATGGATGTAAATATGGATGTATAGATTATTTTCACGGTGTCAATGCTTTTCTTTTTTTAGTGTTATGTATCTTCGCTTTAATTAAGAAAAAAAAAGAAAAAGAAAAAAACAAGCCTTGTGAAATTTGCCTTAATTAGTGTTCGCAGATATATTACAAGACAGGTGGATGTGATGACACTTTGACTATTAGATCTAACTTTTGACTTTAATAATATTGGGAGACAGCGGTGGATAAGAGTATAAGAATTCAACTGAGCATATAAAGGGGGAAATAACGATAATATTATGGAAATTTTCTAAGTGATGGTTTATTATTTCAATTATTAGTTGTTTCTAAAAATACTCTAGGCCAATTAGTAGTTTCTCTTTAAATGGTAAATGCTAATTGTGAGACTATGCAAAACCAAAATATTATAAATTAAAGTTGGAAAGAGTTTATTTCTGAAGATGGATTTTAACAATAATATTTCGTCTTATTTTGTTTCTTCAACTTAATCTCTTTTAAAAAGGGACTTGAGGTGAGAAATAAAAAACAAATAAATAAAATGTTTCTTAGTTATCAAAGACGAAGCAAAGGAATAAAGGACTGTGAAGGAGCTAGTTTGACCTTAAGTCACGAGTAACAAATGTTTTACTAAATAGAAATCTAGTAACTATATAAAGTCTTTCTTCCAATTCAATTCAAGAATGAACAGATATAAGGTTAATAGCATTAGATGCCTTATTTCTGAAAGTATCGTTGCTTTGCAGGGAAGAGAGACCCAAAAAGAGAATTGCAAATTGTTGAAATTTGCCAAATCTGCGTTCTCTTATTGTGCAAAAGTAGAAAATAAATTAACAGGAATATCTAAAGAAGCGGCATGGGATTTCCTAATTGGAAGATAACTTCCCAAGAAGAGTATAAAGTGGCCAAAACATATAATTGACTTCCACAATAGGGAATACCCTACCAAGATAGGAAGTTAAGTCCAGCCTTATTCTATTGTTTCATTTTTAGAGGCTAATTTTCTAATTCTTTTTTTAATTTGTTTTTTCCTTTTTTCCTTTTTATTTTTTTTTTTTTAATTTTTTAATTTTTTTTCAATCTCATTGTTATTATTTTATGGTTTTCTTTTATTTTTGAAAAAAAAAAACATTTTGAGTAAGACTTGCAGAAACCCTAATGTGAGTGCCAAAAATTCTTAAAATAGAAACCTGTGTTACTGATAAAGTCAATTGTGATAAAAAAAAATATATGTGTGTGAAAAAAAAAAGTCGATTCACATTTTTTTTGGACAAGAATAAGGAGTGGTTCGTAAAGAATGACTACCCACGCCATTACTCCTCTTTTTTTTATATTGTTTTTTTTTCCTTTTTTTTTAAGAAAGTCACTTGTAATTTTTTAAATAGCCCTAATCTTAAAAACTTTTTAACCTTGCTTCAACTGAATTTACAAAAATATAACCTTATATATTTATATTTATGTTTATATTTTCATTTGTCCAGACATTAAGAAGTTTGATGAGGGATTACAGAAGGCTGAATCTTACAGTATCATATCACTAGAGCAATTTAGTGAAATTATTAATCTTCTTTTAATTAACCAAATGAATTCATGTCAATAGTACTTATCATGTATAGTTTATCCATATACATATAGTGACTACATTATCATATATACTTTAAATAAACATACAAGAGAGCATAAATATAGAAATTGGGAAGAAGGTATGCTAAAAGTTTTTGTTAATTAAAAGAAAAAAAAATATATATTTTAAATGTTAGTAGAAAAATACAAAAATAAAGTTGAAATAGACGTGTATATTCTTTTTTTTATTGATTCAACTGGACATAGTTACCAGGAAATAAACCTTGTTGACCATTATATCTACCTGTCCACCAGTCATTAACATCTGCTGAACGCTGAACAACTTCAATAACTGCACCAGCAGGGAAGGATAAATCACCTTCAGCTTGTGCTTGATACTCATATAGTGCCGTTACAGTCTCTGTCTTAGGTAATGTACTACCAGTAGCAATACCGGCAGGATTACTATATGGTGGAGGCATGGTATTGTTCATCATCATGTTTGGTTGTTGTGGTTGTTGAACTTGACCATATCCCATAGGTGGTGACATTGGGTTATTATGACCTTGTTGTGCAGCTTGGTCATATCCCATAGGTGATTGACTATTACCAAACCCTGGGGTGGATAGGCTAGGACTACTGGCCCCATATGCACCTGGAGTCTCATTACCAGAAGCGTAACGTTTTTTAGTCATTTCTAGTTTGGCTTTAGAATAGCCGATCTTAAAATGTGTGATAGTTAATGCATCAGTTTGTTCTTCAACATTGCCTCTCTTCGCAATAAAAGCTTCGACAATATCACTATTTAAGTCGAAATATGGAATCTTCATATCTTGGAATTTATTGTAAAGTGTATAAAAGATGTTTAATTGCATATAATAAAAGGAAACAAATAAAGGTTGAACAAACTGTGCTTCTAGACTGAAAAGAATAGGTAATTGATTCTTTAACATTTCATTATAATAATCATATTCTTGTTGGGCCACTTCCATTTCAGCTTGAGCTTTATATAATCTTTCTTCATCCTTAGCAGTAGGTTCCTTTTTATTTTGATATTTATTGACAGTATTTAATCTTCTATCTAAGTCTAATTTTTTATGATTTCTCTTTGTTGCCATTTTACGAATGTATGTAATAATCTTTAATAATTCTTGACATGGTTTAACAACTTTGTCCTCAATTAAAGCTAAGTCAGGTTTCAATGTTTCTTGTAATTCTGCCACTACGGCTCTATATTGCTCACTTGCTTCAATACCTTGTGGATTATCTTCAGGGATAGTGGCATTAGGGTCACTCATTTTACCACTAATTGGTTTGAAAATCTCTTCCATGGCTTTAGCAAATCCTATTTGATGGGTTAACATCCCATTGACTGCATTACTATAACGTTTAGATTCTTCACTTAATTTTTTAGTATCAGTTTCTAATTCTTTGAATCTACGTTCTGCATCTTCGTAGACTGGATCTATTGTTTGCTCCCCCATTTTAAATTTTTGACGGAAACTTTGGGGTGCTCTAACAATTGCTTTAGTAAAACCTTTGAAACTCATTTTTTTTGTTTATTTTTCTTAGATTGATAATAATTTTTGGTCAATAGCACTAAGATATTCTGTATATGCCTTAAAATGTGGTAATCCTGCAAAGAAAAATAAATAAATGGTAATGTTAATAGGTGTAATTTGTTATTAGGCCAACTACAATTACTCTACTAGAATGACTTAGTAGCAAACGTACACTAAAAAAGCTAAAAGAAGCTGTGAGTGTTAGAGTTAAAATCTACTGAAAATGCTTGAATAACTATTGGAATATATCGGTATTCTCTCAATAATTCCTTTTTATTCTTCTTTCCATCCATCTTAATATTTTACAAAGCCCATCTGATTACCTGCCCCCATTTTCCTTGCATCACTGCCTATGGGAAAAACAACAAAAATAAAAACAAAGAATAAAAAAAACATTATAAAAAAAAATAAAGCCTTTAAGATAAAAATAATCAGCCGTTGTAAAAAAAGAAATATAAATTAGGTTTTTAGAAGTATGTTCTAATATTACCATTTCCAGATTTTGTTTTCTTTAGGGTTTTCTTTATTTTTATTTCATTCTCTAGAGAAATTCTACGTATATTAAGAGATAAGGCAGTTTTACCTTCAGTAGAGGTTAATGAATCAAGCAGTCAAGCATTTCTCATTACTATAGGTGTGGTTTTGGAAGACTCGTTTCAGTGCTTTAATTGTTTATGTTAGATTCGAATTTTCTGATTTAATAGTTCAATTGAACAGAATCTCTCAGTGTGATCTGTTGTCTGTTATGCTGCATTATAGTTAATTAGATGAGTTATTTTGAAATAGGAAAAGGCGGTAAATTAGTTTATTCACACCAAGAATATATGTAAATATATATATATATATATATGCACTTTTGTTCTTATTTATTGACTACCATAGAAAGGATAAATAGAGAGACAGGAAGTAAAAGAGAGATAGGAGTATAGTGTTAAAGGATCATGGATCAATCAACCCAAGGTTGTGAAACTGAAGATATTTATTGTGATTGTTATTCTACATTATCGCAAATTACATCTACTACAATCAATGACATTGATTCATTGCCGTATAATTTTAATTTGAGAACCGTACTTATTTTAGTAGGAGCAACTGTAGGTGGGCTATTATTTGGTTATGATACAGGTGTCATATCTGGTGTTTTAATTAATCTGAAGGCCGACGATTTGAATCGAGCAGATTTGACAGACTGGCATAAGGAGATCATAACCTCAATTACTAGTGTTGGATCTTTTCTTGGTTCAATATTAGCCTTTCCCTTAGCAGATAAATTCGGGAGAAAAATTTCAATGTCTATATGCTGTATTATTTTTATCTTGGCTGCTTTTTGGATGGGATTTTCCATAACTTTAAGTTGGTTGATAATTGGAAGGTTTATTGTTGGTATTGCAATTGGAATCTCTGCACAATGTGTACCAATTTATTTAACAGAAATATCACCTGCAAGGATTAGAGCCACTATTCTGGTATTGAACTCTATTGCAATAACAGGAGGGCAATTACTCGCATATTTAATTGCATTTGGTTTTGATTATCGTTATTACAATATTGAAAATAAACAATTTTGGAGAGTATTATTTATGTTATCTTGTGTTCCTGCATTTTTTTTCCTTCTGATCTTAGATTTTATACCAGAATCACCACGCTGGTTAGTAATGCAAAAGAAGTATAAAGAGGCTTTAATGGTATTGGACATTGTTTATCCAAAGGCTGATACATATCAATTAAATTTAATTTTACAAAAGATTGTTAATGATTTGAGCATAATTTATAAATATCAAGATAAACCAGAATTAAATAGAATTCACACCACTCATTTGAAGAGAAACAGTGTATATGATCAATTAGTAACGACTATTGTCACACGTAATGAAAATATGGCATTATCATTTAGTGATATAGTTGATAATAGTGCTGATAGTAGTACTGAGTCTGAAACAACTCCACTACAAAACAATAAAAAACATTATAACAGAAAGAAACAAAGACATAGAATGGAACCAAAAGCTAAAAGAGCATTATTTGTCGGTTGTACATTAATGTTCTTTCAACAGATAACTGGTTTTAATGCATTCATGTATTATTCTCCAATAATTTTTCAAAGATTCGACTCAATTAATAATCCAATCCTACCATCAATTATTGTTGCTTTAATAAATTTTATTTTCACTTTTTTAGCACTAAAATATGTTGATATATATGGGAAAAGATTAATGTTATTATATACAATATGGATAATGACATTTGGGTTATTACTTTCTACTATGGGATTTGCAAGAAATAACGTTACAATATTAATAGTATCAATAACAATATTTGTTGGTGGATATGCATTAGGGATGGGGTCTATTCCATGGTCATCAGTTGAATTTTTGCCTTTAAATAGAAGATCATTTGGGGCATCATGTATATCGTGTACAAATTGGTTAACTAACTTTCTTATATCATCAACATTTTTAAGTTTGTTGGATAAAGTTGGTGATGAAGATTTAATGTTACTGTTTGCTATTTTTACAATATTTACATGGTTATTTGTATATTTTTGTTATCCAGAAGTGAAGGGGTTAACATTAGAAGAGATTGGAAAAGTTTATGAGAATGGTATTGATGTTCATTATATATATAGAAATTACCATTAATTATGTTATTTTGCTAAGTAATTTCTCCTTTTTTTTTGTCAAAACCATGATGATGTGTATATTGTATGTATATTCCACACTAATATAAATATTCTATTATACAGAAAAAAAAAAGACTACAAAATACAGACAATAGAAATGATATGTATGTATATTATGTGTGTGTAATGAGTGAATAGAAAGATTTAGAGAAGTAGGGAGAAGAAGAAAATGTGAATGCAATTAATAGCGTTCTTTTAATCTAGATGCGACAATACGTAAATTACCATAAACTTTACCTGGTGGGGACCCAAGAATCAAACTGACCACAGCCTCTCTAGCCATTCTAATATGGGTGAATCCACCAAGTATATGTATTTTACTATCAGCTAAAACGATTCTAGTTCTTGTTGCATTTTCAATAGCAAATTTGGTCTTACCATCTTTACCAGCAATACGACCGATGGCTCTTGCTAAATGATTACCAGTCAAAGTCTTAACATCTTTAATTTCAAAAGTCTCAATATATAAATCATCTAATCTTAATAGAGCAATGGCATCATCCAAATCGAAACCTAAAGTGAAAGCTTTGATGAAATCAGCACCCTTCTGTAAAGCACCAGGGTCTACAGTATGTTTTGGATGTGTTCTTAATTCAACAGTCTTTGTTTTTAGATTCATTCTAACTTGTAGTTTCAAATGGTCAACTAATGGAGGATATATTTTGGTCCAATTGTTTCTCAAGGGAGTCATTCTATGTGGTGGAACTGGAACTTTCCTACTCTCTAATTTAATCTTCGTGTTCTTGGCATCATTTGCAGAACCAAACTTTGGTTTGCCTTGCTCATCAAATATGATGCCCTTAACTTCCTTTTTTTTTTGTACTATGTCTTGTTCTAAATTCTGTAGTTCTGTATTTTGTTGTTCCATATCTTGATCTAATAAAATATCGTCGTCGTCGTCATCATCATTTTCAAGAGATTTTGTGTTATCGATCCCTATAATTCTGCTTGCAGTAGAAGCAGTATTTGTAGTGGAACTGGAGTTGTTAGCTGCATTATCAGAAGATTTCTTGAGAGCAGTGGGGGCCACCATATTTTTTAATAATAATAATAATAATAATAATAATAATAATAATAATAATAAAAGTGTATCAAATCAAATGGATATGTATAATTGTATATGTGTATCGAATAGAGTGAGATAGATAAAAGAAAAAGAAAAAGAAGATGGTATGGGGTAAAATGGGTATATGAGGTAAGTTAAGGTTTAATATAAATATTGGTTGAATATTATCGGAAGCTTAACAACAGTAATCTGCAAATAAAGATACGGTAACTTATAACTCTTAAAGAAGGGATTATTAATACTGATAATAACGACGTGTATCTGCCAATATAAGAAAGAGGTAAACACATTTTGGTTAGATGCGATGAGATGAGATACCTTTTTCCTTACAATTGAAACAAATTTTCATCATGAAGAAAAATTTTACCATCAGAATTGCTTTTTTTTTTTTCCTACTGTCATCTGTCCCTCGATGTCTGTACATCCACACACCACACCATACACACAAAGAAAAAACAGCGTAACTGAAAGCAATGGCATCTACTTTTTTGTATATTAGGGACAGATATATTGAAGATGAAACCATCATGGTCAGAGGTCTCTGACATGCAGTACTTTCAGTATACCATTGCAACAACGTACCAAGTTAATTTAATTTAGAAGATGCCTAGACACTAAGATTGTTCAGATACTAAATAATTTTCTAAACTATCCAAGATGTGTGTTCTTGTCATCACTAACCAAATACTGTTCAATGACACTAATCAAATCAACATCAAGATGAAGATAACATAACAAAAGGTATCTTTTTTTATCTATTTAATAATGGATAAGGTATTAAATCAGTTTTAGTAACTACTCTAGTCCTGTATATAAGAAAAAAGGTCACTTTCTTACAATTGAAAGATAATTTGCCGTGACAGTACTTTCTTGATGGCATTCTAATGCTAGTTATTGTATATATAATTTTTAAAGCAGATTCTTCGAATGGTGTTCCTGAATACCTCTTCATTTTTGCAAAAATATAACGATTTGATGTCAAAGACATTCGCTTTCTCTCTCTTCCTGTTTATATAATATTCTATGGTCAGATTTATATACGCACACACATAGATATATAAATATATATATCTTATTTTCTAATTTATTTTAATTAGTGCTGAAACAAAGAAAATTAAATAAAAAGTTTGGTCGAGAAATATATAAACTGACTGAAGATACAAAAGAAAGCAAAGCAATGTGCATTTGACTATGTAGTATACTTTAGTCGGTCGATACTGAGATAAAATAACTTTTTATTATATATATGTATGTATGTATGTATGCACGTTTGTACATATCATAAAAGATAAGAATATATATATATTATAAAAGAAAAGAAAAGAAGTGCAGAATAGGTAAGTAAATGGATCAGTAAATGTGATTGGTTATATACATTTACACTTTAAAGAGATATGTTACGATTATATAATACAAATCACATAAAGACAAGAAACGTTGCTTCTTTATTAGGTTTCTATAAGAAAAAGAATATGCTCAATCTGATCTTGAGAAATTATATTTATAGGTTCGACACGCATCATCAGTCAATTAGATACTTACATGCTTCAAATACCAGATGTACTTCCACTCAGAAGAATGATAAGTTACTATCTAATTTAAAACAACAATTTAATAACATCAAACAGATTACAATAAATTATTGTGTACAGTTTAATAATCACTTTAGTAAATTGAAAGTATCATTAAAGGAAGCAAACAGAAAGATTATGGAACAAGAAGCCCAATTCAAGAAAACGTATAATAATAATAATACACATAGCAATACACACACTAATAACTCAAAATTTAATGGATTATTGTTACCATCAGAGATTGAGTATAGGAGGAAATTATGGTCAAGAAAATTGGAATTTTACCTGGATTCATTGCAGGAAACTTTATTTACAGCCACTAGGGCATTAAATGATGTCACCGGATATTCAAGTATACAGAATTTGAGAAACTCAATAAATCAGATGGAGAATGAGTTGAATTCAATCAAATTAAAAGTCAAAGAGAGCAAAAAAATGTATAATGATGCAATCAGCCAGAGGATTCAATCTCAGAATGAAGTTAATGATCTTTTACAAAGAAAGGGGACATGGTCAAGTGAGGATTTGGAAAGATTTACCAGATTATATAAAGAAGATACAATTAATTCAAAGAGAGTAGAAGAATGCAAACAAGAATTGAATGCCATTGAAATGGAGGAAGATAGATTGACTAACGAATTATATAAGTCCATATTGACTAGATATCATGAAGAACAAATCTGGTCAGACAAGATTAGAAGAACTTCCACATGGGGTACGTTTATATTGATGGTGATCAATATATGTCTTTTCTTGATATTCCAACTGTTGTTAGAACCATGGAAAAGAAGGAGATTGACACGTAGTTTTGAGGATAAAGTTAAGGTTGCTTTAAACACATATTCAAAGGAACAAGAAAATTTGATATCAATAAAAATAGAAAAAATGTTATCCTCATCTACAAGACAAGTGGTGCTAGTTGACGATAGTAACCAGCAGTACGAGATGCAAGAGGACAAGAAAGAGATGAATAATAACAAAAATGATTATTATAAAGAAGCTCAAAGTTTGAATCAAGATATAAATCCATATGTGGTCTTTAAACAACTTTATTCCAAATTGACTCAAATTCCAAAAAAAAGGAATCTAGAATTCAATAATATTGAAATATATATATTCTCTGGTACATTATTACTCTTAGGAAACTTGCTAACTATTATTGTGTACAAGCTAATTTAGACCAATTCTATAAAATGCATAGATGTTATGGAGACATATAAACATATAAATATATATACGAATAAATGGACCTATTTAAACTTCTCACTCACTTACATTTCAACACAGTTTGACTTACTCTCTTCAAAAAACACCACTTCTTTAAAGTTGGGTGAACCATAGAGAAAATTCTCTTTCTGCGTTTCTTTCGCTATTTTCCTGTTTCTTTTATAGAGGGAGAAATCAGTTTGGTGGCAATAAGAAGGAAAAAAAAACTAACAACAAAAATAAAAATAGAATAACAAAAAATAAGAAGCAAGAAGTAATGAGAATACACACTACTATCACTAGGTTTAAAAGATTATATAGTATAAGTACTAACCAATTAAAAAAAAAAAAAGGATAAAATAAAATAAACTTGTTCTATTTTAAGATTGAAGTACACGCACACATATAAATAAATAATTACTTAGACGTAATAATGGAAGAATTGGGAATTACTAATAACTCAGAAACAGTAGTGGAATCAAAGCTATCTAACATTAAAACTTATGGTTCTTTGTTATCTGAATTAAATAAGGACATATTATCCAAGGTCAACAGCAATTCATTGTACGGGAATACCGCCAATTCAGATATTTACTTAAAACTAAAGAAATTGGAGAAAGAATATGAACTATTAATTCTACAAGAAGATTATATCAAGGATGAACAACGTCATTTAAAGAGAGAATTATTAAGAGCACAAGAAGAAGTAAAAAGAATTCAGTCTGTTCCTTTGGTCATTGGTCAATTCTTAGAGCCTATCGATGAAAACACTGGGATCGTTTCAAGTACAACTGGTATGAACTATGTGGTCAGGATATTATCTACTTTAGATAGAGAATTATTGAAACCTTCTATGTCTGTCGCATTACATCGTCACTCTAATGCCTTAGTAGATATTTTGCCACCAGATTCTGATTCAAATATATCTGTGATGGGTGACAATGAAAAACCTGATGTGACATATGCTGATGTTGGTGGTTTGGATATGCAGAAACAAGAAATTAGAGAAGCAGTTGAATTACCATTGACTCAGGCTGATTTATATGAACAAATCGGTATTGATCCACCAAGAGGCGTTTTATTATATGGTCCACCTGGTACAGGGAAGACTATGTTGGTTAAAGCTGTAGCAAATAGTACAAAAGCATCTTTTATTAGAGTTAATGGGTCAGAATTTGTTCATAAATATCTTGGTGAAGGTCCAAGAATGGTTCGTGATGTGTTTAGATTAGCAAGAGAAAATGCACCATCTATCATCTTTATCGATGAAGTAGATTCAATTGCCACAAAGCGTTTTGATGCACAAACTGGTTCAGATCGTGAAGTACAGCGTATATTGATTGAATTATTAACACAAATGGATGGTTTTGATCAATCAACAAACGTTAAGGTCATTATGGCCACCAATAGAGCAGATACGTTGGATCCTGCTCTATTAAGACCAGGTAGATTAGACAGAAAGATAGAATTTCCATCCTTACGTGATAGACGTGAGCGTCGTTTAATATTTGGAACAATTGCATCAAAGATGTCTTTAGCACCAGAAGTCGATTTGGACTCTTTGATCATTCGTAATGACGCATTATCTGGTGCTGTCATTGCTGCAATTATGCAAGAAGCTGGGTTAAGAGCTGTAAGGAGAAATAGATATGTTATTTTACAAAGTGATTTAGAAGAAGCATATGCATCTCAAGTTAAAACAGATAGTGACGTAGATAAATTTGATTTCTATAAATGATTTACTATTTATTGCGTCTGTTTTAAGCCATTTTCTACTAATGACATAAGTACATACAGATAAATATATATAGGTGTACATGATGATATGTAAGTTTACATATTATAAATATATTTTCACATGTATTCCTTGTAAAAAAAAAAGCTAAATATTTTACTATTGATTTAGATATACTTTTATGTTTATAGTATTGTAGGCTGTTAGTATGGTGGCATATTCATCTCTTTTTTTATACAGATATTTGACATGTACCTTTCAAAGTTTGGATTCAGTTATTCTTTCTTGTTTTCTTCGTTCTTTAATATATGAAATATGATATGATGCTAAGCCTGGAGTAAACGACGATATATCATTAAAATTGAAATGATCAAGATCTAGATGTGCATAAGTATGAAAATTATCAGTTATATTATAATATGATTTTAAAGTAAACAATTTTGACCTCACTGAATCAGGTGCAATTAAAGTTATATTTTCATTTTTAATCAATAGTTGATTTATAGTAGAATTTAATAAACTTAAGTTACAACCTTTTAGATCAATTACATGATTTTGATTAACTGATATGATTTCATCAAAATCCAATGTCTCTATTGTACCATTAATTAATTTTGTTGTTGATACAGTTATATTCGAATTCATGTACATCCATGTGGGAGGCATATAAGTTTTCCACCATACATGTACACCAAAATCTGTGGTTCTTTCTTTATTTTGTTGATAATACATCATCATTTTTATAACTCCACTCTGATGGAAACATCCCAGAATCATAGCCATTATTATATTATACAATAACCAAATCGAGACCCATCTTTTACAAGGAACATTGTTGAATGCGAGAAAAATTAATGGAGTCAATGGGACCAAAAACCTTAATTCTTGATGAGGGAAAATGGAAAGAATAAATAAAGCACTTATGATTGACAAAAGTGGCAGATTACAACTATTTAATTGATTAAATTTATGTTTTTTGATCTCGGTATACACTAGATATAATCCAGGTCCAAGTATTTGAGGCATGTTCACTAAGATATGGGTGTATCTGGGATGTAAACCATGTAATTTTAAATTAGACGTCTCTAGGTTATATTTAAGATTATTCCAAGGAGCTAAAACATAAGGATACGATATATTTGATTGATTAAGATTAAAACTCCATGTATCAAGCTGAATACAACATAAAAATGTAATAAAGCCCGTAATACTAAATAAAAGAAAACTTTTCCACTGATGGATATAATATCTAGAAAATAAAGTGAGCGACGGTAATAAGATAAATGCGGGGAAAGTCATTCTATTGAATATACCGATTACAATTAAAAATGCAACTAAAATATTGGTAAGGTATTTTTTTCTATGTACATTATCTTTATTAATATCATTATTGTTGGATGGATACAACGATAACAGATTTTTATAACAAACCAAAACACTTAATAATATTAAAGTTTCTATTGAATTTGAGAATGAATGACTCTGTATTGTATATGTAATATATGAGGTAGAAATTAAAAATTCAATATAATGTACTGTTTTAGGAACACCAAACTGTTTAAGAAACCATTTATAAATAACAACATATGACAAATAATGTTGTAATCTAACCAAAGATAGGATAATAGTTGGATCCTGAATATTCAAAACTTTGAATAATACAAAATATAATGGTCCATAATACAAATACAATGGTACAAGACTTCTAGCAGGATATTCACCTTGGAATTCCCACGAGATTGTTCCCTTGATACCACCAAACTTTTGTGCTAGGATCTCTATGGTTTGAAAATGTTCATCGCTATGAATATATGATGGCTGTATAGCAATAAGCAAACCGAAGACGTAACCCCAATAAGTTAAAGATTTTAGTTTCGGTAGCATGCCATTCCTTCTCTTTTTTTTCTTTGCTAGTCGTATATATATATATATAGATATTTCTTTTAGTTATTTTTATTTGTTTAGGCTTTATATGAGGATGGAGTAACAATAACGATATTGAATCCTAATTTCCCTGTTAGTGATCTAGCTTTTGAGATATTTTATAGTTTGCTAAACCTTAAATTGTCCTCATATGGTATGATGTGTTAGTCAATTGGATCTTTATTGATCTTTAAGCTTTTTAAATTCAATGAAGAAAGCAGATTCTCAGCTTAATAAATATATTTCGACTAAAGCCGCCTATTTTTCGCAATAATTACTTGAAGATCACGTGCCCTTTCAGGTTTCAACTTTTTGTTAGAAATTTTAAAAATTTTTTTTTTTTCTTTTTTATTAAAAACAAAACAAAATTTGAAAAAAAAAAAAAAAAGAAAGAAAGCGATGAAGGTAAACGAAAAGAAGTAATTATTTGGCGTCTTTCGTAATATTTTCACTTCTATTAAGCACGCTGTTGTTTGTTATTTTATAGGTATAGAGTTGCTTTTCCATCAACTTTTATTAAAGGTTTTGCATGGATGACTAATTCATATCGTTTACAGCTCTGACAACTACTAGAAAAATAAAAAGAGAAGAGGAGCATTCTATTGTACTTTGAAATAGTTGTAATAGGATCTTTCTGTCAAGATGTTAGATGAGCAAGCCATTCTATCATGCATTGAGCATACTATGGTTGCTGATGCCAGAGTCATTAGGGCTGCTGAATTACAATTATATGAAATTGAAAAAGAGGCAGGATTCACTGTCTTTTTACTAAAAATTGTGTCTAATCAAGATATTGCATTAAATGTAAGAATGTCTGCAGCTATTTATTTTAAGAACAAAGTTCAAAGATCATGGAGGACTGAAAATTCAAATGAAAAGGTTCATATTGGTGATATTAGGGAGGATGAAGGAAATATGATAAAAGAAAACATCATTCCAATCTTAATTAACAATTGTGAAAACAATCATATCAGACCTCATCTTGCAGAAGCTATTAAATATATTTTGACTAGATCTACATCATGGGATTTATCTTCTACTGTTATTGAATTGTTAAATACTGGTAAGTCTGAATACATATATGCAGGTTTATTATTAGTCTTTGAAATGTGTTCTGCTCATAGATATGATATGACTGGGAAGAGAGACCAGATCGATAATTTTATAATAACTGTTTTTCCAACTATTGAAACTCTTTTATCTAATTTGGTATCAGAGACTGATTACAAATCAAGTGAATTATTATATTTGATCTTAAAATCGTTTAAGTATGCTTGTTTAAATAACTATCCACAATATTTTAACGATATGGAAAAATTGAATTCTTGGATCAAATTACATCTATTTATTTGTGCAAAACCATTACCAAAGGAAGTTCTAGAGTTGGATTATGCTGATAGATCATTAGATAAGAGGGTTAAAGTCAATAAATGGGGATTTGGTAATCTAAATAAATTCATTCACAGATATTCAAGATCTACAAAACAGATTAGTGAAGAGCTTGTTCAATATATCTATAATAATTTATGTCCAGAAATTATCCAAGAATATTTCAAGATTATTCAAAGTTGGAAGGAGGGTTCTTTATGGTTAAGTGAATCGTCATTATACTATTTGGTTCAATTGTTTGAAAAATGTTTGATTTATGATGGATTATATTCTCTAATTGAACCTCATTTACAAGTTTTCATTGAAAATGTTATTTTTACTTGTTTATGTGCATCACCTCAATCTGTGGAATTATTACAGGATGATGAAGAGGAATACACAAGACGTTACTTTGATATGAACAAAGAAGGTAGTACTGCAGATGTAGCTGCAGTCGATTTCATATTTGTTGTTGGTCATAAGCGTCCAGAAAAATTAAATATAGTATTGCCATTTGTAAACAATGTTTTAAATGAATTTGTTTCTTCACCAACTTTAGAGAATGCTTATAAACAAGAAGGTGCTATGAGAATGATTTCTACTCTATTTAGTTTTTTTGATTCAAATACAGAAGCTATAGAGGGACTTTTTGCTCATTTTATTAGTAAGATTATAGGACAAGATAAATATCCATTTTTGGTGGCAAGAGGACTTGAAACCATAGCTAATTTTGATTCAACATTTACTAACATGGAAACTTTATCGATGATTTATGAAATGACATATAATCATCTTTTAAACAGTACAATTTTACCAATTCAGATTGAAGCTGCAGATGCATTGAAGACTCTGGTTGTTTCCAACCCAGATATCCATCCTCACATTTCCTCTCAAGTTCCAGGCATAATGGAGAGATTATTAAAATTATCAAAAGAATTTGAGATTGATACTATTGCTGAGGTTATGGAGGCTCTTGTTGAAAGGTTCTCTGATGAATTGACACCATTTGCCAACGATTTAGCATCCAATCTTGCTGAACAATTTCTTAAAGTGGCGCGTTCTATGGTTGAAAACAATGGAGGTAGTAGTTCCAGCGGTAATGCATACTCAATGGGTGATCAAGATCAAGAAATTCAGGCAAGTTCGTTGTTACAGACTATGACTACAATGGTTATGTCAATGAATAAAGTTTCTTTGACCACACAGTTTGTGCCAGTTTGTAAGTTTGTTATTCAAAACGCACAAATCATTCTTTTGACAGAAATTGTGGATTTGATGGATGCGTTAGCATTATCTTCGAAGACCCTATATAATCAATTTACACCAGAGATTTGGGATTTATTTCATGATGTTATGGATTCTTTTGAGACTTATGCATTAGATTATTTTGAATCATACGAAGTATTTTTTGAAACTGTTGTATTATTTGGTTTTCCACAAGATCAGACTTTCGTCAACCCATTTTTACAAGTTTTGTCTGTAAAGTTACAAAGTGAGATAGACTATGATGTGGATAGTGTGTTAATGATATTACAAATGTATGCATTATCTATGAAGGATATCCCATTATTTGATGAATGTATCAAATTTGGTTTTGCACGTCAAGAAGAGTTGGGTGTGGATCAAAAGGAGTTAGTGAAATTATTCCTGGCATATTTATCAATTAAGCCAGCAGAGACTTTAAGTATAATGGAATCCAATGGAATTACATTAGATTTTTTTAAGATATGGTTTGACTGTTCTTTGACTAGTGTATTTGGCATTAAATTACAAATTATGGCCATTTTAAACTTTTTACAGATGACTGATTTACCTGGATCTGTTATTGGGTTTGTTAATGCATTTGCGAATAAGTTAGTCAAATTAGTGGAGCAATTACCAAAGGCTATCAGAAGACACCAATTGATAAGTGAAGGTAATGGTGATGAAACGGGTGGTGCTGAAGAAAGTAACATTGATGATTTGAATCCAGAAGAAGAAGATGCATTCTATGAAGATTTAGAAGATGACTTCAAGGAGACACCATTAGATGGAATTAATTCATTTAATGAAGTTTATCAATTCTTCCAATTATTAAAGAATAATAATGCAGTAAGATATGAAGAGATTATTAATTCATTAACTGAAGAAAACAAATCATCTTTAGAAGTGATATTAAATTTCGTTTCAGAAAAGAATCAACAGTAAAAATAAAAAATAAGAAATAAAAAATAAAAAAGGAATATTTGTGTAAGATAATGATGTAAATATATATACATATGATAGAATGAAAAGGTATAGAAAGGGAATGAATAAGTAAATAAATGACAGAAATCAAAAAAAAAAAAAAAGAAAAAAATTGGAAGTAATTAAACATAAATGTGTTTTTGTATATCATATTAAACATGTAGATTATATATATACGTATATGTATACTTGTATGTATATGTATTTGTATTTGTGTTTGTGTATCAATTTTCTTCTTTAATGGTCGATGTATTGTTCATATGATTATCTGGTACTGGTATTGGTGTTGTTGTTGTTGCTGTTGTTTGATGTAACTTAGATCTAGATTTTCTAAATAGTTCTTCTTGTTGTCGTAGCAATTCTTCTTCGGTTAATCCAGAGTTTCTAAATTTACTATCCCTTCTTTCTCTTATCCTTTGTGTACCTTTGAATTCAGTTAGAGCGTGTTCTAACAACGGTACAAAAGAATCATATTCCAATTCTTTCAATGCAGCCAAGACATGTTCAGGAGCGATAGTCTTTTTCGAATCATTTTCTGCCATTTCAGAAGACATTGAAGATAAAATCATTAAGAATTCTATGCCGGATTTAATTACAATTTCTCTTGCGTCCTTATTAAAAGTCAAATCATCATCTAAAATCTCGGTTATCAGTTTTTGTACAGTCGCCTTAGGCAAAGATATATCATCTTTATCTAAACCTGCCATTATGGAATCCAATATATGTTTGAATGCGGATATATATCGTATTATTGATATAATGTTTATTATATGTTTAAATTCACCTATTTACACGTTTGTTTATATCTTTAAATCTTGATTTTCTTTTTCTTTTTTTAGTAATAACAATAAAGTACCTTATATCTGACCAAAAAAAAAAAAAAAGACTATATATATATATATATATATGTTTGTTTGTATGTAAACAGAGAGGAATGAATATAAACAACAGCCACAAGAATAAAAGCTAGGGTTGATCAAGAATATATTTGTATTTCCCAAGCATCAAGATAAAAATATGAGGAGGAAAACAAGGGCACAGGAACGAAAATTGGGAAATAACCGATTATTTACTATTTCTCACAGAAGAAGACGGGAGAGCTCAGTTTTTGTTTTTTTTTTCTTTGTAACTTTCCTTCTTCCAGACTCTTCTACAGTCCTTCATCCTTTTTATAGTTGGACCTCTTACCTATTCAGAAATCAAAAAAATAAAAAAAAAGAATAAAAATAAAAATAAAAATAAAAATAAAAAAAAGAAGAGAAGAGAAGAGAAAGCCAGACGAAACAGGGGAAGGGGAATAAAAAGCAAAGCAAAGCAAAACTCTCTGCAAGAAAAAAAAAAAATAAAACAGAAAAAGAAAAAAGAAACGACAATTTTGAGAAAAAGTACTGCTTTTTGGTGGATTGGTGAAAACAGAAAAAAAAAAGGACGAAATGTACAAGAAACTGTTAAATAAAGGTAACTGAAAATGTAAACAAGACGTTTGGAGTGGGTAATATGATTAATCACAACTTTTAGGTATATAGTTTCTTGTAGATTGAACAGCTAATGTCATATGTATATATATGTATATATATATATACATATTGTGTTTCACTTTCTTAGATGACAAGCTATGTAAAAATAGAGAATAGGGCAATGAGAAGAGAATTAAAAGACAAACCCTTGATACCTTTAAAGAAAGTTTTCTACATTATCAATAATACCCTAACTCAGATGGTCAGTTAGAAGTAAACGTAAAAGTAAAAGAGGAGAATTATTTTATGTCTCTCGCAAAACCAAAAAGATTATTGTTTTTGTAAAAATTTTCTCATTTCTCTTTTTTTACTCTTGCAAACGCGATTGCAAATGCGATGAGCGATGAGATTAAAGGTGAAAAAGAAAAGAAAAAAAAAAGAATTTATTTTTCCAGTTTTTTTTTCTCTTTTTCTGTTCTTTTCTTTTTCTTTTTTGTTATAAAAAATTTTTTTTTTTTGTAGATGAACATGTTGTCTTTCTTTTGTTCGAAGGACTTGACTTCTTCTTCAATTTTAATTATATCCTATTATTTTAATATTTAATTGACTATCTACTTCTTCAAATTTTTAATTTTTTTTAATATTAATACACATATGTTAATATTTTTCTTCTCTTTCTTTTTTTTTTTTGTTTTTACTCTGCCCAAAGTTCTATATTATAATGAAGAAATAGTTTGTCTGTTAGTTCTCTTTAGCTATTTTTTCTTTTTGTTAGCAATGGTTTTTTTTTATGATACTCTTTCTTTTATTTTTTTTTTTTTGCTTTTTTAAATCGAAACATGGATAAGAACACTCAGATCCTTCTTTCTTCCTAATTTCTGGTCTTGTACTTTTCCTGGTTGTATCTATTTCATTAGAAGATTAAGAAATAGTAACTGAGGTAGCAAAGTTGTCTGTCTATTTTAATCCTATCACTATCTTAGTTAAGATAAACAAATTGGAAAAAGTATAACAAAAAATTATAATAAAAGAAAAAAGATGAGTGACGAAAAGCAGTATATATCGTATAATAACGTTCATCAACTATGCCAAATAACAGCCAAAAAAATCAAGAACTTTAAACCAGACTTAATTATTGCCATCGGTGGTGGTGGTTTCATTCCTGCTAGAATCTTAAGAACTTTTTTGAAAGAGCCCGGTGTTTCAACTATTAGAATCTTCGCTATCATATTATCTCTATATGAAGATATACATACAGCTGTTGGTGATGAAGCTGAAAAAATTGGTGTTAAAATCAATAGAATCCAATGGATCGATTATGAACAATGTAAATTGGATTTAATAGGCAAAAACGTTCTTATTGTAGATGAAGTTGACGATACAAGAACAACTTTACACTACGCTCTACATGAATTAGAAAAGGATGTCGAAGAACAAGCTAAGGCAAAGGGAGTCGATTTCGAAAAGAATCCAGAATTGAAAACAAAATTTGGTATCTTTGTGTTACACGATAAATTGAAACCAAAGAAGGCAGACTTGCCAGATGAAATCTTATTAGACGAAAATCGTTATTTTGCTGGTAAACAAGTACCAGATAAATGGTTTGCCTACCCTTGGGAATCTACCGATATTGTTTATCATACAAAGATGGCTATTAAACAAGGTAACGACATTTTCTTCGAGGATGAAAGTGAACTTCAAGCAGAACAATAAAATAGCAACAAAATTCTTCCTATCACACATTTCTTCCCCCTCCCCCTTTCCATTTAATCTCACTTTTATATTTGATTGTGTTTGTATTTATAATTAGTTATACTTAGTATGTATTATATAGCATTGTATATTTGAAAATTAGAAGGGGATTGAATAAAAGGAAATCTATGTATAGTAATAATAATAATATATAATATATGATATGTAATATCTTATTTTATTGTAACACATATATATACATTTACACTTTCTTTGTATTCACTTGGGGTGTACTCAACACATAAAGGTATGTAAACTATTCCTTGTTCGTTATTTTAAATCACCAAATAATGTAGGTATAATATAATAATTAACATAGAGATTATTTGGTAGTTTCTATTCATCTTTTGAAAATGATAATAATGATTTTAGAACCCTCTTCAAAATATTTTTTGAACTGCAAAACTCTGTTATTAATTTCTGTCTCTGATAACTTGGGATCATTTGAAATAAAAAAAAAAGAAAAATTGCTGAAAAAAGATATGTGTCACACAGCTCATACAGATTCTCAGGACTTCACAGGCTTTGACTAACTAACAAAAAAACTGTCAACTTTTATTTTTAATTTATTTGCAAAGACTATGTGTGTAAAAAGTAGGACCTTGAGTATTTCGAATTTAGAGAATACCGGTTAGTCTTCTTTTTGCAAAAATCTAGCATTTGGAAGAAATGGCTCAGAAGCACTTATTAATAAATTTTTGGCCTGATAAAGATAGTTTATCAAATTTTTTTGGTTAGGTTGGTCATTGAAGATGATTTTAGTAAGTCTAGTCTAGCCTGGTCTATTGATGATCACCGTATGTATTGAAACATATAAAGCTCTTCTGGTTTCTATGAATATGGGCCTCTTATGTCCATATAATAACTATCATCTACACAAACAATTCAATTTATCTTTTTTTTTTTGGCGGGATGGCGGAAACTTGTTTCCGGATGAGGCTTAAATCGAACATTACAAAAGAATTAAAAGTAACATTGTGTTTTGTGTCAGTTACACGGGGGTGAAAGTTGATGTCTACAAAGAATAGTGAAATTGATTATTTTAGTATTTAGAAAAGGGACAACGAAGTTTGAGCAAAGAGACTTATATTGAATAATTATTCGTGTATAAATCGCCAACCATCTATTTTATAACATACTATTTTAAACATGACCATTTCCACCATCCCAATATGGTTAGACTGTGACCCTGGCCATGACGATGCTATCGCCATTCTTTTGGCATGTTTTCATCCTGCATTCAACCTATTAGGAATATCTACATGTTTTGGTAATTCATCTCCAGATAATACTGATTATAATGCAAGGTCATTATTGACTGCAATGAATAAAATCAATACCATCCCTATATATCGTGGAGCACAAAAACCTTGGGTCAGAAAAGATTTAAAATATGCACCAGATATCCATGGTGAGACTGGGTTGGATGGTACCACATTATTACCAGTACCAGAAAGAGAAGCATGTAGTGATATGACCTATTTAGATGCTATGGAACAAGCCATTTTAAAACATGAAGGAGAGATATCTTTAATCTCTACTGGTGCAGTGACATCGGTGGCTAATTTATTGAGACTAAAGCCAGATCTAATAGATAAAATCAGGTTTATAAGTATTATGGGCGGTTCATTCAATGGATTAGGTAATAAAAATCCAAATCAATCTGCAGAGTTTAATATTTGGATAGATCCACACGCGGCAGAATTTGTATTAACTAATCCATTAATAGCCCCAAAATGTATTTTATCACCATTAAATTTGACACATAAGGCTATCGCCACTAAAGAGATCATTGAAGAGAAAATATATCCACCACAACTACATAAGGAGAAGTTGAGGACTCTATTCTATGAATTATTTTTGTTTTTCCAAAAAACATATAAAGATGTTCAAGGTTTTACCAATGGTCCACCCATACATGATCCAATGACTCTTTACCCCTTGTTACAATTTTATAACTATGAATCAAGTGATGTTGTGGGATTCAAATATATGAAAATGGATATCGACATCATTACGGATTTGAACAGTGAGGATGCAGGAATGATTTTTTCTATAAAAGAATATGATGACCCATTCCAATCAAGTGATGATGAATATGAGGATGGTGTGCAGTATCAAAACTTAACTACAAGTCCTGGTGTGATTATTGGGTACGATATTAATATTGATTATTTTTGGAAACAAATACTCAATTGTTTGACGCTGGCTCAGAAATCTTCAACAATTGAAGGTTAATAAAGGATACTTTAGAGTGATTTGGTTGCTGTTTAGTTACCTTTTTTTCTTCTTTTCCTCGTTTTTTTTCAAAATATTTAAATATGTATTTGTATATATATATCTGTATATATCTAGAATGTAAATATTTTTTTGTTTGTTTTTAATGTTAGATTTTGTCTTAGTTTTTTTTCTGGATTATGCACCATAAGAAGCTATGCTCTTTTATATAAGGGAGTATTTGTTGTGTCAGAACTAACAGGACTTATTTAATCAATTTTTTTGTTCTCTTTCAAAAAAATCTAATTTTAGGTCGGAGGGGCAAAGAGGTCCACCAGAAGTCATTCTTTCTTTCCAATCTTTGGATAATTTGACATTGAAATTTTTCAATACCTCTCTTATTGTTACTTTCACTTCGATTAAGGCCAACTTTTCCCCAAGACAAGCTCTTCTACCACCATGAAAACTACTTAAAGAACCTTCGTTTTTTCTTCTTTTCCATTCGGTATTAATACTGTCAATTGTTGTGCCCCATCGTAATGGATCAAAATCATTAGCAGTTTTGCCCCAATGTTTTAGACTGTGAGTTGTTCCAAAATTATTATATCCAACATATGTGTCTTTTGGAATTATAATGTTATTACTCAAATGACACTTTTTAGTAGTCTTTCTATTTATTATAGTATTTAATGGCGGATACATTCTAATTGCTTCAAAAACAAAAGCAGAAAGAAGTGGTGCTTCTTTTAATCCAACAATATCTTTGATATTTTTAGTCTCATTCCAAATCTTTAGTTGCCAAGTGTCACAGTACTTGGCTAATAAATAAAGACAAGTTGAAATCAGTAATTGAGGATTTTCATGACCAGCAACTAGCAAGATTACAATGTTATCTGTTAGCTGGTTATAATCTATAATCTCATTATTATAAGCTTTAATTAAATCATTGACAACAAAATTAGTTTGTTCAAAATTATAATTATCAATCACTTCTTTTCTAACTTTTTCAACTAAAATATGTCTAAAACTTTTCACATCTTTAAAAGCTTTTTGTCTTTGTGGTAAATGAAGTAAATCAAAGAAAGGGAATGTTAAGAAAAATGGGTTAAATATTTGTTTTTTAATTCTAATAAGATGTTGATGAAGTGGATTGTACTCTTCTTCCAATGTTTTAAAATCAAATCCTAGAACAACTTGTGAAATGTTATCCAAAGCTAGTCTTTGAATCAATAAAGGAAGAAAATTATTATGATTTTTTTTTTGATTGGCTTCATTTTTTCCCGAATGATCATTAGAAGTAGCCACTTCATTTTTTAATGTTTTTTGAATTAATTTACAAAATTTTTTTGCATTGTTCTCTAATGGAGAAGCATTAAAATTTTGTAAGCCATCACTCATAATACTTCTATATTTTTTCCAAACATTGCCATGTGCGCTAATTATGTTGTCACCAGTGTAAGCAGCAATAACACTATATGGTATCTTTTTTTGATTTCCACTTTTAGCGAAAGTATTTTCATCTTTAAAGATTTGCGATAAATATTCTGGCCTCGAGACCAAAATATTCCACCTTGATCCAAAAAACATTTTCACAGCACCATATTTTTCTAATGGTTCTCTTAAATACATGTTGAACATATCAATTTGATCAATTTCAAATATTGAAGGAAGAAAGATGACATAAAATGGAATAGTTGGGATTGTTTTCGGAAAGTTTAATGGAGGTAGAATTATTCTTAATATGAAAATAAAAACACTTAATAGAGAGAATAGGATGGATTTCCAAAGAAAAGTGTTTAACATCTTTTAAGAAGAAAAGAAAAAATGAATGGATAAATAGAGGAATAGGTAGGGTTTTTGCTAACTAAAGCTCTTGCTGTCATTATTATAAAAAAATATTATTAGAGAATGGGAAAGAATATATATTCTTCTTTTTTTTTAGGTTAACTGTTAATATGAGTAAATAGATATGAGTATATATATACATTACATAACAAAGTATATACTTTACACTTTAATTTTAGTTTTTTTAAGTGTTATTAGTGATTTTATTAAGGTAAAAAGTATATAAATTTTTTTGTAAACCCTTCAATGTTTATACTATTAATACCTATTGACAGAGGGTTTTTATTTTCTTAATTACTTAGTGCCTTAAAAAGGGTTAGGAAATTATCATCATTTATTTCCTTAATATAATTATTTGTGAAAATATACTTATTAATTTGCTTGAGTGTTACATTTGCATTCAAAAGGAGTTAGTTGACCCTAATGTCCTTAATTTTTATTTATTTTATGAAATACATTTTTAATGTTTTGTTTTCGCTCGACTGGATTCTTGAATGGGGAAAAATAAAATTCTTGAATGATTTTTTCTTAGAAGTGAAATGTAAAAAATTTTGAAGTACTTCTCATACTTACTGCTGAACTATACATTCTCAATTAATTACTAGAAGTACCAAACCCTTTACTTCTATCATGTTATATAACTTAAGAAACACAAACCTTCAAATAAGCTCCCTTCAAATAGGAAAAATGTTTAAAGGACTATCAGTAAGCCCATTTCAAATCATAAATTTTTTTTGATGTAAAGTAAATAAACATTAACACAAATATATATATATATATCAACACAAACTTTGTGTATTTAGATTCTATAATCTTGATATAATTCTTCTAATAGTCATTCTTTTTTTCTTTTTCTTTTTTTTTTGACTCACAAATGACATTTGATCGTAGTTATAACTGTCTCTTCTCTCATTGATTATCTCAGGTTCAAGGAAACTAAAGTAATTCAGCAAATAAAATGACTATTATTGATAAATTATTTGCATATAACAGTACTACTCCGAAAAGTCCTTTGATTATAAAGGAGTGTGTTTCGGAATGTGGTAAAAAGCAAGATGAAGACACTCAATGTGATTCATCTACATTTAGCAAAATTCTAGCTCAATATTCTAGAGATCAAAGTACTGGAACGTTATTTAATATTGAAGAAAAGGAGTCTTGTCATTTTGAAAGTCATTGGAACACTTTTCATGAATCTTTTAAAAACAACGCTATTACTAATACGCATCCTATGAAAGTTCATAGCAAAGCAGTTCAAGTATATAGCATTGAAGGTGATATAGTTGAAAAATTAACTGAAAAAAAACTCTATAGTGTAATCATCTACGAGTATAAGAAATCAGGTGAAGATCAAATAAGAGGGATAATATCTCATACAAAAGTTGAAGATACATTTAATTGTTGGTTCATTTTTCATATCTTAGACCAAAGTCGTTTGAACAACAACTACAAACTTATTTTTCAAAAATCAATTGCTTATCATGAATTATTTGCAGATTATTTTGCCTCCAATTTAAAGAATACTGTGGAAGATGATCAATGGGAAGAGAAGGGAAGACTCTATTTCATCAAAAAAACAAAATATTTCACAGATAGACATTTGCGGATAGAATGTATTCTGCCAGCCTTTCCTTGTAAATCCTCTAATAAAAACAAAGTTTGCGGTACAGTACCAGATAAAGGCGAAGAATTAGCTTTAAAAAGATTAATTAAGGCTACTGAAGAAGTTCAAAGTTTTTACCCACCAGGTGTAAAGTTTTGGATTGTTAGTGATGGCCATGTTTTTTCAGATTGCATTGGTGTCGATGATGATATTGTAAGTCATTATACTAGTAAGCTTCATCAAATGTATGAACATATTAGAACAAAAGATAATGATGCTATTGGATTTTGTGGGTTAAACGATATTTTCTTCAACGGTATCTCTACAAAACAATTTGACCCTGCTTGGGTAAAAGAAGTTGAAGTCGACCATTTTACAGGAACTAAAATATGCTCGATTAGTGATGTTTCAAGACAAATATTGATGAAAGGATGCGACACAGATGCTGGAAAATTGAGAAGAGAAATTACTACTGATGGTCACCCACGATTATATCTGTATAGGGGTTTCTCTAGATTTATGATGGAAGATCTATTGTTATTACCTTACTTTCAAGATTTTTCAAAGAAAAAACTTAAAAAAATTACTTCAAAAATCGCTTTCAATATGATAAAACGAAACGATGCATATTCAAATCTTGTTGAATTAATGTTTCCACATCATATCAGAATTTCTATTCACGCCCATACTAATAGTGGCCCTAAATTTGGGGTTAAAGTCATTTCTAAAGATCAGTGTCGTATTGTTCGTGACTTAAATGAGTTGATTGAACCTACTTTTGAGGATCTTCTCCACATTCCAACTCCTTGGCATAACTGTGTCGTTAGAGTAATATATAAGAATTCTCCTGAGTGTTACTTTCTCACTAAACATGAAGTTGTGAAAAGTGCTATTTCCAGTGGTAAGTTCCAAGGCCATTGGGAGGACACGTGTTTAAAAGCAGGTGAGGGAGGTCACTTTATCCTTAATGAATTATGATTCTAACCCTATTTTTTTATATATATACTTTTATTTCCTGATTCTGTGATTTTTTGTCAATTACTTCCTCCTCAGAATATTAAATTTATTGACAATCTTTAATTAATAAAATATTTATTTGTATAGTATAGTGTTCTTTTGATTAATATTCATTCTTTTTTTTTTATTATCTTTAATTATTTATGTTATCTAATATACATAAATATATTATTATAATAATTATTACATATGACAAAATTTTTTTTTCATTATAGTGATGACTTGGTAATGCCTTTACTTACCAAATGTCAATGAAAAGGAAGAAGCACAACAAATCATAATACCCAAAAATAAATCCAGATAATCTAAATAGCACCAAGATAATCTTCCTTGATACTCCCAATAGCGTGGATAGAGCTAACTTGGCTTATACAACCCTCAATCTTGACTCTAATTCTACTCTTTATGGTAATCACATCATCTGAACTTTGGTAAGATGGAGGGTTTGATCCAGCATTGAAAGTTAAATCCTGAGGCATTAAATGTTTAGTGACAAACACTTTCATGGGCCCTACTTGAACCTCAAAACCATGTTGTGAACAAGACACTACTGTACCATCAACAACTTCACCCTTAAATGGTTTAAAAACAATAGCTCTATATTTAACTGTAAATTCTGCCGAACCATCTGTGGGCAATATTCTACCACGTTCAATCTCAATTTTATCATAATCTAATACACATAAGATATAACCAAATTTACCTGTACATGAACCTTCCACTTCTTGAAGTAATTTACTCCTCAAGAATTGTTTCATTCTTGGTCCAAAATAGGATGGATGTAAAGTGATATTTAAAGATAAATCTTTGATGAAAAACATCTTTTGAGCAATTGCAATAATAGGAAAATAAAAAACAATTAATTTTTTAAAAAAATATCAAGGAATATATAAATGCAAAGTAGGTTTAATGAGGGCGAGGGTTTATTTTTATTGGCGTTAAATGGAAAAAACAATAAAGTCTGTATAATATGAACGTAGGATAGAAAAGAATGAAAATCTCAGGGTTATGCAATGAATTAGGTGGTATAAATGGTTAAAAAAAATCAGAACTAGCAGCGAAGGACTGTTGAGTTATGTGACCTCGGTACTCTTTATTTGTTTCCTCCTATTACCACAAAAAAAAAAGAGACAAAAAGAGTAACACCCTAACTAAACTCAAACAAACAGTTAATCTTAATTGATTTTGCTCTCACGGTGTACAAATCACAACACTAACCTACCTACCAATATGTCTAACTACACACACCAACCTTTCAGGCAATTTTTCTTTTTGATATCTTTTTCATTTATTTTTTGTTTTTATGTATATACGTTTTTTTTTTTCAGTATCTTGAAAAAATCACTAAAAACGAAAGTAGAAGTTTTTGTCGAGGAAACTATGGACATCTAAAGCTTTTTAATGATCATTTCTTCCCTTCAAAAATGTATGATACAAATATGAATCAAGGAAGAAATAAGCGAAAAAGATACTATTTCAATAGGTGGGAAACCAGCAACATAGGAATAGCAATTAATCTTTTATTTTCTCCAAGAACTTATCAAAAAAGCGAATAAGTGGTAGTGATTGAGACATGCCCAGATTAGTTAAATCCCTTAGTGAAAAGATTTTGGAAAGAACTAAATCTGCTATTCAAAGTAGTATTACAAAAGATTCCTTAACCTCAACAGGTAGTAACTTAATTCCTCATTTCAAAGTCGGTGGCAAAGAATTATTCTTTCCTAAAGCACGTATCATCTTATTGCGACCCAATGCTAAACACACGCCATATCAAGCCAAATTTATTGTTCCTAAATCCTTTAATAAATTAGACCTACGTGACTATTTGTTCAATGTATATGGGTTAAGAGCATTGAATATCACTACTCAATTGTTACATGGTAAATATATGAGAGTATCACCATTTGCTGGAAGATACAGAGGTCCTCAAATCAAGAAAATGACTATTGAGATGGAAGAACCGTTTATATGGCCATCTGAACCATCTATCGGCGAAAATGACCATTGGAATAAGTCATTTATTGAAAAAATGAATAAGTTTAGTGAAGCTCAAGAAGAAAAAAATGTTGGGTCGAACAAATATAAACCGGATACTATATTCTCTGGCCTAATGTTGGATGGACAGTACGGGTACGGTGCACGTCCATTTATAAGTCATCGGATGGAGAGTAAGATGCAAAATGTAAAGAGGAAATCTGAAAAGAAAAGGGAGTTTTTAGAAAATGTTGCGAAAATAGATGAATATTTAAAAAGAGAAACAAATACAAACCTATAATGTTTTAAAGAAAAAGACAAATTTTATATATAAACCTAAAAAAAAAAGAAAAGCAAGAAAAAGAAAGAGATGAGGTAAGATAAGACCAAAAAAGAGTACTTCCACAGTCCTGTAAATAAAAAAAAGGTAAAGAAGAAACAGAAAAAGGTTGTATATATTGATATATACATACTTGTGTAAATGATTTTATCCATACTATTTATGACAAGCGACACTAGAGATCTTCTGACTTTTCCTTTTTGCTATTTTACCGCTGAACATAACTATCTATATAGCAATACTACACTTCTCAAGGTCTTACAGTTTCTAACTAAAACATAAATTCCTTAAGTTCTAACTAAGTATCATTAAAATTACACGTTTCCTCCTTTTAAATGTACAGTCGTTCTTGTCCCAAGAATACAAGTATCCCATTCATTTTATTTTTATTTGTCCATGACAAAACAAATACCAATGATTATATATATATATATATACGATAGCGATCTACTTAAAAAAACTTATATATTCCATAGTCAATAACATTGAATTACGAAACAAGTGCAACTAAATTATTTACCTTTAACTTCTTTAGATCTTCCTTTTTTTCATAATATTTTGAATCCTTTTGAATGAAACTTACAAGTTCCTATATAAACTAGGATCCAATCGCTTGCTTTTTTTCTTTTCTTATTCAATTTGTCTTTTGTTAAAATATCTTCTAAAGGTAAATATTATTGAATATTTTTATTTTTTTAAAATAGTAAAAGTTAACTGTTAGGTGTACAATCAGTTTAAAGATCAATTAAACAAAAAACAAGTCTTTTTTTTTTTTGGTTAATCACTATTTATTTATAATTACGGCTACTAAACCAACGAAGCTATAAAGAAGGAAGAAAAAGTTTTCTATGTTGCTCAACAAAAAGAAAATTAAACAGAGTGGAAATAAACTTTTGCGGCAAAATTCAATAATATTTTACATAAAGATCTGTTTGGTCTAATATCCAAAGGGGTTCTCTGAAACTCCTGTTTTTTTAAAATATTGAATAAAATGATTGACTAGTTTTGTTAAACAAGTCACATATAATACACTAAGTTACGCTAATGTTATTCTTATTACTCACATTCTCTTTTACCCCTTTGAGAATATCTTATTTTTTTTTTTATTATCCTTTTTTTTTGTACGGCAAAATATTTCTGCGGGGCTATCACAAAGATAAATAATAGGTTGTCCCTTTCTCCGTTCAATAAAAAAAATAGAAACATATTTAAAAACGGACTTTCTAAAACAATTCTATTGTTAGAAAGAAAAAAAACTTCTTTGAAAATAGTTAGTTCCCCGAACAATAGATATTATCAAATATGAGTACTTCTAATCCCCTAATTTCTTAAACTTTTTTTCTCCCTATTTTTTTGTTTTTCATTTGGTTCAAAAGAAAGTGACGTTCTTCCCCACATCGCTCCCCACCCCCTATTTCTACTTTGCTTATATCCTAACAATCAAATTTATGTTCTATGTGCTTTTCTAATTTAGTTATTGGATAATTGTTATATTCTTCTGAAACAATTCTTAAATCCCCTTTGACAACATCATTAAAGGTGAAGAAACAAAAACACTAACTCAAAATAAAGTTTCATTAAAAGGTTGGCCAGTATTGCCTAATCGATTATATTTCACTCTGTCCTCCTTCTTTTCTTTCACAATCATATAACCTCTTAACAAAAGATGCTGATATACAAATACTTTTTTTAAATTGATTAAGTAGAAGATAAGATTTACATAGGAGGGATATAATTCAAAATGCCATTATAGTAAATCGTTAGTAGATAAGTAATCTTATTTTCTGTATGTCTGCTTGATTATCTATTTATAAAATTAATAAAAGAGTAAAGCAAAGAGAATGGTAAATATCATTGACCGAATCAAATCTTGTAGCTAGTATATCCTTCTTAGTAGCAGAAGTAGAAACTAAAAAAAATACTATATATGTTTATACCAAGTTGAGCTATAGTGTTGAGGTGATTTCATTTAAAAAAAGAAAGAAAACATTTGTCTTCATATTTTTCTATTCTAATTTTCAACTCTCGAATTTCTCTATACTACTCCAAATTTTAACTGCTACATTTATCCCCTACTAATTAAGTGTTTGTTTGTTTGTTTGTTTGTTTGTTTGTTTGTTTTCCCCTTTTCTTCTGTTTCTCCCTCTTTTCTTTTCCTTTCCTTTTTTTTTCCTTTTTTTTTTTTCAGTAACACATTTAATTTGCAAAATATAATCATATTCCGCGGATTTAACTTTTGGGGTATTGTAAAACATTCAATACAGTCAAATACAATACAATACAATACATTCAATTATCCATACAGACAAAACAACACACACATATATATATACATAGATAGATAGATATAGTCTTGTAGTTAATAGATTAAACTATATTCTATCGTAAGATATACATTCTAGTCTCTTTTTTAGTTCTTATGTTCTATTTTTTTAATACAGTTTTGTATTTTGCAACTTAACTTATCTTCTTAAACTTACTCTTTATTACCTACCCTTTCTTTTCCCAGTTAAGTATAAAATTATTGACTTTATCTTCTTTTAGTTTATTAAATTGATGTAATAAAAAAAATACAAATAAGTAACAAATCATACTATTTTAATTAATTAATTAATAAAAATAAATTATGTCTGTAAATTCTAACAATATAGAGAATAATGATAGGAATGATTTATCATCCAGTTCAAAATTCACAACATTTTCGATAAAGGATAATTACTCCTTACAACATCCATATACTGGTATGGACGAATCTGCACAAAAAGAAATCAGATCTTTGGCCAGGTCCTTAACTAAACAAAGTTTCATTAGCAATAACTCAATTAATTCTATTAACAACAATAGAAATAATAACATATCCAATGAGAACGAAAACCTGAAAAATTCTAATTATTCCCCTTCATTAAATAATTTAAGTACTGCCAGTAATAGTATTACAAAAATTGATACCCAATCAATACTCTCACAAGATTTACCTGGTGTCAATCCAGTGTTTGCTTCTCCTGACGCTGAAGGTTATGATCCAAGACTAGACCCAACAAGTGATAAATTTTCATCAAAGGCATGGGTTCAAAACATGGCCAATTTGGCTTCTGCAGACCCTGATTTTTATAAACCTTATTCTCTGGGTTGTACATGGAAGAATCTATCTGCTACTGGTGATTCTGCTGATGTCACCTATCAATCAACTTTCGAAAACTTGCCCTTCAAGTTATTAATGGGTCTCTATAGAAAATTTTCTCCTCTAAAAAAAACTTCTAAATTCGAAATATTGAAACCTATGGAAGGTTGTTTAAATCCCGGTGAATTGCTAGTTGTTCTTGGGAGACCAGGTTCTGGTTGTACCACACTATTGAAATCCATATCATCAAACACACATGGGTTTGATATAAGTAAAGATTCCACTATTTGGTATAGTGGTTTATCACCAAAGGATATTAAAAAACATTATCGTGGTGAAGTTGTATACAACGCTGAATCAGATATCCATTTACCACATCTTACTGTGTACCAAACTCTATATACTGTTGCTAGATTAAAGACTCCACAAAATAGAGTTAAAGGTGTATCAAGAGATGATTGGGCTAGACATGTAACTGAGGTCGTCATGGCAACATATGGTCTTTCACATACAAGAAATACAAAAGTAGGTAATGATTTGGTGAGAGGTGTCTCTGGCGGTGAAAGAAAGCGTGTATCTATTGCTGAAGTTACTATATGTGGGTCCAAATTTCAGTGTTGGGATAATGCTACCAGAGGTTTGGATTCTGCTACTGCCTTAGAATTTATTCGTGCTTTAAAAATACAAGCTGAAATAGCTAATACTGCTGCTACCGTAGCTATTTATCAATGTTCCCAAGATGCCTATGATTTATTCGATAAAGTGTGTGTTCTTGATAATGGGTATCAAATATATTATGGGCCCGCCAAAGAAGCCAAGCAGTATTTTCTCGATATGGGTTATATATGCCCTGAACGTGAAACTACAGCAGATTTTTTAACTGCTATCACCAATCCTGCTGAAAGAATCATTAATCCAGAGTATACAAAAAGAGGTGTCCGTGTCCCACAAAATGCAAAAGAAATGAATGATTATTGGAAAAAATCTAATAACTATAAGAAGTTAATGGCTGAAATTGAAGAAACATTAAGTAGAAATGAAGACGAAGAAAAAGAGATTGTTAAACAGGCTCATATAGCTAAACAATCGAAAAGAGCTAAACCTTCATCCCCATATGTCGTTAGTTATGGGTTACAGATTAAATACATTTTGATTAGAAACTGGTGGAGAATCAAACAAAGTTCAAGTATTACTTTATGGCAAGTTTGTGGTAATTCTTGCATGGCTCTTATTTTAGGTTCAATGTTCTATAAGGTTATGTTACATACGGACACAGCAACATTCTATTTCCGTGGTGCTGCTATGTTCTTTGCTATTCTATTTAATGCATTCTCATGTCTTTTGGAAATTTTTTCTCTTTATGAAGCAAGACCAATAACTGAAAAACATAGAACTTATTCATTATACCACCCAAGTGCGGAAGCATTTGCCTCTGTTATCTCAGAGATTCCTGCTAAGTTGGTAACAGCCATCTGTTTTAACATTATTTTCTATTTCTTAGTCAATTTCCGTAGAAATGGTGGTGTCTTTTTCTTCTATTTCTTAATCAACATTGTAGCCACATTCACTATGTCTCACCTTTTCAGATGTGTAGGTTCTCTCACCAAGACGCTTCAGGAAGCTATGGTTCCTGCATCTATGCTGCTGTTGGCTATGGCCATGTATACTGGGTTTGCAATTCCAAAGACTAGTATGTTAGGTTGGTCAAAATAGATTTGGTATATCAATCCGTTAGCATATCTTTTTGAATCCTTGATGATTAATGAATTTCACAGTATTAAATATCCATGTTCTACTTACATTCCAATGGGGCCCTTTTATGTGAACAGTACTGGTAGTGAAAGGGTTTGTAATGTTGTTGGTTCAATTCCCGGTGAAGATTATGTTCTTGGTGATAACTATTTGAAAGCAAGTTATCAGTATGAACACAAACATAAATGGAGAGGTTTTGGTGTTGGTATGGCTTACCTTGTCTTCTTCTTTTTCGTCTACTTGATACTTTGTGAATATAATGAGGGCGCTAAACAAAAAGGTGAAATGTTAGTTTTTCCATATTCTGTGGTAAGAAAAATGAAAAAGGAAGGTAAACTCAAGGATAAAAAGGCTAAAGATGAATCAGACATCGAAAAGTTTGCTGGGAATGAAGATAATGCGTTAACTGACGCCGCTTTATTAAAAGATTCTGCCACATCTAATAATGAGACGTATCATCCACATCCAATCACTAAAGAAGCTTTTGAACATAGTGAGAGCTCTGAAGATACTGCATTAGCAAGGATTAAAAGTGTCCAAACCATTAATTCTACTGCAGAAGACGAAACTGTACTCAAAAGTATTAGATCACATCGTGAGGAGCTTAATAATGATATTGATAACTTCAAAATATCAGACTCAAAAGCCATATTCCATTGGAGAAATGTTTGCTACGATATTAAGATTAAAGGTGAAAATAGAAGAATTTTAAATAATGTTGATGGATGGGTTAAACCTGGTACTCTTACTGCTTTAATGGGTGCTTCAGGTGCTGGTAAAACTACCTTATTGGATTGTTTGGCTGAAAGAGTAACAATGGGTGTTGTTACCGGTAAAATCTTTGTCAATGGGCGCTTACGTGATGAGTCATTTGCAAGATCAATTGGTTACTGTCAACAGCAAGATTTACATTTGAAAACTGCTACTGTTCGAGAATCACTAAGATTTTCAGCTTATTTACGGCAACCTGCCTCGGTTTCCATTGCTGATAAGAATGCTTACGTTGAAGAAGTTATTAAGATTTTAGAAATGGAACCATATGCTGATGCCATTGTAGGTGAAGCAGGTGAAGGCTTAAATGTAGAACAAAGAAAAAGATTAACAATTGGTGTGGAACTAGCAGCAAAGCCAAGGTTATTAGTATTTTTAGATGAACCAACTTCTGGTTTAGATTCTCAAACTGCTTGGGCTACCTGTCAATTAATGAGAAAATTGGCCACACATGGTCAGGCAATTTTATGTACCATTCATCAACCTTCTGCCATATTAATGCAAGAATTTGATCGTTTATTATTCTTGCAAAAAGGTGGTCAAACTGTATATTTTGGTGACCTAGGTGACGGTTGTAAAACTATGATCAAGTATTTTGAGGATCATGGTGCTCATAAATGTCCACCAGATGCCAATCCAGCAGAATGGATGTTAGAAGTTATTGGTGCTGCCCCAGGATCCGTTGCAACTCAAGATTATCATCAAGTTTGGAGAAATTCAGAGGAATATAAGGCAGTTCAAAACGAGTTAACTTGGATGGAGGCAGAGCTCCCAAAAGTTACAGAAGAATCCCCTAATGAGACAATGAAACAATTTGCAACCTCTATACCATACCAATGTAAGTTGGTTTGTATTCGTTTGTTCCAACAATATTGGAGAACGCCAAGTTACCTGTGGTCAAAATTTATCCTTACTATTTTTAATGAACTATTCATTGGTTTTACATTTTTTAAAGCGAATAGATCCTTGCAAGGTTTACAAAATCAAATGTTATCTATCTTCATGTATACGGTTATCTTTAATCCGATTTTACAGCAATATTTACCCTCTTTTGTTCAGCAAAGGGATTTATATGAAGCAAGAGAACGTCCTTCAAGGACATTTTCATGGAAAGCTTTTATTATAGCTCAAATTATCGTCGAAGCTCCTTGGAATATTCTTGCAGGTACAATTGCTTATTGCATTTACTATTATGCTGTGGGATTCTATAATAATGCTTCTGCAGCTAACCAATTACACGAAAGAGGAGCTTTATTCTGGTTGTTCACCACTGCTTTCTACGTTTACATAGGTTCTATGGGTATTTTAGTTATATCATGGAATGAAGTGGCAGAAACTGCTGCGCACATCGCTAATTTACTATTCACTATGTCCTTATCCTTCTGTGGTGTTATGGTACAAAAAAATTTGTTACCAAGATTTTGGATATTTATGTATCGTGTGTCACCTGTCACATATCTTATTGATGCAATGTTATCAATCGGTGTTGCTAATGTCCCAGTCAAATGTGCAGATTACGAATATGTTCAATTAACTCCTCCCCAAGGTATGACATGTGGACAGTATATGGCCCCGTATATTCAGATGATGGGTACCGGTTACCTATCTGATCCAGATGCCACGGATATTTGCCATTTCTGTAAATTCTCTGAAACCAACGTATTCTTAGCAACTGTTGGATCTATTTACGGCAGAAGATGGAGAAACTATGGTATTTTCTGTGCATATATTGTATTTAACTACTGTGCTGGTATATTCTTGTATTGGTTGGCAAGAGTACCAAAACACTCAGGCAAATTGTCAAAAAAATTATAATGAACAAGAGAAATCTATTCTTATATTCAACCTTTAATGATATTTAATTATACTTAACGACTTTATTCTTTGTATTTTCTATTCATATTCATTAATATACAACTTTTTTATGTGTCATTTTAGAACATCACAATAATAAATAATAAACCATATTTTCTTTTTTATTGAACTAATGCAGTTGAAGACATAAGAATACTATAGGCATTTTTTTCTTTTAGATAAAATAATGAGATGTTTTTGTTTAATATTTTAAATATCTTTTCCAGTAATGGTTATTTGACAGGGCAAAAAATAAAAATCATTTATAATTAATTTGCAACTTGCATATCTTAACCATAATATGGGTTACTTGTAATTAATCACTGTTTTTTTTTTACTATTCTCCAATCACCTTTTTATTAAGTAAACTTCTGAGATAGTGTTTTTTTAAAGTAATTATATATATAAGGTCACACAGAAATCCTTAGAGATTCTCATTTTTTTTCATTACAAAATTTAGAGTCTTTACAGGATCAAAATCTACTGTATTAAAATATTTCCAATGTATAAGAAGAGATTAATAATAAATGACTCCAATAACTTATATGTTTCATCATCAAGTAAAATTGTTTTTTATTCAAATATCTTTTATGGAGAAGTTCAAAACCAGTTTCAGATTGTGAATGTCATTAATATTTATTTGGAAGAACAGACAAAAGTATTGCTCATCCTGAACTAATTTCTTCTTTTCTTTTTATTTTTTTTTACAATCCAATGGAAAATCACTTGCACCTATAGTGAAGATAAATAAAAATACAGTTAAAATAAAAAGTTCAATTCAATTCCATAAAAAAAACAAAGAAAATATTGAATTATCCATGTCATTCCGACTCATCTAGGATATAGGTCAGTAACCAAACCTTTTATTAAAAACTTTGCCATTTTGTAATAAAAAGAATCTCATTTAAAATACACATTTATTGAAACTTAATTTTTCTTTGTTTATAAACAGTTCCTTATAAAACTATCATAACAAAGGATATGACTATTTATTCATGTATAGATATTTTCTAAATAAAACAACTTCATTTGTTAACTATTTTAGTCTTACTTTTTTTCCACTTACATCCACCATTAATCGATTTACAAAGACTTGTTTCCTTTTATTCTTAGCTAAGCTTTGTTTGTTCAAAGAATACTAAACATCCTTTCTATTTGACCTATCTATTTACTAGGGTTCATCCACTGTAGAAATTACTTATGTATACCAGTCCGATATTTCCAATATATAGAAAGGGTATAAAGGACAACACCACTGACCCCAGTAGTTTTTAATAGACATGAAGTAGAAGCTTTTTATTAAACGATCTTCGTTTTATTGTTCATCCAGTATTTAGAAAAATCAATCGAGTAAATCAGGTATTATTTTTATAAACACGTGAGGTTTCTGTAGAATTTTTATGAATAACTTTTTAAAAAAAAAAAAAACAATAGATAAATTTTCAATCTGGCCTTACAATTTCCTTAATATGAAGTGACCAAATCTGGTTGCTACTGATATTTCGCGAATTGCAAAGGTAAAAATTTTTAATTCAGTATGCAAAATGTAGTTCATTTGTATTGTTTGATAAAAATACGACACCCTTTTATTGCTTTTTTATTTTATTATTTCATCTAGAATTCTAATTGTTTTTGTATAGCAAAAACCTGAGAAATGAGAAGGAATCTCTGTATCAATATGACGTCATAGATAATTCTTCGAAATTGAACCGATAATCCTCAATTTTTTGTTAGGGTTTTGTAATCTTGGAAAAATGAAATTTGCTTGTTACGTAAGTAGTGTTCCTTTGTGATGAACATTCCTGAATTCGTATACTTTATGTTATAAGACCACAAATTCCACCTAGGGAATTACAAAAAGATTACAATACAGTTTTTCTCTAACAATATAACCATAAATAAATATACAAATATTCACAGAATAACTAAGTTCTTCTTAAAGTATGCGCATATTCCAATTAAGTATCTAACATCTCTCAACATATTCAAAATTGTTCCGATAAAATACAAAGTCAAAAATAATCTCTATCTATTGTTATACAATGCAGGGCATTATTAAAAATGAAAAACTGAAAATAAATGTAGGCTAAAAATTTTTAATTCGCTCTTTAAGGCATTTCTAAATATCATTTCCGATTTAATATCTTTAGAAAAACAAAAGACTTGTATATTGCTATTATTCATCTATAGAACTGCGTATTTTAATAATTTTTTCGTATATCAAAATACAATCTCTGTATATATAAGAGTGAGCTAACAAAAACACAAAAAAATTTTTTCTACTGTAATGTCTCTATAAACTGGCTTTCTTCGTGCTTTTTCAACTTTACACTCTGTTTTGCTAATAGACTAGACGTTATCGATATTAAATCCAATCTCATTTTCATTAAAGAAAATAAATACCTCCCCCCATCACTTATGCTTAAAAATATAAGATTATGAATGGATCAATATTTAAGTTATTAATATTTTTGATCACATTAATAAAAATTGTATTGGCTGGTTATAGTCCATCAGCATGTCCTGCCATAAATAACCGGACGCAAGGCTTCACTGCCCAGTTTTATTATTATCCATATGGTAATCTCAGGTATTCTCATTCTACAGAGTTTTTAAGCGGAGGATACCTAAGTATTTTAAAACCAGGACCAACAGTAACAGGTGTTACTAATCCATTCTTTTCGCAATTTGGAGGACCAATTCCTTTTTACCCTGAATTTTCTGCGACAAATTTTTCTGTGGCACTTTCTGGTTATTATGTGGCTCCTCAAACTGGTCTCTACAGATTCTCTTATCAAGTAGACGATGCAGGTATCATTTTTGTTGGTGCTGGTACTGCTTTTGATTGTTGTGCACATAGTAGCGATTTTTTTGGTACCAATGCAACATTTATTAATCAATATGATGCTCAGTCTCCGACAATAAGAGAACTTTACCTAGAAGCAGGTAGGTCTTACCCTATTAAAATATATTTTATCAATGCCCTTTTAATTGCAAAAAATCAATTAACTGTTATTCTTCCAGACGGAACAAAAGACACAAATATCGGCACTTCTGTGTATTCAGGTTTTGATAACTCTTCAGATAACTGTGAACCAATCTCTATTACTTATTCTTTTACTACTTCTACAAGTTTTACAACGTTTACATCTATTAGTAGTGTAAGCACACTAAAAAGTTTAAAATCTAGAACTACTTATGCTACGACTGTGACTACTAGTTACCTAGACGATGATCATCCAGTTATTAAAGAAATCATCCTTGTGGCTACCCCATCTCCAGTGACAACAGTAAGCTCTACTACTACAGTAACAACTACTATCACTAAGCTTACAACAACTACATCTCTTACCACTTTTACAGGGACAGATGGGTACATGACCGTCAGTAAAATTGTTATGATCGAATCTCCAATGTCATATGTTACTTTGTCAAGTACTGTTGCTCATAGTATCAATACTTTAACAACAACTACCTATACAACTGTTGTTACTAACTCTGGTGGTTCCATTTTTGGTGAGGTTATTGTCCTAATTAAAACACCTTTTTCATCAACTACCATGACAACTATGCGTAACGTTGCCTCTCTTACAACAACTACATATACAACTACAGTCATAGATTCTAATGGATCTTCTTCTCCAGAAGTTGTTGTTGTTGTAGTTACTCCATCTCCATCTACTACTTACATTACTACTACTGCAGATGTTTCTGCCCCAACTACAACCACTTACACTACTACAGTCACAGACAACAATGGCTCTTCATCTCCAGAAGTTGTTGTTGTTGTGATCACTCCATCTCCATCTACTTCCTACACCACTACTACAGGTCCAGTTTCTGTCCCAACAACATCTACTTACACCACTACTGTCACTGACAGCAACGGTTCTTCATCCCCAGAGGTTGTTGTAGTAGTGATTACTCCATCTTCAACTGGTTCAACTATCTACACCACTACTACTGCAGATGTTTCTGCCCCAACTATAACTACTTACGCAACCACTGTTACTGACAGTAATGGCTCTTCCTCTGCAGAAGTTGTTGTTGTTGTGATCACTCCATCTCCATCTACTTCCTACACCACTACTACAGGTCCAGTTTCTGTCCCAACAACATCTACTTACACCACTACTGTCACTGACAGCAACGGTTCTTCATCCCCAGAGGTTGTTGTAGTAGTGATTACTCCATCTTCAACTGGTTCAACTATCTACACCACTACTACTGCAGATGTTTCTGCCCCAACTACAACCACTTACACTACTACAGTCACAGACAACAATGGCTCTTCATCTCCAGAAGTTGTTGTTGTTGTGATCACTCCATCTCCATCTACTTCCTACACCACTACTACAGGTCCAGTTTCTGTCCCAACAACATCTACTTACACCACTACTGTCACTGACAGCAACGGTTCTTCATCCCCAGAGGTTGTTGTAGTAGTGATTACTCCATCTTCAACTGGTTCAACTATCTACACCACTACTACTGCAGATGTTTCTGCCCCAACTATAACTACTTACGCAACCACTGTTACTGACAGTAATGGCTCTTCCTCTGCAGAAGTTGTTGTTGTTGTGATCACTCCATCTCCATCTACTTCCTACACCACTACTACAGGTCCAGTTTCTGTCCCAACAACATCTACTTACACCACTACTGTCACTGACAGCAACGGTTCTTCATCCCCAGAGGTTGTTGTAGTAGTGATTACTCCATCTTCAACTGGTTCAACTATCTACACCACTACTACTGCAGATGTTTCTGCCCCAACTACAACCACTTACACTACTACAGTCACAGACAACAATGGCTCTTCATCTCCAGAAGTTGTTGTTGTTGTGATCACTCCATCTCCATCTACTTCCTACACCACTACTACAGGTCCAGTTTCTGTCCCAACAACATCTACTTACACCACTACTGTCACTGACAGCAACGGTTCTTCATCCCCAGAGGTTGTTGTAGTAGTGATTACTCCATCTTCAACTGGTTCAACTATCTACACCACTACTACTGCAGATGTTTCTGCCCCAACTACAACCACTTACACCACTACTGTCATTGACAGCAACGGTTCTTCATCCCCAGAGGTTGTTGTAGTAGTGATTACTCCATCTTCAACTGGTTCAACTATCTACACCACTACTACTGCAGATGTTTCTGCTCCGACGACAGCTACTTACACTACTACCGTCACTGATAGCAATGGGTCTTCCTCTGCAGAAGTTGTTGTTGTTGTGATCACTCCATCTCCATCTACTTCCTACACCACTACTACAGGTCCAGTTTCTGTCCCAACAACATCTACTTACACTACTACAGTCACAGACAACAATGGCTCTTCATCTCCAGAAGTTGTTGTTGTTGTGATCACTCCATCTCCATCTACTTCCTACACCACTACTACAGGTCCAGTTTCTGTCCCAACAACATCTACTTACACCACTACTGTCATTGACAGCAACGGTTCTTCATCCCCAGAGGTTGTTGTAGTAGTGATTACTCCATCTTCAACTGGTTCAACTATCTACACCACTACTACTGCAGATGTTTCTGCTCCGACGACAGCTACTTACACTACTACCGTCACTGATAGCAATGGGTCTTCCTCTGCAGAAGTTGTTGTTGTTGTGATCACTCCATCTCCATCTACTTCCTACACCACTACTACAGGTCCAGTTTCTGTCCCAACAACATCTACTTACACCACTACTGTCACTGACAGCAACGGTTCTTCATCCCCAGAGGTTGTTGTAGTAGTGATTACTCCATCTTCAACTGGTTCAACTATCTACACCACTACTACTGCAGATGTTTCTGCCCCAACTACAACCACTTACACTACTACAGTCACAGACAACAATGGCTCTTCATCTCCAGAAGTTGTTGTTGTTGTGATCACTCCATCTCCATCTACTTCCTACACCACTACTACAGGTCCAGTTTCTGTCCCAACAACATCTACTTACACCACTACTGTCATTGACAGCAACGGTTCTTCATCCCCAGAGGTTGTTGTAGTAGTGATTACTCCATCTTCAACTGGTTCAACTATCTACACCACTACTACTGCAGATGTTTCTGCTCCGACGACAGCTACTTACACTACTACCGTCACTGATAGCAATGGGTCTTCCTCTGCAGAAGTTGTTGTTGTTGTGATCACTCCATCTCCATCTACTTCCTACACCACTACTACAGGTCCAGTTTCTGTCCCAACAACATCTACTTACACCACTACTGTCACTGACAGCAACGGTTCTTCATCCCCAGAGGTTGTTGTAGTAGTGATTACTCCATCTTCAACTGGTTCAACTATCTACACCACTACTACTGCAGATGTTTCTGCCCCAACTACAACCACTTACACTACTACAGTCACAGACAACAATGGCTCTTCATCTCCAGAAGTTGTTGTTGTTGTGATCACTCCATCTCCATCTACTTCCTACACCACTACTACAGGTCCAGTTTCTGTCCCAACAACATCTACTTACACCACTACTGTCACTGACAGCAACGGTTCTTCATCCCCAGAGGTTGTTGTAGTAGTGATTACTCCATCTTCAACTGGTTCAACTATCTACACCACTACTACTGCAGATGTTTCTGCCCCAACTATAACTACTTACGCAACCACTGTTACTGACAGTAATGGCTCTTCCTCTGCAGAAGTTGTTGTTGTTGTGATCACTCCATCTCCATCTACTTCCTACACCACTACTACAGGTCCAGTTTCTGTCCCAACAACATCTACTTACACCACTACTGTCACTGACAGCAACGGTTCTTCATCCCCAGAGGTTGTTGTAGTAGTGATTACTCCATCTTCAACTGGTTCAACTATCTACACCACTACTACTGCAGATGTTTCTGCCCCAACTACAACCACTTACACCACTACTGTCATTGACAGCAACGGTTCTTCATCCCCAGAGGTTGTTGTAGTAGTGATTACTCCATCTTCAACTGGTTCAACTATCTACACCACTACTACTGCAGATGTTTCTGCTCCGACGACAGCTACTTACACTACTACCGTCACTGATAGCAATGGGTCTTCCTCTGCAGAAGTTGTTGTTGTTGTGATCACTCCATCTCCATCTACTTCCTACACCACTACTACAGGTCCAGTTTCTGTCCCAACAACATCTACTTACACCACTACTGTCACTGACAGCAACGGTTCTTCATCCCCAGAGGTTGTTGTAGTAGTGATTACTCCATCTTCAACTGGTTCAACTATCTACACCACTACTACTGCAGATGTTTCTGCCCCAACTACAACCACTTACACCACTACTGTCATTGACAGCAACGGTTCTTCATCCCCAGAGGTTGTTGTAGTAGTGATTACTCCATCTTCAACTGGTTCAACTATCTACACCACTACTACTGCAGATGTTTCTGCTCCGACGACAGCTACTTACACTACTACCGTCACTGATAGCAATGGGTCTTCCTCTGCAGAAGTTGTTGTTGTTGTGATCACTCCATCTCCATCTACTTCCTACACCACTACTACAGGTCCAGTTTCTGTCCCAACAACATCTACTTACACCACTACTGTCACTGACAGCAACGGTTCTTCATCCCCAGAGGTTGTTGTAGTAGTGATTACTCCATCTCCAAGTGGTCCAACTATCTACACCACTACTAATGCTGATATTTCTGCCCCAACTACAACCACTTACACCACCACTGTTACTGACAGCAATGGCTCTTCCTCTACTGAGGTTGTTATAGTAGTGATTACACCACACCCATCTGGTTCTGTCATTTCAACCACTATTACTGGTGCAGTCAGTGCCCCAACCACATCTACCTACACAACTGTAGCCACTGACAGCAACGGTTCATCTTCTACTGAGGTTGTTGTTGTTGTGATCACTCCAGCTCCATCTACCTTCTATACGACCACTACTGGTGATGTCTCTGCCTTGACCACATCTACCTTCACCACCACTGTTACTGACAGCAATGGCTCTTCCTCTACTGAGGTTGTTGTAGTAGTGATTACACCACACCCATCTGGTTCTGTCATTTCAACCACTACTACTGGTGCAGTCACTGCCCCAACCACATCTACCTACACCACTATTGTTACCGACAACAAAGGCTCATCTTCCACCGAAGTTGTTGTTGTTGTGATCACACCAGCTCCATCTACCTTATCCACTACTACTACTAGTGCAGTCAGTGTTCCAACCACATCTACCTACACAACTGTAGTCACTGACAGCAATGGCTCTTCCTCTACTGAAGTTGTTGTTGTTATAATCACACCATCTTCATTTAGTAGCTTTATGACATCATCAATTTCTGTACCATCTCCTCTCTACAGAAACTCAACTATTCCTAGTGAAAAGATTGAATCTACTTTGAGTGGCACTCTAGTTGTTTTGACTACGGTTGTTAATGGAGTTACTATGACTACAACTTATTGTCCAGAGCCATCCGCAACTTCTGGAACAAGTGTGACTGCTATCATTGGACATGGCTCTATTGAATCAGTTTATTCAAAGAACCAACAAGAAGGGATTAGCTCATCTTCTGCTGTTTCCAATGCAACTCCAGTCGCTTCTATTGCTTCCCCTACTATTTCTCAAATGTACACCAATAATGAAAATCCACCAATATCTGGAAACTCTAGAGGATCTAGCACTGCAGTAGGTAATGTTGAATCTAGAAGACCAGAAACATCAGTACCTACAGTGATGCCACAAGTTTCCCAATATGTTTCTGAACAATTATCCTCATCACCAACCGTTATTGCAGCACCTCGTGAAGGTGCACCTTCTGTTGTATCATATGAGGGTAAGGGTAGCACTATATATATGAACTGGAATGTTGCTCATTTTGTCAGCCTATTATTATTTATGATTGTTTAAATTGTATGCACATAGAAAATTTGGAAATAAAGAAGTTTAATTAATTAAATACTTAAATAATTTTATATAAACATATATAATATTCAAATATTGTGCATGCTGTGTAGTTTTGTTATTTATCTGATTGTTTTTCAAACAACTTATATGTTGAAGATATATATGATTATGCATGCCGAATCAACAATACTGTCTCTTGTAGCTGAAGGATCTAGATGATTCGACATAATAATACAATCTAATAGTTCCTCTATAAGCATTTTAATAAGCACATATTCATATTACATATTTTGACAATATTTAATAAAGAGATTGGGGTTAGAAAATTTACTGTCTTATACTTTTGAAGTCAACTGATCATATTTTAAAAGATAATAGAATCTCAAACCCCTTTTAATTAAAAAAAAATTGTGATTAAAAAAAATTTAACATTAATTTATTTCAAAGATAATAATAAAAGTTTTGATGAATAATACAAAATTGTTAAAAGCTTCCTCTACATGCAATTTTATCCAAAAAATTAACTAGAAATATGATCATTAAAAGCGAAAACAAAGTGCCAAAAACCATTTTTTTCCAAATTCACTAATTGTGTGCTTATTTCCCTTATGTATACGTACACATTGTTATAAATAAAATAATATGTATATCTATGAATATAAAATGTACTACGCTTATTAGAAAACACTATAGTCTCTTATACCAAACAACTATATATTTATATACATGTATTTATATTAATATGTAAAGCAAAAGAGACTCTTTTTATATATCAAAAAAAAAGGGACACAAAGTGAAAGTAAGAGAAAGAGTTAGCTATTTTTTAATTACGTAGAATCGCACATGAATGATTTGTTATATTTACTAAATATATTAGAGGCGTTATACCTAAAAAATATAGATATCTTCTCGAATAACAATACTTATATCTTATTGTTCTATTAATCTGTTATATCCTTCCGCATCTTTTGCTGAATATGGAACTTACAAGATTTTAAAAGATGCAAAAAAAAGGTTTCTTCCATCTATTCCTTCAAACACTCAAAGTATATTCATGGAATAAAAAATCTGAATTGAAATTAAAATATATAATAAGGAAGATATAGAAGCTATCTTACAGCACTACAATAGTCAGATCCTTAAGCGTATGTGAATATCCGTTATATCAACATAGTTAAGATCAATGATAGTGTAATGTTTCTAAGAAGCCATGATACCTTGTTAAATCTATACTATAGTTGCAATCCAAGTATCCAACAGCATATAAAAGAAAGTAACTCAATAGTGAAACAACAAATGAACTGTAACTTATTAACATAGTAAATATTGTAACCTTAATCGAAAATAAAATATACTTCTCTCCTTTTTAATCACATACCTTATAGAAATAAATGCTAATGTGGATAGTTTTTGCAGTAGTTTACCTTTTCAACTAACTGGAAAAACTGTTTTAAAATGACTCTTAATATGTAAAAGCGGTCTGCTGGGATTTCTTTTCCATATTTTTTACTATTTAAAGCTAATTCGAGGTCCAGTAAAGAAGAAGATTAAAATTTTTTAAAGTAGTGATACTTGTATCTAGCTTTGTTAGGACATAAGTTATTAGTCAGTTGAATCTCTCATTTATTAAGAAATTGTATAAATAACATACACAATAATATATTATATTTGTAAATAAGTACAAATTAATCCTTCATAACTTTTTTTTCTTCCTTAAAAATTTTTTCTCTGGTACCATCATTCCTTACAGTTCAATAAAAAATATTCATTAATAAACAAACTTGGTAGACATGTTATCCATTTTCTACCCCTTCCATAAAGGAGTGGGTTTTTTCTTTCATGGGTGAAATTCACTTGCTAAAAATCATACTAGTTTTCTTAGTCAGTCGTTGAAAATGTATTCTCTGGCTTTATATGATTTTTTAACATACTAATTAATATTAAAAAATTAACCTACACAGTCTTTTTAATTAAGGAATACACCAAATTATTTTCTTTTCTCTTTTAAATATATTACTTCACCTGTCTTGTATTTCTTCTTTTAATTTTTCTAATATAAGTCCTATAAATTTAGTTCTTATCTTAAAAAAATTCTGTTTAAAATAATTTATGTAATTTATTGAAATATGGTTAGAGGTGTGTAAGGAACCTAACTGGAAATCCAAAGATTCGCAATTCTGAGGGTAATACCTGAGTGTCTGGGTGGAAGAATGATACAGCCATGTACACAGTGGCTCGTATAAGATATTGAATTTGATTGGAGGATTTCCAGAGAGTGATAATTATATCAGGTCTTGTCAAGAGGCCTTTGATTATTGAGATATATACTAGGGGTAATCATCTTATTTAAATACATCTTAGTAGTGATATGAAGAGGCAACTCTTAATATCATACAACAAGGATAAAAAGAAGAAATAATACAACATCAGGGTTATTAATTAATGATATATGGAGCTTACGTAAGAGTGTTTATACTTATATTAATTGATCCGATTCATCCATTTACATACAACAACTCTTACAAGGTGTCTCTAATAATCTAACTTCATTCTGAGATGGGTGAAAAATTTTAAAAATTTAGATTAAAAAAGATTAAAAAATAAACTAAAACACACTATGTATTAAATCTTCAATTAAAAACTCTTCATACTATATTTACACCATAAAATAAAAATATTGTTGAAATAGAATGTTCTATAATGAAATATATAGAACAATAAGATTTTAACAGACACTAAACGATAAATTGTTGAGTAATAATTGTTGAGAGGTCACCAAATGTTATTGAGTTTGTTTATTAAATATCTTACTGTTCGTAGAAGAAAATGCCTTAGTATTAACATATATAATGTTGACGCAAGGCTTCGGAATCAAAAATTCTAGTAGAGTTCATTTTAAACTAATATAATAAGATAATGTAACTTACAATAGGATATTGGTGGTATTATAAGTTTTTTTTGTATTGCTTATTCTTTTTCTTTCTATATAAGTAATATACAAGATACGATATTATACAGTATACTCGTTTTATCTTCGAATCTTCTTTAATATAAATTTTCATAACTTTTAATCACTTAGTACGACGAATTTAGATTATCAAACGTAATCCTAATCATATTTCAACATATAAAGTCAAGGATTTCATCATACATTATTTTTATCTTATTTACAACTTTTGTATATTATTATTTCTATGTTGTATATAGAGAAAGAAAGTGAAGAACTTTATCATGATTTTGTATACTAAATCTATTTAATATAATATTGAGAATGTTTACTATATATCCAATGACTACAGGTCCTCATTCTCAACAAATATTAGATCAAATTAAGGTTAAAGGAAATAGTTAAGGAAAATATCAGTATTGGAGAACTAGAAAAATAAATAAAGAAGTATCAAAAAAATTAGACAATTCTTTATAAGCATTATTCAATAAGTAAAAGATAGAATAAAATCTTTAACCGACACCTATATAAACGACAAAAATAACAATATAACAACCAGCGCATATGAAACAATAACTTTAAAGTTAAATGCTTAAATTTAAGATAAATACTTGTGATTACATGAAGTTAGGAATAAAAAGAAGTTATCAAATATATTACATATTAAACTGGTGAAAATAAAAGTTTTTATAAAATTACAAAAAATAATGGTAAAAAACATAAGTTTTAAATCGAAAGCAGCTATGGACTTGAGAATTAGCGCATGTATTCATTTAATATGTAGTATAAATTCTCAATTATTATTATAATATATCTATATGGTACAAAAATGATATTATTATTTTTCGATCTTCTCTGGCATATACAATATAAAAATGATGACATATGGAAAATCTATACATGAAGAAACATGCTATCAAAGAATTGTTGGCTTTGTATATTTTCATAATTGACAAAACTCGCGTACAAACGACACAAATTTATCACTATGTTTTATTTACATTTACTGATATGCAAACAATAGATATCTTGCATTCTGGTATGAATTTTTCCTGGATGCCTGTGGCCTCAACCGATAAACATATTAGATATTTTTTAGTTTATATATATCAGTTGTTAGTCTTTTCTGTTTATACATACTATTTAAACATATACATATGTGTTGTGTAAGAGCAAATAAAACACTCTTTTTGTTGAGAATGAGCGCCTGTAGTCATTGGGTATATAGTAAACATTCTCAATATTATATTAGATAGATATAGTATATAAATTATAATAAAGTTCTCTGGTTCTTTTATTTGTATGTATTATACAAGGATGATCTATAAAAAATGAGCAAGGGAAGAAACATGATAGGAAAAAATGTTGGCTTTATATATTTTCATATCTGGCCTATCTTATATACGCATGGTATCAAATTGTTGATAAGGTTTGCTTACACCTACTGATAAACAAACACTACATTCTCCACTTTTTGCTTATCAATTAATGTTAGAACATGGACAGTATGTCTATTAGGTTTCTTTATTAAAGAATGTTTTATTATTTCGTTAATAATGATAATTAAAAGAGAAAAAAAATATTTTTCAAGAAGAAAAATTTTAAGGAGAGATTCAAAAGAAGAGAGATCAATTTATATTTATATATATATAACATATCATATAATTATGTACATTATTTTTATAGATTTTTAAGAAACCAGAGATCTAACCTACTAATAAGTTAAGTCATGACTGTATTAAACACAAATACCACTACTTTCCAAGAATTAATATTCACTAAAATCTAATTGGTCTATTTATTTATTCTAGAACATTCGAATTCAGCACTTTTATATCTTGTTCCTTTCTCTCTTTTCAAAATTTTCTTTTCTTCTATATATCTGAACACCACAAATAACACTTGTTGTCATAAGAAAGTCTTTAACTAATAAAAAATGTTGGAAAATGAGAGTTTATTACTGTCATTTCCATAGGAGTTATTTTTAATTAGTTTTTCTATATATTATGTGATGTTCGGATATACCATGATATCAGGAAGACATTTTATTTTTCAC